CAGAGGTCAAAGTGAACTGAAACCAAACAGCCTGTGGTGACGGGGTGATGAGTGGAGGAGGAGGGAGGCAGCGACGGAGAGATGAAAGAGTGCAGGAGGAGAGATGAGTGATCCAGTCAGCCAGAGCAACCAGACATCCCAGAGGACAGGAAACATGGTGTTGACCCAGAGTCTGTAACCCCAACCTCCTACTTTTCTCTTCCTCTTGAGTTCGGTGGCAAATTCCTTTAACTCATTTCTATTCCTATTTCTGTTCGAGCTAATAATACAAAGCTCAAGATTATCCAGACTCCACTGATTCTACACCCTGACTTTATCTCATACCAAAGTAACTCAAAGAGACAGATGTGCCATTATTGACAACAAGAAGTATGATAAGTATTGACATTACAGGGTTAAAAGCCAGCGGGACTAAAGCCAATGCAGTCAAAGAATTTCTTCACTTAAGCTCGTACATTTTTGCGAGAAATTCAGTATATTATTGCAAACTAGACAGTTTTACATTAAAAAAAGCAATGAAGAGCAGAGATTCCCAACCACCAGGATTAACCACCATGTTTCCAACAACACCCTAGAAATCTAGCCAGAACAAAGAGGTTGGATGTAACTGCTATTAACAGTGCTTACTACATGGTGTTTTGTTGTTCATTTTCCTGGAAATGGCCAATACTTTTATATCACATTCCAAAGCAAATTCATTTACAGTTGAAGTCAAATGTTTTTTTTTAAGAAACAAGAGGAATAACAAGTAAAACACTTTTACCCAGAGCTGCTGACAAATGGCCCACAGAAAGGGAGGATATCGCAGACATATCAGAAGAAGAAAGGTTCAATGAAAAGGTAAATATGAGGACAACTTTATAAAATTGAGTTGAATTGCTCAGCAGATTGGTGTCGATTGACTTTATTCCAACCATGTTAAGGTCAGGTACCCCTGGTCTAGAGTGATAAACAGCATTTTCCCCCGGTTGTAGTGTAGGTGTTTCAGCTGGAGTGTGCTACCTTTATAGCCCAAAGATGAATAAATACAGTTAAAATGTGACTTTCCAGGAAATAAGAAGCTGAGAAAATGAACAACTGACAGTTATTCATTCATAGTCTCGATTCAGCGTTTCATCATCATTGTATTCATCAGTATTAAAACTCTATTATTAGGTTTTTCTGCTCTTTTAGCATTCATCTATACCTCCCCGTACTGCCTCCTTTGCCCTGACCTCGGCCTCCTCGCCCCCTGCTGTGGTATCCCAGAGGCCCCTGGGGCACCGGGCTCCTTCTTCCCCTCCAGCCCCACCTCCACAGGAAAGCCCCCAGACTGCCGCCAAATACCTCCAGATTCTTCCTCCTGCTCGGATGCAATGAGAGGCCCCTCACGGCTTCTCCTCACTTCCACCGCAGGCCTCGGAAATACCTGAGAGCCCTGAGTGTGGCCGCCTGTCTCTCTACACCACTTTGACCCACACTCACTTTCAGGAGGTTCAAACCACAGATGTTCACACTCAGGTTGAAATCACTGCTTAGTCTGGATGCTGATTTTTATCTGTTTGAAGCTAATATAAACACAGTAACAGTGGTGTAAAAAGTGCACTTGTAGGAACTATAAAGATAGAGAAAAACGTAGAGAAGTCTCTAAAAGTCCAAATTCAGTCTGGGGTGTTGGTGGCATAAAAGAAAGCTTTTTACGTTATAAATATTAGTTTCATCCAAATAAAAAAATATTTTCTCCTAGTCTGGGAAACCTTTGAGGTATTGGCTTTGAATTGGGCATGACCAAGCTTTGATATTCTTTACTGAAGCTCCACACTAAATTCCTCAAATGTAAAAATAAAGGAAAAGCCACACAGCAGCTGTTAACATCTAACCTGAGCTGTGGCACACTGACCATGGGTGTCTATTTTCAGCTGTTTGAAGTGAGTCCAAAGCATTGGTCATCTTTTCTGCTATGTTCCTTTAAATCAAAAAACCTCTGAGTGAATTTGCACCAGCTAATGCAAGAAATAAAGATGTTTTGAAGCTACTAATTTCCTCATTATTTTAGAAAGAAAAGGTAATTTCTGACAAACTGAATGGTTTAAAGGTAAGTAAAGTGAAATTTTATACAGTACAGAGATTCTGCAGAGATCAAGTTTGCAAAATGAGACCAGCTTTAGCAGAGCAAGCATCACCCGCCTTTGGCCCTTCCTTGCGTGGTTCACATCTGCATGTTTGTGCTGGTTACACATTGCTCACACATTGCTGGTTATGTGCCAGTTTAACTAGACACAACTTAGTCTCCATATTCAAGATCCAAACACTGCCAAACCACAGTGCGCTACATGATGCCAGCCGTCATCTGTGCTCTACATTTAAGTAGTAGAACATCATGGGAACAACCACAACCATTGCTAGTGGCGGGTGGCAGCAGCACCACAGGGTACACATGATAAGTCCTGAGTTTCAGGTAAATGTTGTTAATTTGTTGAATTATTTGGGTGCCTACAAGTGAGAATGATGACACTTGATCATCTAATTGACTAAATTACATGCCAGGAACCCTTTTTGAACTGTTGCATTGCAATCATAGCTGTCAGAACAAGTTATCTCTGTGATTATTTCATGTGTATGCCACCCACTAGCTTATACTGATAGGATGGGATGTACTAGCCCAGATCTCAACCGGCTTTTTTTTAATGATTATTATCCCCAGTTTGGATCATCTATGCAAGCCATCACTGAGCAGTGCTACAACATATGTGGAGTATTAAAATCACTGAGCGTTCATACCTGTAGTTAATGGACAGGACATCAATGAGGAACTTTCAAAACCAGCCACTAACAAACTGCTTTCTGGCAGCAGGTAGAGCTGAGTGATATGGCCTCAAATCAATATCACACTATATTAAGCAATATATTAAATGGACCATAACTCCTCCACAAGCTGCTCACCCCCCTCACATTTACTTCGTCTACTTCAGCTGCCGCTCCAGCGGCTACAACATTTGAACTGTCCTCCATTTCCTCATCTGTCTTTCTCTCTTTGTTACGGACTGGATGGGGTGGAGTCACTTCTGATGTAGGACAGCGTGTTAAAGGGACATGAGACCATAGCCTACCATTGATTTATTTGTTCGACACTGAATATACCAATATGGACAAAATGACGTCGGTTATTGTCGTAAATTTCCGTACTGGTAAATTTTTCGGTTTATCGCCCAGCCCTAGCAGCAGGGACGTACAGTTTAAAGACAAAAGCGGAGGAGCTGTGTTCAATTCTGCCGAGTGGACATGGCATCTAAAAACTGGAAAAAACAGCGTGATATGAGTTCTTTGAGGGTTTAGAGAAAAGGCCTGCTGCACAGTCACTAAGCTCTGGACCAGAAAAGGAAGGATAGCTAACCAGAGAAAACAAAAACGTCAAAAGGATTTCAGATCATTGTCTTGGACCACCATCAGCCCATCTCCACGATAGAGGATGGTGGTTTATTCCATCTTTTGAACCCATGTTATCAGTCTCAAAGCTGCAGTTCAGATACCATAGAGCTGTACAGGTGACAATGATACAACAATTCTAGCTGAACTAAGTTGAATGAAATGAGCTGAAGATATAATTCAGTTATTTTGTTTACCTAAAGTTGTCAAAAAAATTGTGTGCAGCTTTATTATACAAGCAAGTATGAGTATTGGGTGTATCTCTGTACTCTTTATCGACAGATGGAGCATTGACGATCAAGGTGGTTGCAACTCACTCGTCAGAGACCATTTAAATCAATATTTTCTTTAAGTCAGGTCTGCTGCTTTCTCCTCACTTATCTACACATATGTAAAGGTAATGGCAGTTTCATTTGTTACTGTAATGAAGTGGAACATCATAAGGTGTATTTACTGATCTCAGCAGAGGTTACATTCAAAGCAGTGAGACTTGAAGCAGTAGAGGTGAAGCATCATTAAAAGATTGGCAGAAACTATATGCACCACACCTCTGGATACATACAAATATGATCTTAAATGATTACATATATCATTACATATACCCTAAAACAATATCTGCCTTAACCTTGTGTATTTGTACAGTGAAGGGACTGCACATGACATAAGCCGGAATAAAACAGGAGAGTGCAGCTGTGCAGAATCGAGGGTTAACATACAGTACTTAAAGCACTACTGATATAACTTTAAGTTTTCTATTCTTATACAGATGTTGTATTTCAATGTATCTGCATAAAAGAAGTTAACATGGATTCTACAGGTCGCCCCAGTGCTCACTGAAAAAAAAAAAAAAAAAACTGTCAAAGTGAAGCTGGTCATCAGACTCCCTCCAGTGGTCAGTACTGTACACAACAACTGGTAATCTTCTTCCAAGAGTGAGAAATAGATTTTTGTTTCCCTCAGAGATCAGGTCAGTGTGTCAGTGAAACAGGCTGTACAACTCCTTTTTGCTTTTAACATGTGGTCCTTTGAGGTCTCTGGATGTAAAGGCACTACAAATAAAATGTATTATTATTATTATCATTATTATTGTTGTTGTTACAAATCAATCAGTCATGAAAATTCAATGCTTTAATCTAAAGGCTGTACTTCACAACACTATGAGAGTTTCTTGATACTACATTAATGATATGTGTGGAAAAGTGCGTGCTGAGGATTCAGTTAAAGACTTTCATGTTTATTCCTAATGAATATTGGAATAAGAAAAACTTTATTTAAAAATGCATATTTGTTGACTTAGATGACTTTCTGCTGTGGATTTCATGACCAAGCACTACAAAGATGTCAGATCAGTTAAAACCATTTGGCTACTATTAAAGCACTCATAAGGAACTTTCAACTGCACCTCTTATTTCTATAACGATTATGTCCTACATGTGTACTGTGTCATTTAATTGAGTATCTCATCCTGTTTTCTTTTTACAATCACGTTTAACCTCTATTGTGAATCTTTGTCACAAGTTTTGTTTAAATTGTTAAACTTTATAAGACACCTATCCTCCTGTTGCAGATTCAGATATGAAAAATAATCAGTGGTGTTAATTTTGGTCTTTTTCTTTAATCCTCACAGGAGAAATTTTAGGACTTTGTTCTGACAACAGGATTTACATGATCTGTCTTCGGAGGCTTGAAGTGTCTTGGCAGCTGTTTTCGTCACAGCAAAATAAACCCTGACAAAGAGCTGTCCTTTAAAAGGTGGAACAGATGCAGTGGCTGAATGTGATAGATTAGGGGAAGGTACATTTTCTCTCTTCCCTCCCTTATTTACAAGACACATTTAAAACAGTTAGAGCTCAGTTTGCTGAGATATTTATTTACACATTTTACTAGTGGCCATTATATGAAAAGAAAGAACATTTTTACAGTTTATTTACATCACCTGTAAGGCATTATGAAAAAAAAACTGTACACTGAAATTTAACAATAAACAACAACAACAAAAAAAGCTAAATTAATTTACATGAAAGTAAAAAATACAACTGAGAACAATGATAAAACTTAAATAAAATGAATACATAGAGTTTGTTGGGGGTAATATCATATTAATCTCATGTTCCCTCTGCAGCTTTCTGAAGGTTTGGAGTTATTGATGAGACAAGGAGTGTTACACTAACAAAGAGAGGATGCTGGGTAATAACTACTCTGAGAAAATGTTGATGAACCTGCTGTCTAAACACAGACTGTATTGCACTTATAGTTTAAAAGAGTGAACATAATGTTATAAAGGTAAAAGCCTCTTCTATTTGCATCCATTAAGAGTACATAGCGTTCAACTCCTCAACACTGATTACATAACGAGAAAAGCCGATGTGTTAGAATAAGCGGGGTCATCACCCGGTACATCACAGAGAAACCACCAGAAAGCCTGGTTTCCTCGACATGTTATATTCCACATCAGCTCAGTTTTGTAACACTGTGAAAATTAAATGTCCAAGTTTGTTACATAACCATCATAGTCTTAAAACAGATACAGAATAATTGTAATCAATCGGTGTGACAAACATTGATTCACTGTATCTGGGCACATTAATACAACAGAACCGGTCCAAGAACCTGGATTAACCCTTCAACAACCATTCAGATCAATTAAACATGCTGCTTTTTTGTGTTGAGCTTACACTGTTGCACAGCTGTCATATTTGTGAGACTGTGACGTGAATTTAAGTTTGATTTTGCTCATAAATCTGATTTAAAATCAAGAAAACTGTGACTCTCAGATGGTTCAGTGTTGGGGGTTAATTGGTCTTTCGAGAACCAATGGAACTCCAGGATTGGTCGTTTTTAGTCCAATTGTCAGGGTGAGAAAAGGTTTTGAATTAGTAAACATTAGACCCCACAGAGGGCTTTTTGCTTAGTTTGCAGAATTCATACATAAGCAATGTCAAAAACTCCTGTACTGTTGAAAGTAAGGACCACTTCACATTCAATGATTCATCACAGATAGGAGTTTACGGTTACTGAGCAAAAAAACATAAAGGTCTGAGGGGAAGTCAAGGTGGATTTACCTTAACAAGAACCTTTTTCATACATTTGCAAACAGACTTTTCAATGACAGGAATGACCTTAGAGGGGAAATCATTTCAAACAGGTGACAGCGCTGAGCGAGCATCACTGCATTTGCTCTATCAGTCCACTTAGAACGGAAACAGGCTCATCCTCTCAAAGTGCTTGTCTGCTGACCTGTCTCCTCTGATCTTCAGAGAAACACGGTGTGTAAATACGCTAGAGGTCACAGAGTCAATCACAAACAGATCTAATATGAAAAGGAACAGCAGAATTTAAACACTCATTTGGACTTCCTGGGTAATTAGTCTGATTTAGTTGATAACACAAATTCATTTTGGACTTTGCATTTCAATGCAGATCATAGAACAATAATTATAATGTCATTTAGCAGACATCATACTTATCATCTAAAGCAACAAACAAACATCAGTGGAGGACACACAACGGGAGCAAGATAGTTCCAGTGCCTTGCCAAAGAACACAATGGACAGACTAAAAATACAGGGGATTCGAACCACCAACCTCCCAGATGGTAGGCAAACGCTCTACCTCCTAAGCCACTGCCACCCCATCATCATTACAGCAAATCATGCTGCTTTTATGTCTGGACTACAAACTCATTCCATGATGTGAATTAACTCCAAACGTTTGTGTTTGACTGTCAAGTGCTCAGTTCACACTTTGGTCAGGTTTTCATTAAAAACACAAGACAATCCTAAAAAAGAAAGGTTCTCTGGCTGTGTTTACGAACATCTGTAGAGTTTTATGTTTTCACTATAGATTCAACCCAAACCACTTTTCTGTGATTTAAAAAAAAAAAAAAAAGGAAAACAACACTGGTACAGATTGGGACACATGTTAACTGGCTCAAACAATCAATATTTCATTATGGTGTCAGAGTGTGAAACACTGGTGTGGGGCAGAGAAACTCATCAGAGGAGAAGCAACCAAGAGGAAGAGGCAACAGCTTTCCTCGATCCCACCCACAGCAGCCACTATCAACACTCAGACTGTGGTTTACCAGCATCTCCAACATTACTGTGCAACATTACTTCCCACTTTAATTAAAAGACAACTGAAAAAAAACCCACCAGTTTCAGAAATCTCTTTTAGTGGGTCCATGAACGCACTTCTTTTTTCAATCCTCAAAAGTTTTTCAACACCTCCATTGAGTTTTCTGCTAAGGCCTACTCATTTGCTGATGGGTGAGTGGAAAATCTAGAGGTACAGGTAAATCCTACGTTGTAGTGTGAGTGTGTGAATCAACGGAGTGTTAAACACAGAGACACAGAGCAGAGATGGACGTTGTCTAAAGCACTTAAACAGGCCAGAAGACCTGTGGGGTTACAGTCAAAAATGGGATCACCCAGGCCTCCAAGGACGACTGACAACTTGATGTTTGTTAGTAGAGTTGTTAATTTAGCCTACAAGTGTGTACATTGTGGCTTAAGTGTATCTTTAGATGACATTTTCTATTAATCAACTACTTCACATTATAGTTCAACCATAAGTGTCCAAACTATGCAGGGTCGGACCTCTTTAAACGGGAATGTTTCAGGTTAGCTAACTTTATACTCGTGGGTTTAGAGCTGTAAGTTAAGCAAAAAAGTGATTTGCAGACACTTGGTACTCAGAGAAATATTATGCAGGATTTTCTTTTAGCATTTTGAAGCAGAACAAAACTGGGGGATTAAAGGTCTCTAATTAAAACCTGTTAACCCTCCAAAATGACTGAACATTTGATGAAATATCTGATTTTTCTGAGTCCAGTCTGATGCTTGAGAGTGGCAACTAGAACTGCAGATAATTATGTCAACTATCAGGTAAATCTGCAGCTATTTGATAAACAAATACTTATTTTCAAGAGTGTAATCAAAACATTAGTCTTTACAGCTTGTTGAGATTTCAATATTTTTTGGACTCTCTCCTCTTTTGTGACATTTAGGAGGATATCTTTGGGACAGGAAGCTCTTGCAACTCTCAGAGGGTTCATCCTTTAGCTTTTCTGAATGAGAAAATCCTTAAACTGAGCCACTTGCTGCTCCAGTATCTACACTATGCTCTTGGTGTGTGTTTTTTAACTATCTGCTTTAACTAGCAATGTTGGTCCTCAAGTTTATTTCCCTGAAACATCCAACAAAAGACACAATGATTCACTCAATGCCCCGAGGTTTTAGCCTGGACTCACTCTCTGTAGTCTTAATATTGCAAGCCTGTTCATAGTGTAGCTCCAGTGCTGCATTTATAAAGTGCTCTGAGGGGAAACTTAGTCACTGAAACACTGATTTAAAACTGTGAGGGCTCCTCTTACCCACGCTAACTTTACTGTTAGTTCACTGTGGTTTCAAGTGCTTCCACAGGATTTATCATCCAAACAGCATGATCAATCTTGACACTTGAGAGGTTTCTTCACTCGTATGACACTGAAAGCCTGTCAGGCTACAATAGTGACTGTAACTGTTTCTATCCACAAAGACAAACATCCAGTTAAGCACCTCCAAAAGAACTGGATTCTATACTTTGGATGATCTCTTAAATTATTTGTAACATAAAAAAAAAAAAAAGACTTCATCATCCTTGGTGAAATGTGATAATTAGTTTCCTGTAAAACATCAAAACCACACCGTATTTTGTCACAGTCTGTTTGGACTTAATTAGTATCACTGATGAGATGTGAGTTATTTGATTCCTTAAGACTACAACTTACAAAACTAACTTCATTAAAAAGTGTCTTCAGCTTCATCCCATGCTCGGGGTTTTCTGTTTATATAAATGGACATTTAAAAAGCTAAGAGGTTAAAGTGGAAGGCTAATCTATCAGCTGTAAATACTATATTAGCATGAGCCATGCTAACGCAGATCCCCAGAGGTCTAGTTCAAACCAAATAGTGTGAAATCAAAACCACAAGGACCTACATGACTAGTTGAACCAAAAGAGGTCATTTTTGAAGCCGTAATAAAATCATTAGCACCGGAAACGTAGAATTTTTAGAGTCTTTGAGAATTACACAGGGCGTAGTGCTCAGTGTTAGTGGTGTTTGTTTCCCAGCTTAGAGGCAGAATTACAACGAGCCAGCCAACCAGGGGGAATGACTCCTCCCGTGATCTGCAGCTACAACGAACCAGTCACTTCTCTGAGATTTCATCTGCCTGGTGAAATACTGACAAAGGCTGTGGAAGTACAGACTTAACCGACTCCTTTCAGTTACTGCTCTGCCTCCAACACAGATTTTAGAAGAAGCTCCAGCCTCCTCTTTCCGCCCCCCTGATTGGACGCAGCAGCTCAACTCTGGCCAAAATGTCTCTGCTCTGCCCGGGTAGTCTGGGGCTCTAATCCCAGCGTCCACCGTCACAGCCGGCTCATGTTTTCTTCAAGCTCTGTAGCTGAGCATCCCAAGTAATGACACTTCATCTTACGCAGCTTTAGCATTTTAATTTAGTCTGAAGAAAGATGGCGTTAGCATCAGGGTTAGCCAGTGTTAGCTTCTCAATGCAGGGCTGGTGTTTTTCTCTGTCTCCTTATTTCCATCCTTCATTAATGCAGAAAACACCTGAGAAGAAACAGAAAAAACAAAACATTTTAAACACTCTAATGCAGGTTCATCAGTTCAGGACAGCAGACAGACTGATGTCGTGTTCACTGACCTGAGCCCAGCGGCGGTTTCTGCTGATCATGTGTGTGTTGGCCATGGCGTTGAAGAGTGTGTGTGACTGCAGGTCTTCAGGAAGGCGGGTTAGGAACTGAGCTATGTGGATGAAGTCCATCTGAAGCAGGACATCCTCAAACAGACGAAGGATGCCGAGCCCTGTCCGAAACAAGCTCTCCTCCCCGTCTCGACAGAAGACATCCCAAACCCGACATGCTACATCCAGAGGAAGAGACTTACTGTACAGGGTGAATATCCTGCAGAGAGACAGAGAGAAACAGACGTCTAATGTGTGAAATGTAAAGAAACCAAAGACTCTTCTTCAAAGTACATCAATTTTTAGGGGCTCACCAGTCAATCAGATAGAGGTCAGGGGTCAGGTTGTTGCTTTGGAAGTGATTGAAAAGACGAGGCAGATTCTCCTCAAAGAAAACCTCGAAGGCTGCAAAATACTTCAACATCTAACAGAGAGAGAGAAAACAAAAAGAAGATGAAGAAGGAGCTGGGACGCAGAGTTAGAAACATAAGTTATCATGCCTGCTGTGTTTGGATGAGAGTGTATGTGTGTACCAGTTCATGGTCCACTCGGAAAAAGGCCATCTGACAGGGTTTATTGAGCAGGTTAGCAAAGGTGATGAAGGCCTCGGCCTCCTCCAAATTGAGGATCAACACAGCAGCGATGAAGGACATGCCCTGAACCTGAAACACCAAACAGACCATCAGCTTTATGATCTGAGAGACAACTCCCAAAGATCATATTCATATAAGCTGGACAAAGTAATACTATACAGCTGTAAATATTAAACATCATTTCAATCTCTGCACTAGACAATCTTAACCCCAATTTCCACCACATCTGGAACGGCTCCGCTGCAGAACGGCATTGATTTTCGTTGTCCAACAATCCCTACCATTTGTGAGGCAAATTTTGTGGTGGATTTCGGACAGCAGGAATTGTGAGAACTCATAAGAACCCGCAGATTTACATGCAATCAAAGACAGCCACGTAACTACATAAGCCGCAGGTTGTTTCCTTCCAGAGGAGGAAATCTACTTCTAGACTTCTAGATTCAGCATCTCCTCATCCACGGTGTCATCAGGGTGAAATGGTGTCTAAAAACCTTTGACTTGTTCGTCCTCGCCCACATTTGTGTGGTGTGAAATACTATCTGCCTGAAGTGTTTTATTTCGAAAAGAAGCCTGATGTTTTATTTTGTGTCAGTGCCCGACTTCTTTTGCTGCACAGGCTAATCTGTGTTGAATTTATGAAGCATGCTGCGCCGTCAGGAAAAAATAGAACCCTGGTGATCAGCTGCGGAGCCTGCTGAATCGCAGAAAGAAGGCGGTGGAGATTGACACATCAAATTGAATGGAAACGATCAGCTGCGACCTGGCGCCGATCCGGATGTGGTGGAAATTGGGGGTTAAAGAATGCTGAAGCTCAGCAATAACGTCAGATTCTGTCTGAGAACTTCAAAAGTATATGACATGTTTAGTTTGTGACTATAATTATGAGTGTCAAATTTAGTACACAAGCGTGAGTGTTGAATGACTAGGTAAACTCACATAGCCAATGTCAGGTCTGTAGCAGGTGTAGGCCCCCAGTACACTGTGGAGGAGGTCGTGATAAGGACCGCCCTGCAGAGAGAGAGACAGTTTAGAAAAAAACAAAGACTTATCCGATGGTTTGTGGATGATGACGGTTGATGCAGCATCACAGTTGTCCTGTTAATAGTGATGTTATTCTGGCTCTCTCACATTAGCCTATGGAAGCGTCATTACTTTGTTGAACACGTTTGATCTGCAGTATGCTGTGTGGAACCTCCTGCCATCATCCTTCAGTGTTGCACTAAGAGGATCGCTGATTTTCTCTGCTGTTATGTAGCTTAAACTGTTTATCAAATCTTAGTTCGCGGAAACATACCCTTTGTTTTTTTCTGTCCACAATAAACTTCATGTTTAGTTTCTAGACATCATGCATTCATAATATACTCGAAATACATTAAACCTCTGTATGAGCTGATCTTGATCATTCCTTCCTGTAGCTGTCAGACTCCACAACAGAAACCTCAGTGTGCAATAAATCATATTTAGATGTATATTCTGTACACATGTATATAATAAGACTCATGTAGATATATATTTTCTTTACTGTAAGTTTCCATATCGTTTTATTTCTCTTTTGTATTTGTATTTGTGCTGCTGTAATTTTGGAATTTCCCCCCATGGGACTAATAAGGGTATACAATATCTTATCTTATCTTATTTTACATTATCTAAGTAACCAAAGATTAGCTAAAGGGTTAGTATCAAGTATTCTGTAAATACTTAAACAGTTGTTCTTTGAGCTTAGAAGGGATGATGAAAAAATGCTCAAATGCGTTACCTTCTGGAAAATGAAGAGGGAGGGGAAGGTTCTGGAAATGTCTAACTTTATAAGGTCCAAGCTTGATTCTCTGTCAGCAAGAGAGGCCCCTCCATCTGAGAAAGAGAATAAAAAAAATAAGAACAGAAGTTTTCAGCAGCTCCTTTTCTTTAGGTGGTGTTCTCTGTCTGTAATATTTCTATATGGGCCACTTTTATACACGTTTGACAGTCTAAAGGTTTGGACTGTAACAGCAGCATGTCAGGGTTTGAAGAGTTCAGGTGTGTCGTACCGCTCTCACTGTCGTTCACTGAGCTGGTTTCACTGTAACTCCTCCACTTCTCTTTGGCTCTCGACAGGAAAATTTCATACAGCTCTGCAAAACAACAACAAAAAAATTATACATAGGAAGCCAGCTGCTTTGACTGGTGATGTAAGAACCCGTCACAATAAAAGAAAGCTGCATTAGCTCAGCAGCTGGCTGAACCACAATTTGTGTCGACACCACCTGATGTGTTGTTTTGATAATATGAAGCAGTCTGTACCTGGTGTGATGTTGAGCTCGTTGCCGATGGCGAGGCTCCACACTCTCCCTCTGATGCTGGGAGGAAGTCCCTGCCACCACAGGTCTCTGACTCTCCTTGTTCCCTTCCTGTACACACATAACAGAACATTTCAATTCTAGCACCATAAAGCTGCATACAGGGTTCCTACACAGTTGGAATTTCCATACTTTTCCATACCCTACTTCTTAGAAACATTTTGGAAATCCTAACTTTTCTGTTTTAGAAAACAGTATTTTAAAACTGTGATAATAGTCTGGAAACATAAATATTGTTCCATACTTTATTTGTCATTTCCTGTACTTTTTAAGACCTGGAAATTGATTACATTTATTTCCATACTTTCCATACTTGCGTACGAAGCCTGTGCATGTGTATGTATGACACATATAAAACAGTGTAGACTTACACGGTGTCCCAATTGGGCAAAATCTCGCTGTTCCAGATGACCATAGCGTGCGAGATGCTGTCCTCCTGTCTGTGCCGCTCCTTCATCTGACGCTTCTTCCTCTGGGCTTCCTTCAACTCTGAACAAAAAAAGTTTAATAGAGTGACGATGAGTTAATGAAAAGATACAGTCTGAGAAACTTCAACCTCTGGTCTTGTCTTATGATATGTCATATTCTTAGAAGTGTTAGAAAGTCCAGTTTTAACATGATGATTAAGAAAAAAACTAAGCTACCTTATGGACCGATTTGTCTCTTTCCTGATCTATCTGTATCTGTTTAGTCAGTATGATCCCATCAGAGGGAAACCTGCTCTACCCAAAATCCTTTTTGTTGGTTTGTGAGGAAAGGAGATCAGAGTGTTTCTATACCTCTTCTCTTGGCTCCTGCCACCATCTCCTCATACTCCATTTTGTGCCGCTGAGTTTCTTCCACAGACTTGGCAGGTAGATTCCTGAAAGAGAGAGAGAGACACACAGTCAGTCAGTGAGACAGATGAGTTAACAGGCGGTCTGCCAGTTAGACAGACAGCGTTTTTCTTCCTGTCAGGTGTTCAGCCACACGCATAGAGACTCTCTGTGTTTGATAGAGATCCCCCTTCATGCTGAGGCTCTCAACAGATGCTCAGTGTTGCTAAGCAACTACAAATAGCCTTTTTGAGGAACACCTCACAGTAAAAAAGTGCGGGGCTGTGGTCAAATAGTCTGAAGAAAGCTGCAGCTATGTTAAACTGATGGAATGATCTGAATGCAAAGAAAATGAGCTTCAAGGCTTCATGTATGAGCTCCTCGCTGACTGGACTCTCTCTAATCTCAAAATTTCTTCTTGTAGCTACAGTTACAGACAGTTCAGATAAGAGGGAACACACTCAGAGTCATTTCCTGGATCTCACTCCCTCTTAGAGAGACTTGTGTGGAAAATTTAGTTTATAGTCTAAGATGTATCAACGATAAACTCTATGCCTCAAAGTCATTGCTTCCAGTCAAGCTGAAACCAGCAAGGACTGTTTAACTGCACTGATATTTTAAATACATTGTTTATTTATGGAGTTACACATAAATGTTAAATTATCAGTTACAACCAACCAGCTGATACTTACGCTGGCCTGTCCTCCAGGATGAGAGCTGTGGTGGAAAGAGGCTCAAACTCAAGATTCCTCCTCTTCCCTGAAGACAGGGGGAGCTGAGGACACGGAGACATATCTGAGTCCCCCTCCTGCTCCTCCTGTGAACATCAAACAAAGAGAGGGTTGAAATCCTGCGTCTCTATTGGAAAGATGGCATCCATGAACCTCTGTGATTATCCCTTTGAGAATTTCTTTGAAGGTCCCACACGACAGAGACGGAAGCGTACGGTTTTATAATGAAGCAGGCAGCTCTTAATGCTTTAAGAACACTGAATGGGTGAGTTTTTTACAAGTCATCTAGTCTTTCATAAGATCTTAAAGACAGTGAGTAAAGCTGCAAATCACAGATGGTAGTAAAGATCAGGTCACAGTCACTTTTCTTGAACCCCAACAACTTACTAAAATAGGACATGATCTCCTCCTCGGCAGATGGTTTACCCAGTTGTCATGGCATTGCAGATATTCAAACAGTGTCTGAGCACTTGAACAACTTCTTCCAGAGCAGCCACTGAGATCCCATTAAGATATTTCTTAAGGTGGTGAGACTGTTGTCTCCAAGTTTAACAGTAAAGTTTCAATCTTAAAAATCTAAAGTCAACAGGAACTCTTTAAAGAACTTTAACAATATGAAGTTTTGTACAAGTCCACAAACACTGAGCAAACTTTTCCAGCAGAGGAACATGTAGACCAACACAGACCCATTCGATAACCTTTATGAGCTTTTTTAATTGCTGTTCCAAGATTAAAATTTAACTTTATTTTTTATGCTGTGTTTCATGATAATTGGAGTTACAGGTTCAGTGTCTTATCTTTTTTCAAGATTGGGGACCTTTGTTGTTTTACTCCACTGTTGACTTCAGATTTCTCTGTCATAAACTCTGGGTGTGAGGAAAATACAAACAAAGAGACTTTCTTCAAAACCAGATGCTCACTGTTCTGCAAACATCTATACACACTCACAAACATCAACGCACACACGCACAATTGGAGCGATTGTCCATCAGCTCTGGCTCAGGAAGAAGACGCTGGTCCACTGGCAGAAAGAATCACTGACTCTGAATAAATTAACATAAGCATGTGCATGTGTCAGGCATGTATGTGGAAATAAATCCTACAGGATGGATGTGGCCTAAAAATGACAGTATATGTCAGTGTGTGTGTGTGTGTGTGTGTGTGTGTGTGTGTGTGTGTGTGTGTGTGTGTGTGTGTGTGTAGAGCCTGCACAATTTACATTTCATCCACAGGCAGCTGTGGGTCAACAAGACAACGAGCCTTTTGTCCTCAGATTTCTTTGCAGCACCAGCAGAGGGCGACACAGTTCCCTCTCTGACTGCTGTGAGACTGCTGCTGCTGCTCTAAGTTAAGGTCAGTTAGAAGAAGAAGAAGTGAAAGTCATATGTGTGAATATCATGTGACTTACTGATCCATATATCTTCAGTTTATTTTCACTTCACGCTGTCATTTACTGTGTCTGTAAAAGGCTGTAAACTTGATTTTAGAACAGCAGGACGTCAAATGGTGGGGTCAGCGAGAGGAGAACCAGAAGGGCTGAGGGGACATAAAATCATCCTATAACTGAGCATGAAACTGTTTTATTCCATCACAAAACACTGATGATCTTTCTTTCCTTTTATTGATGTTGTCTGGTTTATTCACAATTCAATCCTTTGCCATGATTTGACCATAAATCTGTTTTATTAGCACACTAAACAGTCAGTCTACAGGAAAACTAAGGACCCTCTCAGTCTTCTGTACAAACACACATCATACAAAGTATAACAGTACCTCTGTTGTTGTGTTCAAATATGTCTAGTATCTGAGCGATCCATAATCGGCTCATATCTGGGTGAAGAAAGTGAACTCAGTCATTTGCAGGGTCCATGCTGACATTTAAAGGATCCTATCTCCATTCAGTAACCTTGTACAGTTGGTTTCACTCGTTCATCAGCCGCCTTATTAGGTCAAATATACTAAATATGGTAGATATTGCACTGATTGTTTTAAGCACTGGATGACAGGGGTGTCCCATTACAACTTTTTGACTTCCAACGCGATAGTGATATTGTAGCCTTAAATACTGACTGATACTGATATTGGCACAAAATTTTGCATGACAAGTTTTTCATTCAGTTGCAATGTCTTTTTCGGACTTAAACAAAAAATACTGCCACAAGGCCGACATCACTCTTACTCCTTGCTACTTTGTTAGTACCTTTGTACACACCAGTGTTGTAATTCTTGTGAGCTCAGCCTGCTGGATCAGGGCGCTGCTAGATAGAGGTGCCGGAGTGGAGTCTGGAATGGACTGCTTGTATCAGAGTGCTGATATCAGAGATTTTTAGGTGCAGGTCGTATAGAATACGATTTTTGTTTTTTGCAGATATTGGACCGATATCAATACCGTATCGGGAACACACCTACTGGGTGAATATTTTATCAACAGCTCACATGGTGATAGTAGTTTCATGTTGTTTTCAAGTCTCAGACTGCTAATTGTCAACAAACAACCTTCTGACACCGTCCTCCTTCCTCTCTCAGACACACACTTCTTGCAGCTGTAAAGGCCCACAATGCACTGCTACATTGTGTGTTCTTTATAGTAACGTTTTTCTTAAAAAAGTAGTCTATTGTGGAAATAAAATCTCAGTGCAGCCTTGCTTTTTGTATCCCAATATACTGCAATATATCATATTATCACCCCTGTATTAGGATATGCAGTGAATCTCCAGATTCTTGCACATATGTTTACACTGTTTGGTATTAAACAGGGGGCCTGTGATCCCCTGTTTGGGTCAATCCCAAGTGGCTGTTTAATAAACTGCAGGGTAGGGTCTGGTATCAATGTACTGTTTGCTGTAGGATAACATGTGTTAGAGGAAAGGACTGTGGTATATTTTTGCAGAAAACTTCAATCGAAATTCAAAACATGAACAAACTACAGGGATGATACTCCTTCAGTCATAAAGACAGAGAGTGAAGTTAACTGCACATTCACAAGGTTATTATTCTGGTAGTAAACACTGGCATTCCCTCAGAGCCTCTGAGCTAATTGCTGTTTTTCAGTATAAAGATAAATAAAGATTCAGAAGAGACTATTTGAATGAAGTCAGCCCTCTCCCTCCTTCTTCTCCTCCTGCTCTTTTTCTTCTTCTCCCACACAGCTTTGTGTCTGACGTGTCAGCTAAGCAAGGCCAAACCACATCTGGCAGGCTCCTTTCCTGATGAATCATCTGACTCTGGCTGCCATCATGTGAGCAGAGCGAGTACAGAGGCCAGCGGCCTTCAGTTTGACTCTTCTGCCTGAGCACTGCACTGTGGGGTCATGTATTTTGTATGACACGCTGGAGGGGATTTCAGCGAGATGAGCTCGTGTCAAGGCCTCTGGCTGGAGTGTGAATGAACTGACACTGTATATGTTTAATTCATATGACACACCTGCATCCTGTGTGTTTGAAGTGTATGTATGATATGAACATATGATTAAATTTGACCAAGGCGGACCTTGCTGGTGCAGTAAGTGAGAATGTGTGTGTTTGTACGCGTACATGTATGTGTGCCAAAGATGCCACCTGCTCCAGATGACAGCAGAGGAGCAGCTGTGTGTGTGTGTGCTGGGGGGGGTACATCATGTGTGTCATTTCTGGCAGACCCTCATAGAAAACTGCAAACAGGCGACAGAGAGTAAGAGTGTTGGTGTGTAAAGGTTGTGTGTGTGAGCAGGGTGTGAGGGAGTTGTGTGGAGGTGCAATCTACACCCTGAACTGTGGGCAGTGGAAGTTGCCTAGCGACCGTATACACACACACACACACACACACACACACACACACACACACACACACACACACACACACACACACACACACACACACACACACACACACACACGTAGCAAATCCATTTAACAGTCTCATACCAGCCGCTACGCATGTAAACAGACACAGGCTAACTACATTAGCCCCTAGAGTCTCTACATCATCAGGCCAACCAATCAGACTTCTAACAGGCTTAATGACAAGCTGCACTTCACTGTGTTTGCTGGTTTTATCCTGCTGGTTGACTTAACAGGGAAGGAGCTCTCACAGAAAAACAGAGAGGCATTTGGATTTAATACTGAGACGTTTAAATAAAATTTAAAAAAAAAACTAAACATAACTGCTAAACATACAGCACATGTTCTTTTACAAGCTTCACTCTTGAATAAAAACAGAAAATCTCATCTCTCTTTCATCACATACTTTCAGTTTGAAAAACGGTATTCCCTGTAAAGGAAGGCAGTGATTATGAGGTCTCTGTGTGTGTTCATGGTGCTAACCTGCTGAGTGGGCTCTGGGGAGGCAGGGTCTTTAGTTTGATCACCCTCTCTGGCTGCTGTCTTTCCGAATAGTCGCCACCCTGTTGCATTGTGGGACAGTGCTTTGGGCTCTTTGGTTTTCCTAGAAAACAGGCTCCTGAAAAAGATAAAGAAAGACAGCATGAGATCTGTTATTGTTCCTGCTTGTCGACTCACATTGAGCAGTGCACAGGTCTTAATTTAAAAAGAATACAGAAAAAAGAAAGTGTTAAAAGAAGTTAAAAGAAATGTGTCTGGAGGCCACATCATATTTTCAGCATCATAGAATTTTTGTTGACCATCAACAATTTTTTTTTTCTGTTATGTTCCTCAAAGCTTCAGTAAACTCAATATTAAACCTGGCCACCTGAAATCCTATCGACAGACATCTGTTTAGCTTCATTAGGGAGGTTCTTCTCAATACTGTTGTTGCTAACTTTTGATCGCTGATTTTATCCATTAATTACTATGAGGACCATTGTTTGAGAAGGCTTAGACTTCACAGCTGTGAGTACAGAAGTGATACGCTGAAAACTGGGAATAAAAACATTTACCACTGTTGAAATCTGGCCCCACAGGTTGGGGGTTTCTGTCATTCTCTCACAGAGTTTCCCTGACTTTCCCGGCTTAACTTGCCAACCAGTGAGGTAACTACAACTTGAGCAATACCTCCCTGTTTGACCAAAGATCATCACAATCAAACTGACAGAAAACATGTCAAACTTTATTTCACTCAGCCTGTTCAAATTCTGTTCTGATGTTTTTGTCTTTATGTTTTTTTTAACCTCTGTTGAGTTATCATCAGATTCGTGTGTCTGCCTCCAAACATCTGCTGCTTTGTAGGTTAGGCTACACTTCTGTCTGTGGTCTGTGTTACAACCTAGTAAAACTGCGATGATTGTTGCAACATGTTGGCCTTTTTTGCAAGATTAAGCCACCTCAACGAAGGACACATTAGAATTCCTCCATTTCCATACATATTTGTCTTTTGTTTATCTAGCCTGTCTGTTTAAAGTCACTTTTTGTATGCAGCAGTCAGTCCCTTTTTTTTTTCTTTCAAGGCCTTTAAAATTGTTACACTCTTGTAGTTAAAGGGATATTCCAGCGTAAATTTAAGTTATGGTCAAACACACCGAAACACAGAGTTAGACACCCCCTCAAAGGATGAATGTTGCCGACTGCTTGCTATACCAACATTAGTAACGACTGCACGATTGCAATACACAGTGATCTAAGGATCCACGAGCAAACCTCAACTAAAAAGCCACTCTATAGCCACAAATAATGCTCAGAACAGCACCTAACTTCATCAACAGTACATATAGGGTCTCAGCCATAGTACTAGCCATCAAACATCTTTTTAACTTTGCCTGGTTTCTTTGGCAAAGAGACCAAACACAACTTACCCACTGTCTTCCAGCAGTCGCTTGTTTATGGGAGAGCCCTGACGAGTCGATCACAGAGTGCGGCGGATCATTTCCATGAAGTAATAATCACCATATTTATCATTTTGCACTGCAGACACGGTCGTTCTTCTGCATTAGTATCTCTGTCTGATTGCATTTCCATGAAGTAACAATCATAAATGTTCTTCCTTAAGCTGTGAAACTCTGCTGCACTCTGTGTTCGACTCGTCAGGGCTCCCCCACAAACAAGCGGCTGCTGGAAGAGAGTGGGTGAGTTGTGTTTGGTCTCTTTGCTAAAGAAACCAGGTTTCTCTGGTTTGCAACACCAAAAAAGATGTTTGATGGCTAGTACTATGGCTGGGACCCTATATGTACTGTTGATGAAGTTAGGTGCTGTTCTGAGCATTATTTGTGGCTATAGAGTGGCTTTTTGGTTGAGGTTTGCGCATGGATCCTTAGACTGCTGTGTATTGCTATTGTGCAGTCGTTACTAAAGTTGATATAACTAGAGAAGCAAGCGGTCACCACCATTCATCTCTCGAGGGGGTGTCTAACTCGGTGTTACGGTGTGTTTGACCATAACTTAAATTTACGCTGGAATATCCCTTTAACATTTCGTCACTTTTTGTCCAATATTGTTACAATGTCCTGCTGTTAGAATTATTCTGATAATGTTGTGACCAGATTATTTTTTATCAATCCTGTGGCCTCGAAAGTAAGAGGTTTTTAAGGTCAGATCTGAATTCCACAGAAAAACTTTCAGTTCCTCAAAACTCCTTGAGGAGTCAGACATGCAACTCGAAAAACAGTGAAGATGTAATTCTGTATGTTTTTCCTGATTATCACCCTTAAGCCACAATCTTGCAGCTGCAGCAGTTTTTGTGTTATGCTGGAGGAAGATTATTGCCACATCAACAGTTTTACGTTGATTTCAGTGGAAGAGTCTGTTGTTGCACTGCTGGCATGACAGAAAGAAGGAAGGAGGGAGGGGAACTGAAGGAATTATGAAAAGGAAGTGGAGCTGCAAAGGAGAACAAGAGCAAATACACAGTCACGCACACATACATATTTGCTGCAGACCTCGCAGACAGCCAAGTAAATATTATTCCTTTGCTCTCTGCAGGCTCCACCTTCATCACTCTCAAGTGTTTCTGTGTGTGTGAAGATGCATGCAAGTGTCAGAAACAAAGGTTCTGCTGCCTCGATATCTGAGAAGTGTTTTGGAAAAGCCGTGTTATTCATAAATGACCGTGCTTCTTCACTTTGTTTCACTAGCATATTTTTGTACAGTGTCTCTCAGTTCATCTCCTCCATTTCCAGACACAATTCCCCCAAATACTCTTACTTTTTATATAAAATCTTGTTTCTGACTCCTGTCTTCGTGGCTCTAGTTGGAGTCAAATAAATTCTTAAAAACTAAAACATGATCCAACACAGCATCTGTTAGAGATTCCAGCTCATAATTCTGTCTCCTGATCTGATAGACTTGTAAAATTTTAAAAAGAGAAGAAAAGCTGTTAATATCCCGGTAGGTTGGAAACCACAGATTAGGTTTTTACTATTCATTGTGGAGTGTGAGAAAAATAAACCACAATGTTTGTCTTTGAGTCGGTTACATCACGCTGAATATCTAAAGCTGTCCTGCTCTCCTGATCACCTAAACAATCCACCTGTGGCAGCACACGCTGGTTCAATGTTTACTCTACAGGTCAAGAAAGAAGACAGTAGTGCATTGTAACACTCTAAATGGGCGTGTTAGTGTGTGTGTGTGTGTGTGTGTGTGTGTGTGTGTGTGTGTGTGTGTGTGTGTGTGTGTGTGTGTGTGTGTGTGTGTGTGTGAGAGAGAGGTTTTTTGGATGTGATAAGATCTAACCCCATTCCTGGCGTACAGTAGGCCGGATGTGTGTGAATGATTAACCACAGAGGTGGTAAAAGCTTTCTGAATGAAGTGCTGCTGGATAATTGAAGTGAACAAACAGGAGCTCCATGAAACAAAACAGGCTGCTAATTTGATTTTCAAAGAGACACTGCTGATGATGAGTTTTATCGTGTAATATATGTAATGTGTATGTACATATATATATATATACACACATTTGGGGTGGGGAAAAAAATCGATACAGCCTAGTATCGCAATATATATTTTATCGTCTCATTGACCAAGAATAGATTTTTAAATTCATTGCTAATATGAAGTCAAATCTATGACAATGAAAAATAAAATCAACTATTTGTCCAGTGAGGTTGGCAGAGGTGACATCATAGAGCAGGAGAAAGTTAGTACAACAAATTGATGTATTAGGTTTGCAAGATGTGCTACATGGAAAACAAATACAGCCTACATAAGACAAACATAAAGGAAAGACAAATGCTAAATTAGCTAAACAGCTGAAAAAATTATATTAATCGCAATATATTGTATCACAATATTGAGTATATTGCAAAATGTTAAAAATCGCAATAATATCGTATTATGGCCCAAGTACCGTGATTACACCGTATTGTAGCAGTTTGTGTAGGTTGACCATATTCTGAACCCCCACTACACAGGGCCGGAGTCATGGAGTCGCACCAAGTTAATTTTAAAACTTTTTCAGGTTGGATTGAGTGTCTTTTACACGCTTCTAACTTACTAAGTCCATGTGACACAAACTCAAAACTTCCATACAGAACCCTGGACATTTGAAAGATTTTATAAACTTCCCTGGACAAAGCCGCACAGCCCCCCAAAAAGAGGACATATCCGGGCAGAAGAGGACGTATGGTCACCCTAACTTTGATCATATCTTTGATTTTTATAATAAAATTTTTCTTTCCTATAACTACATGAAGATCAGCCCCTCTTATACCATACCTGATACCAGGCACTACAAAGAGATTGCATGAGCAAATAATGCTGTATAAGTTTTGCTGTGACATACACAGGTAAAGCTTGTGGATATGCTGGATGATGGCAAACTGATGTACTGGCCCACTGCTCATCTGTCTCTCAGGTCACATGAGGAACCATGATGCAACATAGTCTATCAGTGAAGGGTGTTGATTTGAAGTCGTGGTGGATTGGATTTCTTTACTGAGTGTTTATCTTTCTTTTGTAAGCATGAGCACAAGTTATGTTTATATCGAATGGAGAAAAATGCTTCATCTAAGTAGCAAAAAACTGACTGCAGACAATTTGCTTTTTGTGACATTGTGCTAACACCACATCGTTGTTGTTTGCTGGTGTATAAAACAGTTAAGCTGAGACCAGATGCATTTAAGTAGCACAGGAGACCAATGCTGACACCAGCGCTGTATTCATCTATCATCAGTTCCTTGTAGTTTTGGAGCAAACGGGTTTGGCAGTGGTCGAACTATTCATTATCTGAAAAATAAACACTGCCCAGACAGAAAAGAGCGTCTACTTTAGTCTCAATACAACTGGAAAAAGCGTGCAAAATGTGAGAATACTGATGCAAATGCAGCTGGAACTTAGTTAAGTTAAGATGAAAACATTATTGAAACACCTGATAAAATATTCTGTTGTTTATTGAACAGATGCAGTCATCTCTGGCATTCAAAAGAGGGTTAGGACTTCTGGATAAAGAAGGATAAACTGAACCGCATAATGATCCTCTCACACATTCGATAAATTGAGCCTTGAGGCATTGATAGAGTGGACTTAAATGACTTAAACGTTTACAGTGAAAAGTAGAATTGTTTTTCTGGAGAAGTGCTGGGGGCTAAGTTATGCAAATCAAGTCGCATTCCTACTTTGATTTGTCCTGATTTTCTCTGCTGCTGACCCTCCCTGACCCGTCCTAAGCACTGTGAACCAAGCAGCCAGCGTGGAGGTTTTCCAGCAGGCCTGTTTTCTCTCCTCCATCTGTCTGGATTTCCTCTCAGACGCTGTAACAGTCAAACCAGCTGCTGAGGCCTGGGTCCAAATCCAAAACAGGGCCTGACACAGACAGAGATTTAACAAACAGAGATTTTCCTACACCTGCCAGTCAACCCAGATTTTACTGCCTCAGTAAACACATGGAAAAAGAGAAACCCCTCTGGCTGTGAGCAGATTTCCTTAACATGATCAGGACAGAAGTGTTTTAGCTCTTTAACTTCCTCGTGTCTTTAAAAGAATGCTGTTGGGGTGCAGTTCTCCTCCCTTTACTTGCCAGTCCAAATCCTCCTTAAAAGCACAATTGGAAAAAAAATCAAAGAGAAAAACCACTACAGAATACTGCAGACAGAAAACTGAGCTTTAAATTCAGGAGACAAAACACAGACACCACCAGCCTCCAAATCATCAACATCATTGGATTTAATTGCATTGAGGTGGTTTGACTTCAAAAGATAGATGTTGCTCAAAAGACGCCAATCTGCTTGTTTTAGTATCTGCATACTAATCAGCACACAGAATATAAAGAATATGGAAAGCTCAGGAAGTCGCAGGTTAACAATGGCAAAACAACAACAACAAAAAACAACGATCAAACTTTGCTTACCTTTTCAAGTATGCTCTTAACAAGGGAAAGCACGTACAATATAAACCAGTGTTAAACACTGCAGAGTATATGTTTAGTGTTTGACTGACGAAATGCTCATGAATTTTGCTACTCTGTTCGTCGTCCACCACTAACGTTTTCATCTAGTCTCATCTCGTCAATGTAAACACACATTCGTCTCGTCACATTTTAGTCATCTAAGACTTATGTTTAACTAGTTAACGTCACGTCTTCGTTGTGGAAAAAAAAGGGGCGTCAACGAAAACAACACTGATATAAACCTTTACAAGTTTTACAGTTTTTGTTTATTACACCTTTGAAGAGGTGCAAATCCATCTAAGTTATCAAGACCATTCTGCAGCTGGGTAGTTGTTCTGTTGTCCTTAAGTACATATAAGTACAGTATACTGACAATGCAACAACCAACGAAAATACATTTAGCTGAGGAAGTAAAGGCACTTGGACAAAGCACAATCAAAGAAGTTCTTTGTGTTGTGCTCTGCACCCGTGCTTTTACTCGCCTGTGGAATTTACAGAATGATTTCATGCAAGTGTTTCAGTTTTATGTGATCCTTATGCAGGGGTGGGCAATCGTGCCATGGAGGGCCGAGAGGCTGCAGGTTTTCTTTCCAACCCAAAACTCCACCAGGTGATTTCACTGATTACCTTACCTCCAAGCACAGAGCAGGGACTAATCAGTGAAATCACCTGGTGGAGTTTGGGGTTGGAAAGAAAACCTGCAGCCTCTCGGCCCTCCATGGCAAATGATTGCCCACCCCTGTCCTTATGGGTGACACGTAATTTCTGTATGTTAGTATTAAATTACTATCATCAGTAAGTAAACAAAGCACAAATAAATCCTGACTGATTTGCTGATTTATTCTGTAGTAGATAATTTACAAGTAGTATTGAAAAATCACTGTGTCGCTATTTTTCAATAGAGGCGCACTGATATAAGTGTGTGCCGTCCTCTTACTATATGCACCAGAATCAGATGACACAGATTTGGACATTGTGACCACCAGTAATTAAAAAGAGTTAACTGTAAAAAAATGCCAGTTTCAGATGACATTAAAAGGCAGCTACACTCGTCCTCTTTGAAAGGAATTCAACTCTTCTAGTAGTCCTCTAAAATGTAAATGCAATGTGTGTCTTCTCCTTGTCTGTAATGTTTGGCACAGATGAGTGCTGCTGTGGCTGTAAAAGCAGACCCTCCTGAAGGTTTGAACAAATAGCCCCTCCACTATCAGCAACCTCTGTGTCTCCAGGCTGTGCTTTGATGTCCTCAACCAACCTGCCTGACTCTACTCTGTTTCCTAGGCTTAAAAACATCTGTGGATTTTTCTTTGAACACAGTTTGAACAAAACACATCAACGCTGGTCAAAACAACGTCACAATCCTGGATTGAAAAAGGGATTAAGAGAGCGCTGGCCCCAGGAACTTGGCTTGAAATAGAGAAATACGTAATATCAAGGATGAGATGAAACCTGCTGTCAAAAATAAAGTTCATCAACAGTCCAATCTGAAGTTCTGCTGCCAAAGGAGAACACAGAAACACACCCCATCTCGTTCACTGGTCAGTGAAAGATGCTCACACTAGATGTCAGCAGCCTTGTAGCTTCCATGTGACTTTTCCTGTTGTGGAACCACAGCCTGAACCATGACGTTAATCAATTAATCAACACAGGAGCGCAGCTGAGCCCTGTCTGAACAAATGATCGACTACAACGACATTAGAGTTTGACACCAGATTCAAACATGTTTTCATACTTCACAGATAATGACGGCTGCATATTTCAGACTTACAGTAAGGTTAATGAATGTAGATTCCCATGTGACTCTACATGCAAGTTCTATAAATGCTGCTCTGTCGTGATTTACAAAAGGTCAACTCTGGTCAAACTGTTCCTGATCTGTCCTATTAAGATTTTTTTTTTTTTTCAAACTATCTGTAAGTGTTGAAAAGACTGGTCCCGAATCATCAACTATCTTAGAAATTTCAATACGCTTTTATTTTTCCCTTGGCAGTTGTACAGTCACAAGATGTGTGCTGCAGGGTGGTAGCAGCAGTGCAGAGGTTAAATGGTGTGATGAAGCAGCAGCCCTGATGCCTTAGAAATAGAAAGCAGAGGAAGCAGTGAATGTGTGCTAGGCCCTGAGGAAAGAGGCTGCGCTGAGTCAATGCTCACTGAGGCTTGCTGTATCACTTACTGAACATATAGGGAAGTGGGGCATGATCTGCATGAAACCAATTGCACAGCTGTAGGCCCTACGCTGTAGCTGAAAACTGTGGATGAATGTCACATGGTCAAATCACCTTCTGAAATGTATCATTATAAAACCAGACCAATAAATTAGGGGTCATTCTATGTCAGTATTTTTCAGACTAATTTCAACATCTATTGCAAAAAATTCTTAATTTAAATTCAACTTGGTGCAAAACTGTGTTTTAAGCGGCCAATGGTTATTTACCAAATTCTGTGAATGTGGGTTTTCTCCATTTCCTTATCTGTTTACGGGCTTCACCTTCAATTTATTAATGACTTTTACTAACCGGGCTGACCTCGACACTGACCAACCAAAAAGACCGTTCAAGTGCAAAGGGTTAAATCACAATGAAATCCATTTGTCATGTTTGTGCTTGCTGAATGAATGCCAGGACCTCATTACAACCTGGGATCTGTTCTTGATTTAATAATATCCAGACCAGATGGAGGAGGACACATGGTGGGTGCCTGAAATAAATGGCTGAGACGGCAGATGACAAGGGTGTGTTTGAATGCAAAGATCCAAACCGTGCACACATTTATAACAGTCCAGACTGGAGGTGCACCTGTTTCTACATCTCCAATAGATATACTTGAGAATTTTTTAGATCGCAGTTTCTTGTGCAGATGTTTTGCCTGAGAGACACACCAGTTTGCCACCTGTTTCAAAGTGGGTGGGGGCAGCTTGTCAATCAGAAAGTATTAATTTATAGTCAGTGGTTGTATTTGGGATGCTGTGAGGTAAATCAATAACTGTAAATTATTTATTTTCTTGTGAAATACAGATTTTTGTCTGCCACTGCTAACCTTATGTTCCAGAGCAACAGTGTGTTTTTCACCTGCTCATGTCTGACCACAGCCTGTTGCTAAGGCTCAAATCAAACACAGCTGCACATTTTCAGGGCATACATATTTGACATACCCAGATCTATATCTGTTGTTTGTGGATTGTATGTTTAGTCACATGATTGGATCATTTTGCTCAAAAAACACAGGCGTTGGTTCAAAATAAGAGTGCTTTGAACACTTAAACATCCATGAGATAAACCCTGGTTTGTGTCCCTCACAGTCAGGGGGATGCCAAAAGCAGGGGGATTTGTGACTTCAGTTCTTGCTTCACTTTTGTTTCCATCTTCTTAAAATCTGAAAGAGCCTGAATACTTTTTTTCTTTTCATATTCTGAAGTCTCTTTAAGTCTATTTGTGTGATGCAAGAGCAGTCCTGCTTCATAACAGGTCCTAAAAGGGTCTTTTCAGATGTTGGGATTTAGTGGTTTGGTTTGCTGCATACAAAGGTTGTTGACCTTTTTTACACCCAACACATCACTGGACTGTATGCTAAAAAGCTTACCACCTGACAGACCTAGACAGAGGAGTACTCAGACAGAGATAAAAAAGATAAAGAGTGTAAACACTGGATCTACCTGGTGAAGAAATCAGCGATGCCGAACCTCTTTGGCATCAGCTTCGGGTCCGAGCTGTCAGTCTGCTCGGTCAGGTCTGGCAGCTTGTCCGGGGCGCTCTGCCTACGACCCGCCTCCAAAACGTTCCTAAAGTCCTCATCGTAACTGTCGTCTCCGAAATAAAAGCCACCATCCTCGTCTGGGGACAGCGGGGTGGCATCACAGCTAAGTGAGAATGCGAGGTTAGGGTTAGTCCTCAAACTCTGCGGCCTAACTGGTAAACTCAGATCGTTGAAGTCCTCCTCTTCCTCTCTGATGTTGGGTTCAGATAGCGGGCTGTCACCGTTCACGTCGGGGTAGGAGGGCAGGTAGGGTGAGGGGGGTTTGGCACTTGATTCCAGGGAGGAAGAGTCCTTGGACGGGGATGGGTCGAGAGAACCAATGGAGTGATTGAGCTCTGCCGGGGTTGGTGCCTCCTCCACAGGGTACTGGGAGACCAATGTCCCCTCGAAGGCCCCTCTACTCCTGGGACAAACTGCCCCGTTGTCCTGCCCAAGCCCCAGATCCAAATCAATGTCCGAGTCTTGCAAGTCACATGTTTCTCTGGCGGTTGTCACGATGTGTAAACCACCGTTAGCTACTTTCACTTCCTCGCAGTCCACGTCGCATGAACCAAATCTCTCGTCAAGAAGCTGACTGGAAAACATCCCCGTCGATTTGCTCTTAGATATGTCAGCTTCTGGACCGCCGTGCCCCAAGCTGTCAACATCCCCGTTGGGCATGTTTACATGTGGACCCGCGAGAACAGCTGCGGTGCAGGCGCAGTTCCGCTGGTGCCTCCCCGTGCATGGCAACCGATCAAGAAGTGCTGAAGTCCCGATGCATCCAGCCGACTCTTCCGACGGGCTAACGTCGTCGGGGTCTCCGGTGTCACCCTCCTTCTCCCCCACAGGCTGCTGTCGCATCTGTCGACCCGTATCCAATGCAACCCGAGTCCCGGGCACAGCTGGACAGGAAGCGGCTGTGGTCCCTGTGAGGCCGAGCCCTCCTCCTCCTCCTTCTTCTTCCCTTTCTCGTACGCCTCCTCCTCCTTCTTCCAGTCCGACCATTGTCGTCTCCAACTCACAGAATGACTCAGTGAATCCGTTCAGGCCGCCGTGGACCCCAGAAATCACACAGTTATCAGTGAACTGCCCGGGGAGGTATCTTTCCCCCGCGACCAAATCGAGCATTATCTCCTTCTTGTGTGGTGACGACCGCACTGAAGGGTCTCTGTTTACATTCCTCCCGTTACCGGTCACGTAAAACTGACCCTTCCCGGCTTCCTGGCCCCCGCTGACACCAACCAGCAGTGCCGTGCTGTGATCTTGGACCGCAATGTAAGGTTTCCCACCCGCTTTTCCCCCTCCTCCACCACCACCACCTCCCTTTTCTTCGTTCTCGTTCAAGTCGACTGCTAAAGACCCTCCGTTCTCCCCCGTCGTTTCCATGACCACTCAGTCCGTTAGGCGAGCCTCGGGCCCGGGCGTGACAACCTGCATCGAGTCCTCCTGCCCCGTCGGCCGAGCTCCGCAGCAGCAGCAGCAGGTTTTGTTGTTCTTGGAGGAAGGGGCTACCATTTTAGCCAGGGCAAACTTCAGCGTTACCTGACAACCACTGGCTGTAACATGTTACTTTCTTGCGCCTTAAACAACAATATTTCACAAGCGTTGCTAAGTAAACGTCGACGCGAGGCTGGAAGATTAATGAAATCCCTCAACGTTTAGCTGACTACAGTAGCGGCATCCCGGCCACAGTCCTGCGCCATCTTGAAAATACCCCAACAATGACGTCATGCCCCCCCAACTCGCTCTCTGTCTGTTTTGAATCGCTGAGGGATTACAGTGACGCCTACCGGCCACTCCGTGTTATTACATCAGTGATTCCTGACCCCATTGACCCCCAAAGCAGAGGCGGCGAATGGCTGTTCACTTTTATTCGTCGGTGTAAGTTTTCAATGTAATTTGAACACATTATAAGAAGGGTCATGTATGAAGAACTTAATAAATGTTTGTTAATCAAATTAACTACATTTCTCCCCGGGGTAAATTAAGTATTCTGATCATATGATATACACAAAGGTGCAAGACTTTGTCCCCTCGATTAGTACTGCATTTTTGGTTCCTAGACTGGGTCATATTTTCTTGTTTAGAAATGTGTAAAACATGGCTGATTAACCAGCCTGAATTTTAACAAGCTGAATCTGAATAGCATTTTGTATGCATATCATTGTATATCCTTGCAGTCTAAAAGGGTAAAACAAAAATACAGAGTGGACAAAAAAAATAAAATAAGTTAAAAAACTGCCAAAATGCTGTGTTCTCATTATATGGGTTGTGTATAATCTAAATCAAGGTGGATTTTCAAAGTACAATATGTTCTTTTGAGTTGTGGTATGTACAAATTCACCCCCCCACCCCCCCACCCCAAAAAAAAAAAAAAAAAAAAAAGCCAAATTGGGCTCAAAGTGTAATAATTCCATGCCTACTTTCCTCGTTATTTTATTACCTTTGATTTGAATTGTTAAGTATTACATTTTATACAATGTTTATGTGCAGACTTGTTGTATAATCTGTCCCATAGCATGAAGATTAACTTTTCAACTCAATTAAAATCTAAAATTTGTGTGTTAATGCTAAACTGCAGAACATTTTATTCAGCTTGATGACCAGACTAACAACCAGCAGACCTTTTGTTGCCATATTTGATTTTTATATTTGTTTAAAAAAAAGGTCAAAACGAGGCTGAGCCCCACCCCACTTAGCTTTTTTTTTCGTTGATTTCGAATCAGAAACAAGTTTTAGGTTTATAAAACCTTGAAAATCCTGAAAATTGATAGTGGACCTGACTCAAAAAAGGGTGACAGCTGATCTGACAAAAAAATCATGCAAACATTAATGACTGCTTACTATACTCAAAAAAACATTTAAAAAGCAACAAAGGATTATCGAACTCAAAAAATATTTTAAAGTTATTAAGGGAAAAAGGCTCTGCGATGTGACTATCGCACCCACGTACATCGCGATGACGATGCTCAAACAATATATCGTGCAGGCCTAAGGGACGGGCTCAAATCTACTCAATAAGACCATCTACACTCACACATGCCTCAGGATAATGATAGACGATTAACATTTTTCAAGCAGTTTTGAACTTCAATGTTTTGATGACCAGAATGACAAAAGTACATAAAGATTCAAAAGTGAGAAACACATTCACGCTGCTGTTTGTTTTTTATTAAGCATAATTCATGTAAAACACTTAAACAAAATAAGAGTCTTTTCAGTCCAGTCTGACTCGTTACATCTTTAGTTTTTTATGTTTCTGAAGCAGCTTCATGAGAAGTGAAGGACAGTCAGTATTGATCAGTATTGATCTGATTATCTGAGTTACAGGCTTACTTGACCTGCAATTTGACTTTGATGTTCATGGCTGCCAGCTCGGCCACAAAGTACCTAAACACGTACGGCACAGATATTGAGTCGATGGCGTCACTCTTCCCGCACAGCAGACACACCGTCTTGCGGTGCTTCAAGGACGACCAGTAAGGAGGGGGCTTCTCCAGCAGGGGGGACAGCAGGCTGCCACAGTCCACGCACACCTGAGTCACCGAGCGGTCTGAGCAGTTGAAGAGGCGGTCGTGCAGCAGGAAAGAAGAGCCGTGAGCGAGTAAGGCATCACGCTCCATCTCTCCAAATCGTATCCCTCCCTGGACGTTCCTCCCTCCAACCGGCTGGTTTGTCACCTTGTCGCGAGCTCCCGTCGTCCTCACTTGGAACTTATCTGAAACCATGTGACGCAGACGCTGGTAGTAGACCACCCCGATGAAGATGTCTGCCTCCAGCTCCTGCCCGCTAATCCCACTGTACAGCCGCTCTGTGCCGTAGTAGTTGTATCCCCCTGCCTGCAGCATCTTGCCAAAATACTCAAGCGCCGAAGCTTCCTCTGAGAACCTGAAGGGCGTGGCATCGTGGCTCAGGCCGTGTAGAGCGCCGGACTTCCCCGCCATGCTCTCTATCAGCATCCCGATGGTCATACGAGAGGGGAAGCCGTGTGGGTTGAACAGGATGTCAGGGCACATGCCGCTCTCTGTGAATGGCATGTCCTCTGCCGGCCACAAGCGGCTCAGGATGCCCTTCTGACCGTGTCGGCTGGCGAACTTGTCCCCGATGGTTGGGTTACGAGGGATTCGAACAGTGATGCAGACTCGTTTAAAGCGGCCCGTGCCGGAGTCGTTGCTGCAGATCTTTATGTTGTCGACCACACACGACTCCTGGCTCCTGAGAACAAGAGAGAAGAGACGTTACTGTATTTTATCATGACAGATTCATCTTTTTTTACAGTACTGCACTTTATTTGATGAAGACTAGTACTTGTAGTAGAAGATGAAGGTCTGTCCCGTGTTCAGATTGATGTAGGAGTAGAACGGGTCTCCATAGTGCAATGTGGACCCAATGTGAGGAAGACCATCAGAGTCCAGTCTGTCCATCACTTTGGGGTCTCCCGGTTTGGTTCCGAACACAATGGCGTCTTCTCCCCGAACTTTTTCGGCCAGGTCCACCAGCTCAGTCTTGTAGATGCTGCCATGAGCAAAGCCGCGCTCCCAAGATGACTTGTTTACAATCTGTGGAAACATTCATCAGTGTCAGAGTCTCACTCTTCCTCTACTGTTTATTTTAAGTGGACAAAGAGCTCCTCACCATGGCGTCCTCCATGTCGTAGCCTGTGTAGGAGATGACGGCCACGATGGCGTTGGTGCCGCTCGGGTAGTTGTCGAGGTCATAGCGATCGTACATGGAGGGCCGCACCAATGGGCTCTGAGGGGTTTGAAGGCGATACAGCTTGTTGTCAGAGCGGTCCATGAAGCTGTGCAGAGGAAACCCCATCGTCTGCTTACCTGCGGACACACATTTACACTCACAGGTAAACTCTTTGTGATGAGGTGCACCGACTGAGTGGTTGGTAAGCAGAACCTGCTCATTATCAGCTTGTTTTGCCCCAATCAACGACCAGCTCAGCTTCTCAGTAACATCTGGTTCTGTGCCTGTCTCACTCTTACACACAGGGGGTGCCAAAGTGACACAAACACTCACGATAACAGGTTAGGAGTAAACGAGGGGCACCTTTCAGCAGAGGGAAAAAAAATTGACCTATATGTGTTTCCCAGTTACACTCTTGATTTCTACATCCAGCTCATATCATACATATCATATTACATGGCTACACTGGGGTACAAAAATAATGAAACCTCAGCTTTTGAGCACAAGACAGACAAGTTAAACCCGCTGTGAGATGTGTCACTCTGCAGGAAATATTAAAGATGAAGAGAACTCTTCGCAGCCTTTCACAGAGGCGGTGAGGAAAAGAGAGGCTAACATAAAGGGCGCATGACATCATGTCAATATAAAATCTGGAACATGAAACGCAAGTGTGTGTGATTCATGGAAAATTCAGTACATATGTGTATAGTATTTGTGAAAATAATTAAGTAAAGGTTTTATGATGAACATAAAATTAGGCTTCCATTATTATATAAAAAAGAAAGATTTTGCTGTTCATTTTTGGTAGTGTGAAAACTAAAATCAGCCAAAGAAAGGTTTAAAATAAACACACTGAAACACACCGACACAGCTAAGCTTTACACTATAAAACACTTATCAACCCTTTGAACTCTAATACACACATGAACACATGAACTTCTAACTCTCAAAAACAGGACTGCGGAAACTTCACAAGGTATACTTGTGTATACGACGTTGATTCCTGGAGTCTTCTCCAATGCTTTAGGACAATACTTAAAAAAAAAAAAAACCCACCAAGCAACTCTGACAAAGACAGACCAAGCTGTAAACTAGATGAATCTGTGTCACCACTCGTCTTTTCCCTCTGCTATGCTCTGCTCTTTGTTGGTTCTATGTGTTTCAAACAGTAGCTTGAAAGTGTCTTTTTTTGGTTGTGAAAGAAAGTCAAAACTATTTTCTCTTCCAAAAGAAGACACCTGAAAATATCGGGATGTTCCTTCTTTCAAAAGTTTTAAGTAACATCATTACAGCAGCTTTGACTAAATGAGGAGCAAAGTGGGCACTAACAGCTAGCCTTTTGAAAACAAAAGGATTGATTACTTAACATCCAAACAATTATTCCAGCGCCTGTGAAGGTGTGTGTGCGGATATGTGTCGAGACTCCCACTGACCCATCTGGCACTGGTACATGTTTCTGGGACTCTGGTTGTGGTCTGAATAAGGGATGAAGTTGGCGACCACACTGAGCATGCTGTGTGGAAACAGCTCCTGATGAGTTGTTACGCCGGGCTCGACCTCATCCTCCATGATACCCACGTTAATGTACAGCTAGAGGGAGACACAGACCGATCAATAATCACTGGTAAACAATGAACAGCGTGGTGACAAAGCATGTGTTTTAACCTCAACGTACCTGTTCAAAGGTGCCTATCAGCTCCTGCTCCCCCAGGGACAAGTTCCTGACAGGTCGGACCATCCTGCAGGGTGTGGTGAAGAGATAAAGACCCGGGTACAGACTGGCCTTTCCTGTTTTAGGAACCAGGACCACCTCAGCCCATGGCGGGATCTTCTTCTCTCTCAGCACCTGAAAGTTTAAACTTTAAATATCAGCTTTCTGCATGGGCAGGAAGTTCAGGCAGGTTTAAATCTTGATTCAGTGAACATACTTTTAACCTCCGTATGAACATACCTTAAACCTCCGTATGGAGTCAACCACCACCTGAGCTAGATCAGGCTCCACCCAGCCCACCATAGCTCCATCAAGAATCACCGGGTAACAGTCTGAAAACGCCTGACCGGGTGTACCATCAACTGGAGTCACACCTGAGACAAAAGAGATGGTGTTATTTTAAATATAGCTGTCCAATAAAGGTAAATGGTAACTGGCATTTCAACTTTAGTTATTCCTTTTTGTCGATATAACATTCATCCTCCCAACACAAATGAAAATCCTGAATGATTCCTGCACTGATCTATAGACCCACCGAGGGAGCAGAGCAGTGCAGGCAGGGACACTGTGGACAGACTCTGGGACACTATCTCACAGCTGGCCGTCATGTGGTTCATAAGTCCACACGGCTCTCCATCCGGCGTGTGGACAGGACACAGGAAGCCCCAAGACTCGGGCAGAAGTTTCCTGACCGATGTGGTTCTCATCTTGGCGAAGGCGGCTCCTCTGTGCACGCAGCGGAAGTGTGACAGGTATCGGATGAAGTTGAGTTTGTCTGCGACCACGCACAGACCCGTGTTCTGCAGCATGCCCAGACCTGAACAAAGACCCCAGAGAAACAGGTATTTATAACAAGATCTGTGCCTCTGCAAACATGTACTAACACTGATCTCAGCTCAGTACCAGTCTTAGAGTTCAGGTTCCCAGTGGCCAACAGGTACTCAAAAGCTTTGGTGAGATCGGATGTCATGTTGAAGAGCTTCATCACCGTCTCGGCTGTCCACTTTCCTTTCAGTCTGATGCTGCGTTTATCGAAAGTGAGCTTCGCTGACACCAACCAGGCTGTCAAGCGCTCCTGAGGAGAAGAAGGTGGTAAAAATGGGAAAACTCTTCTGTTTCAACTTGAAGCTAAAAAAGTAAATCTGTAAAAAGATTAAAGTTGCTCCACTGCCAGCAAACCACTCCCAGTCTCACCTTAAGGAACATAAGGTAACCAGATCAAACAGATTAAGCATCTGGAGCAGGTGTTGTTGGTCTCACCTTGAGGAACATGAGGTAGAGCTGACCTGGAGTCAGCACCTCCTGACACATGATGCTGTCAGGGTTCTCCTCCAAACACCCCTCCTTTGCAAAGGTGAAGAGCTTCCTGGTCATCAGACACAGCAGGTAGAACTTCTCGATGTCAGAGTGAAGGTGGATGAGGATGCACTCACTACAACACACACACACGCACGCACATTTTTAACACTTTCATTATTTGAGTAAGAGTGGCTTAGCAACATAAATACACTTTAAGAACACAAAGATTGAAGTTGAATGGAGATGCTGTGTAGTTGGTGTGTACTTGTTTTTAGTGTATTCTCTGTGTATTCTTCTTTTATGACATTATTTCTTATTGCATTTTAGTCATTTCACTGCTGAACGTATTGCAAATGTATTTATTTATTTATTGCTAATTTGTGGTGCTGACAGGGGAATGTTTGGGCCATTTGTTGCTGTGGATGTCTAGTATTTGTCTGTTCTTTGATCATTTAATAACAAGGTGGGTTACTGTGACATGAATTGCCCTTTGGGGATTAATAAAGTTGATGTGAATTATGAATATTGCAGGTACACTCTATTTGTGTGTGAACCACTTTGGCAGACTCATTAGCACTTTAAAACTCTGTCCTGAATAGTTATTTTGTACCATTCCTGCGTGGTATCTGTGTATTGTGTGTGTACCGCACTTACTCTATCAAGAAGCGTGCACACTGCTCGTGTGTGTACCACTCAGGCAGGTTCAGTTTGACTCTGAATCTCTCTCCCAGGTAGCTGAGGATGGAGCTCTGGGTGGAGCAATCCTCCTCCATCACCATACGCAGCATCTCGCACACACAGCTCTTGAAGAATGAGTTCTCCTCCAGACCCTTTATCAGTTCCTGCTGGATCTGAACATCCGACCAGTCCACTAGAGCCTGTGTGAAACCAACAAGAGTTGCTACTCTTTATTCAAACTTAACTTTAGCTGTTTTTGTATTTATTCTCCCACTTATTTTATTCTACACTTTATTAAACTTTGTTTGACAGCAGTCCAGAGGATGATGACTGACACCCTCCACAAAGAGGGTAAGTCAGAGAGGACTGGTTGTCCACAGAGTGCTGTATCAAAACATATCGATGGGAAGTTGAATGGAAGGTAAAGTTTTGTGGGAAAAGGTGCTCAAGCAGCAGGGATGACTCGAGCCCTGAGAGAAATGTTGGAAAAAGGTTGACTCAAGAACTTTGGAGAGCTTCACAAAAAATAGACTGAGGCTGGAGTCAGAGCATCAATTGCCACACTGACACTGCACAGGCGTCTTTAGGAAAGGGGCTCCAGCTATTACATATGGGATCTCTGATTTTCATGAACTATAAGTGAAAAACCAGCTGACTTAGAAGTGGGGTAGGCAGAATCTGAGGAAGTGTCAGTTTTTGGGAGAAATCTTGAATGTAAGCACTACCCCTCTCAACCATCATTCCCCTCAGCTCCTCCTCTCCCTTCCCTCCCCCACAAACAGACGCTCCTGCTCGCTCGTATTGTTCCAATTAAATTCAGATATAATGCAGATAAATCCTTCAGATAATTACAAATGGGGCCCAGTCAACGTGAAAGTAAAAATCATTGGTGCTACTGTAGATGCCAACAGACTAGCAGCAAACACAATATTTGCTGGACTTCTACAACTAGGATAAAGTGACATACTCCAGGACCCGAGGTAAACAGTTTAGCGGCGCTACAACATGCAGCAGGTCCCATTTGCCAGTATTTCGTTTGTTTTCTTGCTTGTGTTGGCAGTCGTGAACAAAGGAGGATTCAGACAATTATCCATACTTTCTGGTTGGTTCCTTCAGTCTGATATTCTAGCATGCTAACTTTGTTAGGGCTCATGCACGTTATTCAAGGATGTGGAGCGTGCCTCACGACATGAGGGAGCAGCGTCTGCCTCACAACCAATCAGGTTGGGGGAGGTGGAGAATGGTTTTGTTTACAGTCAGAAAGAGCAGGCCGCTCAAAACTTTTAAAATGTTGACTACACAGACATAAAACACAGTGATATTGTGATATTCCCAAATGTCATCAATAGGTAATAGCTATTGACTGATATTAAAAGCTTTTTTGTATATACGCCACAAAAAAAGATGCTTCTTTAACAGAATCCTGCCTACCTCACCTTTAAAAGATTTCTTTTTACATTTAATGATGATAGCGTACATGAATTAAATTACACAGAAAAGCAGCAGTAGCAGTGTATACATATGCAATATCTCCTGTTATGGAGTTATAGCTAAGACTTGTTTTACTGTCGAGGATTATGGAATGACTGACACCCGGTCACTCAAGTAATATTCCCTCTGATCTTTTCTAACACAAAACTCAGGCTGTGACTTGGAGACCCAATGTTTACCTTCAGAGCGAAGCCCAGTGGGAGAAAAAAGAGCTCCTTCTGGTAGATGAAATTCAACATCACTGTCCCATTGTCCAGATAGTGAAGGTTCATGTTCACCGCTGTGTGCTCTTCTTTTACACACCTCATAGAGATACCTGAGAGGAGAGGGCAGCCATTGTAACAGAACAGTCACAGTGCCAATGATAATGAGAAAAATTCAGATGTACTGTAATGAGTGTAATATCCAAAGCTCCTATGAGGACTTTTTGGTTGATAAAACAGACTGAAATTAATAGTTGTGCCCTTTTATGACCTACAATGACCTTTAAGAAATGTGTTGTGACAACACAACCACATGTAGAGGACAAAGCAAGTGAATGTATAAGGGAGCACAATCAACACAAGCAGAAAGTTCATCACAGGAGCTATAAGGTTGCTATGGCGCTGTTGAATGTGGTATTTACCATACTGGGTGTATCCCTGTCCTCTGCCCTTCCACTTTGGTCGTGACATAGCAATGGGATAATTCCTCCTCGGCATGATCAGCATCCTGATCACCTTCTCGATCCCGTTGACAATGAAATAACCGCCCATTTCCTGTCAATGCCAAGATAAAACTTTATTTACAAACATGTCTCTACATCGTGTGTGCAGTGAGCATACTTGAGTGTCTGTGAGTATCTGTATGACCTCAGCCTCCTCGTGGTGCTCCACCAGCTCCTGTGGGCTCAGTCCGTGAAGGTTACACAGTTTAGACTTCACCATGATGGGCAAGTTACCAAGTGACTGTTTGATGATGCCTTTAGGGACACCGTTGACCGACCAGCTGACGTCTGCCTGAAATCACAGCACATGGTCATCATTTCAAAAGACATCTGTGTGGTTGTGTGTGTTTGAGAGTGTGTGTGTGAGTATGAGACTGACCACCAGCTTCCCTTTGTATGAACTTCTCCTTCCTCTGCACTCTGCAGGATACACCTTCATCTCGCTGCAGATGCTGCCTTTGGCCACAACAGGGCTGTGGAGGGTGGCTTCAACAAACGCCAGGCTGATGCGATCATTCTTGCATGAGAACTCAAGAGGAGGGATCGACTGAAAACAGAGATAGGAACAGTCAATTATGTTCAAGGCATGAAAATCATAGGGACTCTTAATATTTCTCTGGGTTACAGATTTTTCTGCAGATAGATTGAGGGGGTTTAAATCTGGTATCATCAGGATGCCCTGAGACCACTCACTTTCCTGTTCTGTATGCAAATAAACAGGCGGTCCCATTCATCTCTTTTGGGATAACTGTTCAAAATGGCAGCAAACTAAGTGAGGGCTGAGAGATAGAGAGGAATACCTAAATACACATCAAAGTGATGACATGGTTCTGAAATAAAAGAAGATCATGAAACCTAGTTTTGTGGTTGATTTATGAAATATTAACTTTACAGCTGAAAGGAGTCCCTTTAAACACTGAAAACCCAGCTGGGTTTTTGTCACTTGTTCAGTTCATGCCTTTATCTCCTCCAGGTTGGACTACTGCAACGTATTTCTCATCGGAATCCCTTGCAAGAGTCTGCAGAGACTCCAATACATTCAGAACTCTGCCGCTAGGATCCCAAAGAGAGTGTGCAAACATGACTATATCAGCCTATCCTCCAATCACTCCACTGGTTTCCTATTTCCACCAGTATTCCACCTGTGTGATACTTCTGTGTGATACTGTGATACATCTTTGCTTTTAAGATGTAGCCCTTTGAGGTCGCTTGATGTAAGGGCACTACAATAAAATGTACTGTTATTCTTTATTAGTAGTATTTCCCATACATTACTTGGATTGACCACTCATTATATTTAGCCATCTAAGTACAAATAAAATGAGTGACCATCTTTACACCACCTTTTCTTTATGAGTTTGACAACCTAAGTACATTTCCCTTTGTGGCTGATAACCTACATTAACTGATGCATGCCCTGCAGCGGGTGATGTGAGACAGAGAAATATAGAAAAAGAGAGCGAGAAAGGGGTTCCTCTTGTTAATGCGTAGATTGAGATACTGGGGTGCACTATGTTAAATGTCTTCCTAATTTTTTGGTCCCGTCCTTTTGTTTAAAATGAAGCGGCCAAAATATAAGAAACACCTCTGAATATCACACACTCCAGTTTGATCAAGGTTCACATACGTTCTGACTTGGATTATAAATCAATAATAAACGCATGATTTTAATACATTTCGACATGTACTGGGAACTTGATCTTATTTAAAGTTTGATCTTGATTTATCGTATCTGCAAGACCCCACAGAGTCTGTCAAAAACTCGTCATAAATGAGTTAAGTGGCTCTTGCAGCAGGTCAAATCCTGTATAAACTGTCCAAGTTATTATCAGATTCATATACTGACCTGCACGACTCGAGTGAGCCCGTCAGAAACCGCCTCATTAAAGGACTCAATGTGAGCTCGGGTCAGGTCCTGGACCGCCGCCTGCTGCTCCTTCTTTAGGACCCCAAACCTGTCCCGGGTCAGGTTCTTCAGACTCGGCCCGGGTGGTAAATTAGTCCACTTACTAGAAAAGTCCATGTTGGTACTGTCAGGACTTCATGTGCTTGTTTACCACACGTGCACAGCGAACCAAGGAAGTAACCGGAAGTTGTCTTCTTCTTCTTCTTTTTCTGTTGTTAAACAAATTTAGCGCCACCAGGTGGTAAAAGTCTATACAGCCTGTGATCCATATAATCTTCACTGTTTTCTTGTCATAACGACTCAGACCAGGTTCAGTTATAGTCTTGAGATATAGATTGCCAGAAAAAATTTCCAGATAATGAGTTAAATTAATCCGTTATTAACCTTAGAACACTATTGCTATCGCCGGGTGATTTTTACCCGAAATAATACGCCCAAGAAAAAGTACTTGTCATCAAAATATATCAAAATAGGACAATACATGACAAATTAAAGTCGTTTTCTTTGATTTTTAACTGTGCAATGTCCAAAGGGAGAGGGGAAAAGTGCCGTGAGGGGACCTTAAAAAATGCAACAAAATAACTGAAATTAGTCATTCATGAACAAAAAAATTCCTAAAAAAAAAAAAAAGAAAAGAAAAATATAGAAATTGTAAACTCAGTTTCTTTTTCACCCATTCCTGGGGCATTCCTAACCAAAATATTGCATACTTTGTGTGAGTAAAATGACCAGCTGACTAAAATATTTCTTGTCACCATATGAATTCCCTTGAAAATCGCAAATTTGTGATAGTTATTCATAACCACTGTGCTAAATAAAGATAGCAGGCTAATTCCAGGTCCACTCTTACTGACGTTATTACCTACATGCAGCTTTCAAATCCAGCCAAACCTACGTTACCCTCTCTTACAATTACCAGGTGAAGATCACCCGAACATGTGCCTGTAGGAAAAGGCAGGTTTTGGATCAGGGAAACAAATATGCCTTCAAAGATGTCAAAGGCAATGCTGAAGCTACCCAGGGACCAATGATAATCAGACAAACGCAACATAATGAAAATCACATAAACATGTTTGGTCGGGTGAAAATCATCCAGCGATAGTGTTCTAGGGTTAATCCTGGGGGTGGCCCCAGGTGACTGCCATAAACATACATTAACTTACATTCATGTTAGGCTGACTGTGTTTCTGAAGGTATTTCTCAGTTTAATAAAAGTTGAACTCTAGCTCAATAGAGTTCCTGTGAGAAACTTCGGGTTTAAGTCAATTTTGGCAGCCCTTGTGGACAAAGCAGTCTTTGCTTCTTTTGTCCTCTACACGCCTAATTATTGAAATATCCCAGAAAATCTCCTCCTGCTGACTTCTGACAGTCACATTTATCTCTTACTGCATATTTGTGGGGATGTAACAACAGGACTGTTCGCTGTAGGGTTCTTGACTAACACTTACCTTCTTGCACTAGCTTCAAGTTAGAAATTACTGTCTTAAAATCATTCATTTTGTCCCCGATGGTCTTGTATTGGGACTACATGAAAAGGTATCAGTCTAAGTCATTAATGTGAAAAAAGCTCCTCATATAGCTTTAAAGTTGCTAAGGTTTATGTCTGCTTGTGAGCAGAGTTTTTGGTTTAGTCTCTAAATAATATTATTTTCCGTGGAGAGGAAATCTGAGGACACAGTTAATGCCAGAAGCTAAATTTTCTAAATTCAGAAATGATAAATGCCATACTAACCAAATTCTACTTTCTACATTAAAAAACTAAAGCCACATTTAGATTAAGGATGTAAGGTAAAATAAAAGTATACAGAGAAGCAACCTAACAAAACAAAACACACAGAGATGTGTGAGATGTTAAAATATGGTTGATTCATTTTTCCACTATGTCCAGCTCTGAGCTTGTGTAGGTGCCAGCAGCACCTTGCTCAGGCTCTATCTTGAAGTAAACAAACAGACGACTGCGAGCACGTCAGTGTTTTAATCGTCTTTATTAAGTAAACTCTACACTTTAGTATTGCTTTTATTTTTTTTTCTTTTCTTTCTAAATAGGAACTTTTCAATCACATATAGAACTTTTCATGGAGCTACACTTTGAGGAATACAAAAATATCACAGTACATTTTCTACTGAGTCACACCTGTGAGGTCCAATCAGAGTCCAGATCAGAACCACCGAGCTGCCGGGACGGGATGGAGCGTCGACATGTTGATAACAGCACCATGGTCTAAAACCACACTGAGGAGGGGAAGGAGGGGACAGAGACACTGTTTCATATCAGACTCAGTGAAATAAGTAGTCTAGGGCTGGACCAGGACCAGAATCAGAACCAGGTACAGGTTCAGATCTAGATCTGAAGTTCTGAAAAACTTCCAGTATCCAAACACAAAGAGTGAATATAATGCTCTCCATTCAGAACTTCATTTGTAAAAGTCACTATTTCACGTCTGTCACTCTTGTTTCAGTAAACCAGATGACTGGTGTCAGAAATCATCGTTTGGTTTCACGTCTGATGAAGAGCAGCTTTCTCAACTGTGTTTGTTCGAACAACTATCTTCATCATTTGAATATTTTCTGCATATGATCTTAACTTTGATGTTATCCAGTTGTCGTGTTTAAACAGCACCACAGACTGAACTAAAAAGTTAGGCTGACGTGTCCAGAAATCTCTTATAGAAAATCAGCTTTTGATTCTGAAAAAAAGGTTTTGAAGACATCTGAAAAAGTTACTGTTGTTACTCAAGTACTTTTTTTCTGCGAGTATCATGGAGACTAAGATGAGCACCAGAATCACTCTTCATCACAACCTCACTCTTCACCTTCAGGAGGTCTGAAAACATTACAAATGTCTCCCTGAAGTCTCATCCAGATCCAGTTCAAACTGCTGGACACTGAGTCTGATTCAGATGTTCTTCACTGAGTCCTGGGTCCAGCAAGGGGTCAGGTGGTCTCTGCTCTTCACTTTCAGGTCCCTCCTCATCAGGCTGAAATGTAAATATGGATCCCACAACAACAGCGCCTCAATCATCCTCTTTCTCCTCCTCCACCTCTTCTTCGGATTCTTTACAAAGTATCAAAAGATTAAACAAAAACAGGAAGTCTCCAAACATCGGGATTCAGGACAAAGACAAAGCCGTAGTCAGCTGATTTATTCAAACTAAACTAAACAAGAACAGAGGAGACAAGGAGAGGACGAAGGACACAGCCCTCCCTCGCAGTCTTCAGTTAGATAAAGGAGGACACACTGTAATCCACAGAAAAACACAAACATGATGCTCAGAGTCTGTCAGCAGTCTCTGAGGGGAGGGGGCAGATATAAAAACGCTGCCTGTTTAAGAGGGCAGGGTCTGATTGTACTTCCTGTGTGCTGTCTGTCTGTATCAGGGGTCAGGGTCCCTGATAGATCCAGGATGTGTCTGTTACAATGTAGACAGGGTATCAAAGTCTCCCTCCCCCTTAGGGAGAGAAGGTGGCCATCTCCAGGCTGATCCTCTGCCACAGCTCCTTGGTCTGCTTCCCTCTCTTCAGGTTCTGGAGGACGTCGTTGAACTGCATCATCCCGACAGGCGTGAGACAGAACGCCCCCCGAGCGCTGCGGATGATGTTGACGAAGTCGTCGTAGTCTGCAGGGGTCAGGTGGATGAGTCGGTGGTGGATGTACTGAGGGAGGAGAAGATACAGGTTAGGGATACAGATGATTACAGTCATCAGGTGCTCACTCTCCCACCGACTGTCTCAAACTGACTGTCTATGTGCGTGGTCGTACTACCTGCAGATAGGCCTGCTGACAACGCTGCACCAGCTGATGGAAAGCAGGTGTTCTCAAGTGGGCGTGGATGTGGGCGGGGTTTAGCCTCTGCAGAGCCTCCATGATGATCTCTTGCAAGACGAATGGACTCAGGACGCCTTTAGCTGCTCCCACGCAGAACTGATACACAAAGTTGACTCCTGTTGAGATTAAGACACACAGAAACAGGGTCAAGAGGCAGGTGAGGTAAAAGAGACACAAACAAAAGGGGTGTGTGTAGATAAAGAGATAGTCATAACTCATTCATGGGTTTAGTTTAAAACTCCAGTGAATTCTATGTATTGTATGTCTCACCGAGTCGAGCGGCAAGTCCCAGCAGCCACTTGACATCCTCGGTGTAGGGAGGGCTCCTGGAGAAGTTGTTGGGGTGATCATTGTGAGCTCGTCTGCCCAACATCTCCAGAGCTAGCATGCCTTCACACACACAGAAACACACAAACACATGGTTATGACACAATGCGCAGTATATTTACACACTGTACTACACAATCTGTGAGATTGACCAACTTTAAAGGGATATTCTGGAATAAAATTAGTTAAGGTTTAAGTGTTATTTAAACAAGCGGCTGCTGGAAGAGAGTGGGTGAGTTGTGTTTAGTCTCTTTGCTAAAGAAATTAGGCAAAGATAAAAAAAGATGTTTGATGGCTAGTACTATGGCTGGGACCCTATTTGTACTGTTGATGAAGTTAGGTGCTGTTCTGAGCATTATTTGGGGCTATAGAGTGGCTTTTTTGTTGAGGTTCATTTATGGCTCCTCAGACTGCTGTGTATTGCTATCGTGCAGTCGTTAATAAAGTTGGTATAACTAAAGAAGCAAACGGTCGGCAACATTCATCTCTCGACAGTGTGTCTGACTCAGCATTACGGTGCGTTTGACCCTCAATTAATTTTACGCCGGAATATCCCTTTAATGCTCAAAGTTTTCAGTACAGTTTAGTCACACTGCGCAGGTTCTGACACAGGACTGTGACGCTCACTCACCGACTCTGTATGCAGAATGCAGGTAGTGCAGGCCCTGCTGGCTGATTGGCTGGCTGTGCGGCTCATCCTCTGCAGGGAACGCCGTGCTGACCAGTGAAGCGGGCTGAGAGGAGAGCGAGGGCAGGGATGCCCCCTGTAGGGCTTGGAGAGCTGGGCCAGAGTGTGCGCTGCCAACTGAGGGACACGATCCATGCACATTAACAAGTAATGCCACAACATACAGTCTTTTTACCCTGATCTGCCAATGTGATCCTGACCTGGCCTTGTATCATGTTTGTGAAATATTTGGACACAAAGCACAACTCCAATTCCAAAAGAGTTTGGACACCGTGCAAGATGTTAATAAAAACAGAATTTTATGATCTACATCTACAAGCTTACAGAAAATTAAGAAAAGAGTCGAGAACAAATCAAATGTTCACACTAAGCCTTCTAGATGATGGAAAGAGGTTTATCAATCTTTAAAAGACTGGGTGAGGAAAACAGTCAGCAGTTTCAGAATAATTTATGAGCAGAAACTGCAAAGGATTTGAAGATTTCATCATCTCCAGTACAAAATACCATTAAAAATTCAGAAAGTCTGGAGAAATCTGTCAGAAAGGGGCAAGGCCGATAAATAATAGACGGCCGTGATCTGTGGGTCCTCAGACAGCACTGTTTTAGAGACAGACATGGGTCAAAGCCATGCAGTGGAAATCTGTATCTGAAAGCCGTTATCTGTGTATGCAGTTTGCCATTGCAGCCACAATTACAACTTAAAAGAGGACGCCATACAGTTTATCAACATGGCTGCCAACTTCTTTGGGTCAGAGCCAATTTAGGAAAAAAGGAGACAAAGTAGGAAGCACTTTTCCTCCTTCACACCATCAAACCCTGTTTTTTTTCCCAACATTTTAAACAGCGTCCCGATTCTTCTGGAATTGTGTTCGTGCCATAAAATCAAACTCCTCACCTGCCACTGTGGTGCTGAGAGGCATCCCGGTCTCAGTGTGGTACGGGTGGACGGCGATCTGAGTCATGGACGGGACAGGGACGCCAGGGAATGTCACCGCTGTGGCAGCGAGGGGAGGCTGGGGACCTGTTGCTACCGAGAATGGATACTGAGCCCCAATAAAGGCTGGGTGCATCCCCTGAACACACACAGAGAAACAAACACAGACAGCTTGAGTTTTAAGTATTCGACATGAAGGTTCGAGACATAATGTACATCACTATCAATATTTATTTCTCAAAAGTATTATCCCCCCTCAATGTTTCAGAATGTAAAACTCACAAACAAGATCTCCCACAATCCCAAGTGTTGAGTTCTGACCTGAGGGTAGGCAGCCCCTGTCACAGGGAAGACAGCTGGGCGGGGGACATGCTGCAGAGGGTGTCCCAGATACTGAGGGGTGCAGACAGTAGGAAGGTGGGCTTGGATGGTGGTATAGGGGTGGAGGCCCTGGCTGTGCGGGTGGGCCATGGCCTGGCCTGGGAGAGGGTGGGACTGATAGATGGTGGAGCCCACTGAGATGACAGGGACCACTGCTGCCGCCGTGACCGATGCCGTCACTGTGGCCAGTCCCGCCGACTCCATGTTGCCCCCCGCATCAAGAATCCCGCAGGTGGTCTCCATCTGCCTTCTACCGGAGCCTCCGTTGGCCCCGCAGCGCCCAGAGGTTTCCCTCTGCTGGCCTGAGCCCCCACCCATAGACTGCTCATACAGCCAGTACCACTGATGGGCCACCTCGAACAGAACCTCAGGATAGACTCCGCCCCCTTTAGCTGCCTCCTCCACCGCCACACATGCTTTCTCCAGCATAACGTTGTCCTGGGAAGTACCAGAGAATCAACAGTGAGGATCACATAACATATAATAACAATCACTATTGAGTGAATCATCTTCATTCTTCTTCTCTGGTTCCTTTTGAGACCATCTTTTAACAATACTCTGCTTACCTGCTCCTTGCACTGCACCAGCGCTCTCTGGATCTCATTGGGGTTGAGGGCGTGGGCGTGGGGGAGGCAACTGAGAGCGAGCTCAGCGGCGGCTCGAACCATGTTGGGGTCTCGAGCCCTGGACGCTCTGTCTGCTAGGGATGCTACCTCAGGAGGGGTCAGGTGACCATCCCAACATTCAACTAAGATGTTAAGAGCTGCGCTGCCAATCTCCATGGCCTGACCTGAGGAGGCAAGGACAGAAAGTGAGTCGGAGGGAACGGGCACATCGAGAAAGACCCCCATCCCCTTTTCACCCCACCTCCACTCTCACCTGTGATCCAGGAGACATGTGAGGAGTACGTCCTGCTGAGCCAGTTGGGGGACACAAAGTTGTGGAGTCCGAGGGCGTACAGTCCGATCTCAAAGGCGCACAGGTGCAGGTTCCTATGGGGCCCTTGGTGGCCCCCGCTGGCTGATGGCTGAGTGAAGATGGAGGTGGATGAATTCCCTCCTGCTTTGATCAGAACTGTCTTTGCCAGCTCGAAATAGAAATGAGCTGCCGCCTCTGAGGGCTGATTAGGCACGTGAGGGGCGTGGCACTCAGGACGACGTCCCTTATATCTGAAAAGACAGAAAAGTTTGCCATGACGGGGAGAAATCTTCATTATGAAAACATGAAGGAGGACAGTGAATGAAAAAAAAAAACAGCTGTTCAGAGGAATCATTTAACTTTAGTGGTTACAAGTCCTCTTGATAAATGAGTGGAATCAGCTGTGTAAGAAGTGTCCATCACCAGGAAACAACAAAGCCTAGAGGTTACATTCAGTGATTGAATTAGCCTCGAAGACAACTGTCTCCACCTGTCTCTCAAATATGAGTAAATCTTGGTCATTTAAAAGTGTGGGCTTTACAAAAAAGTAACCTCTCATAGCCATCATGAACAGAGAAATTAGTTAAATGCGTTCACTTCTGCTGAAAGTTAGACTTGTTCAAATGCACCTAAACAGGCATCGTCTCACTTTTGGAGCCAGTCCCACTCTGTAGGCACTCTGCAAATTTCAGTGTCTGGTACTTCCACATATAATCACTTTGCATCCAAAGACTTTGTTGTTGACGGCGTCACTCTCAGTGTACGTACCTGCTGGTATCAGTGCTTTTGGCCCTCGCTCCTCCACCCGCCCTGCGAGAGCCGCTGGAGGAAGAGGAGCCGAGCGAATCGGAAGATGAGCTGCTGATGCTGTCGCTGTCTTGGCCCCGCCCCCATGACGTAGCAGCCCAGCCCCCTCTGAGTGGGCGGCGGCTGAGGGTGGGCGAGCTGTCGGATGTTGTTTCTGGAGCACTGCTGTCGATGCTTGCCATGCCTGTACAAACAACATGTCACTTGATTACCTTGATATGAAATGCATCGGGATTATGTTTATGTCATTTTCCCTGTAGGGTGTGTACCCGTGACACTTTGACAGAGTACTGACAATGTGATTTCTACGGTGGGCCTGAGGTGCAAAACACGACGACAAATTACAAAACACAACACAAAAAGAGAAAACACAACAGCAAATCAGAAAACATAAAAACAAACCAGAAAACATGACGGCAAAAAAGAAAACACAACACAAAAAGAGAAAACATTATAGTTAACGTTGTTGTGTTTTCTCTTTTTGTGTTGTGTTAACTGATTTGCTGTCATGTTTTCTTTTTTTGTCTTGTGTTTTAAATTTCGATGTTGTGTTTACCCATTTGCCATTGTGTTTTGCACCTCAGGGCCACCGTAGATTTCAATGTTTTAATGAAAATATCAGTATACTGTTCTCGCCTATGTGTTTCTTCTACTGTTACGACTACAGGCACAGCTTGTGTGTAATAAATGCTTGAATTATATCTGTATATTACTGTTACCTGTGTGTTTCTTCTTCTGGCGTACAGGTGAGCCCCAGCAGCGTTGACTGTACCCACAGCGAGCCCCCAGGGCCAGCCTACTGGGAACTGTGGTTTCCAATTTGAATGGGGCCGTTTCGTTTTGCTGCTCAGCAGGCGGAGCTCCGTCTGACACTGCAGAAAGGGAAGGTTAACCAAGGGGTTCAGTTCAGTCAGGTTTGCAATTATTTGTGTTCACACTTTTTTGACATTCTTTCTATTTGGGTGCAAAGCGTACCTATCTGACCTTTAATGGTGGAGGTACACACACTGCAATCAGGTCAGAAGAATCCTCACTTTTCAGGTGAAAGTGGTCATAGCGGACAGACACAAACTGTGTCATATTTCAAAACTTGGATGTCCTCCATCATTTACCTTTTTTAACGTGTCACTTTGCAGCTTTAACGCTTTAATGTAATTGATGTTGCTATCACCATCCGGTTTGTTTGCCAAGAAAGGTTACAGTTGTCTATGGAAATGCAACAATATTAAATGATACCAAACCCCACTGACCCAGACCACTTGGGAAATACACTAGAACTCAAAAGAAACACCAAATTTAGGTTTCTATACAACACCTGTTTGTGTTTTTATACGTAGTGCTAAGGGTTACTATTCTTTTAACTAAGCTGTTGTTAAAGGTGGGTGTACTGCAGTCAGAGAGTAAGTACAATTTATAGATCTTAGTTTCTGTGACATTTCCCTTTAAGAAGTGTAAATTAAACTTCTGCTTGTCTGTGTTGAATTTACAGTTAAGACTTTGTTACTTTTCGCGCTGTCAAAGTATTGAATGTTTACCTTATAAATAATCTGTCAGAACAGAGGCCACTTCTACACTTACTAAAGGGACTAAAAGTGACTAAACTGTTCAAAACCAAGAGTCCTACCAGGAACCTGTCCCTCTCTGTGCTCTGGTCTAAGCTGTTGCTGTTGAATGTGTCTCATCTGTTTACTGTCTTTAGGTCATTATTTTTATCTTATATTTTGGATTTTATCCTTTCTCATGTTTATGAAAGAGGATAAGGGTCACATGAAGAGAAAAATTAGAGTTACAGGAACGAGATTAAAGTTGAAATGTTGAGATTAAAGTCAAAATTTAGAGATTAAAAAGTCAAAGTTATGCAATTAAATCAAAAATTTGATATTTAAAATTGAAATTTCGAGATGAAAGTCGAAATTTCAAGATGTCAGAATGTTGAGAATAATGTTGAAATTTCGAGATTAACAAAATCAAAATTGCATGAATAAAGTCGAAAATTTAAAGTGTAACGTAATTTTGATTTTTTTTAATCTCGCCTTTTTTAAATTTCTACTTTAATCTCCAAATTTAGACTTTAATCTTAAAATGTAGATTAAATAAATCCTCCTCCTGTTATTATTTTTTTCTCTTCTTGAGGCCATAATTCTCTTTCGTACATGTTTGATTGTTTGATTAGTAGATTTTAAGTCATGACTTATTTAAATAAACACATCCCACTATGACGCTTTATTTAAAAGAACACATTAGCCTGGTCCCCCTCTGAGGGAGCTGGTTGTGTGTGTGTCTTACCCGTCTCTCTGGTCTCGGTTGTTCCTTCTCCTGTTGAACTGTTCTGTACGGGGTTCAGGTCCTGATGGGTCACCTCTTCTCCAGTCAGAGCCACAGCAGCAGAGGAGGAGGATGAGGATGAGGCAGCTACAGTGGCTGTAGATGAAGAGGAGGGGGTGTGTTTGGAGACCCCGCCTGTGGCCCCGCCAACCCCTCCATGGCTGCCGGCGTTGGTGTGTTTGGACGGGCTGCGCTGACTTCCTGCTGCAGGTTTACTCGAGTAAAAGGAGCTCAGAGTCTGAGGTTTGTGGGTCTGACTCTCTCTGTCAAGCAGTTTGTCCAGGATCTGAGGGAGGGGAGAAGAAAAGAGAGAGACTGTCACAGCTCTGACATTTTGAAACAAATATTTATAATTTGAAACAAATGATGAAGAGTTGGTGGGCTCTCGTTCTTTTATTTAAGAAACCCCAAAAGAAAAACTTTTTTAAACTGTAACAAAAAAGTTCTCTGATCCTCTATAACTCTTAAAAACCTTTATCATGATGAATGGGGATCAGCTGATAACCATGTTGACCTCACATGTAGGTATTGATCAGATTGATCAGGTTTACCTTCTTCAGTTTGCTCTGGTCGTCCTTATATGTGATCATCAGAGCCAGAGCCAGGTCTCCTTTCACTCGTCGAGTCCCCTCGCACAGTAGAGGATGCTCTGCCTCACTCACTGTGGTCTTCATGCCTTTACACACGTACGTACGCACAAACACACACGTAAACAGATGCAGGTTAAGACAGACATACACAGAGGGAGCCCACAGTGTGATATAATCCAGTGAACGTACCAAGAGCAGCAACAGCAGCCTCAAAGCCCAGCTCCTCGTCACCCGGCATCTCATTGTTACGGTTACGGCTCGGTGGACGGGAGCCCGTTGGGGACACAACTGCACAAACAATATGGAGAAAAGTCAAAAGAATGTTAATTTTTAGAGTTCACATCACAAATGTCTTCATTTAAATCAAACCAAGGTACCTCTAACGGGAAAGAAACACAAAATAGAAGGATTTCATCTCTGCAGATATTGACTTTACACCAAACCCTGCAGGTAGGAAACACTCGTGCAATGACTCTCCAGTGTTAGAGCAGACTTGGTGCTTACCTGGGGTACACAGCACATCAAAGATGAAGCTGGCTAACATGAGCGGCAGCACAGGTCTGTAATCACAGAAGTTTCCATCTCTGAGCTGCTCGGCTCGCTCTCTAATGGCTGACATCTCCACCAGACCTAGAGGGATCTTCTTCAGCAGAGACACCACCTCTGACTCCTGATAGGCCAGCTTCACCTAAGACACAGGTACACGGAGAGATAGTCAGTGTCGGCCTTTCTGCTCCACACACATTTTCAGACAGTGTGGGCTGCAGGTTTTTGTCTGAGGAGCCAAGGAAACAGTTAATACTTCTGACTAAATCCCCCTTTGTGATTAACAAAGTTTTAACCTGTAGCAGGAAAGATCAGTCAGTAAAAAAGCGGTTAGTCCTTCAGCAGAATCTGTCTGATCACAAAGATGTTTTATTCTTTGACAGTAAAGAGGAACTCCTGAATGTAATAAAACTCTTTAAAGAACTCGTCAAAGCCATCCCCTCTGATCTTGTATCGTCTCTTCACTATTTTTCTGTTAGAGGCATAAAAACGACTCCATTATCACTTCTGCTGTCCTGTGACTGATCTCACTTGAACAAATGAGCAAATGAAACATTATTAAATCAAACCTCATCGGTGAGGTACAGACATGTGATTAAATACAGAACATCATGAAAAGATATGATAAGCTAGTATGCACAAATATGAACACACTAGCATGGTTCACTGTTTTTCAATATCTACACCAGTGTGTGTTGCAACAGAAGGTCAGAGACTGTTAGTTATCACAGGTATGAGTTTATGAGTTTGTACTTTCAAGGATATTTATTTTCAGGGCCTTAGTGGGTGACTCTGGTCTCATGTATTTGTAAAACAGACCTCGAGGGCCTTGGTGGATGCAGGCGGCCTCTGCAGCTCCAGGGAGAACATGCCGGTGCTGAAGGCCAGATTGTGGAGCTCCAGTCTCTCACTGAGGACGGTGAGCAGGAAGGCGGCTTTAGATAACGTGTTGGTGGCCACCTGAGTCTGACGGCTGGTTGAAACTTTGCTCTTCTTCCCCTGAGCATGGCAAGAAGAAACAGCGGTGTTAGAACGATATGATGAAGGATGTAAGGGCATATTCACACTTCTCAATCTGCAGTCATACTCTCTGTTCATGGTTTGATTTATTTGCTGTCATACAGTTAGACACAGTAAGGGTACAAGTGAAACACATATGTATGAGGAATACTACGGAAGCGTATTGCATTCACCAAAAAAAAGGAAAGTCTGTTTTTCAGCGTATTTTTTTTCTTTTCTGTTTTTCGGACATTTTCTTTTCTTTTCTTTTCTGATTTTCAGAGTAATTTTGTTCTGTTTTTCAGAGTATTTTTGTTTTCTTTTCTGTTTATCGGACTATTTTTTTTTTCATTTTGTTTTTCAAAGTAATTGTTTTTCCTATTCCCTGGGATCATGATCATTTAAAAACAGATGCTTTCACCCCCCTCTGCACGATTTATTAGAAGCAAACATGGCCCACTTGTTTAGTTTAATCAAGTTTTACTTTCTTTTGGGTTTGAGCCACCAGGAGTTGCTCCTTTCTTTAAGTCAGATAGATGGAATCATCATAAGTTTGTCTACTTTGCACAGGCACCTCAAGATTTGCATACCCTATGTTTGACGAATAACATGCTTTACTCTCATTGACCCCATAGCCAAAGTTATCTAGGAACTGGAGAATCCACTGATTTGGAGCAGCCGTGGTGGTTAACATAATCTGATTGTATGAGATTCTCGTAGGATTATCTTGTTTGGTCAGGAAAAAAAAAAGGTTTGAAAAACTTGTCCGAAAAACAGCAAGAGGGGAAAAAATATGAGTACAAAAAACAAGAAAATAATTAGTCCGAAAAGCAGCAAAGAAAAAAAATACTCAAAAAACAGTTCTTTTTTTTTTTTAATAAGTGAATGCAATACACTTCTGTAGAATATCACACCACACCACAGGAGAGGAAAAAGAAAAAATGGAGCAGCAGAATAAAGAAGTGAAAGTTTGTACCTTTGTTTGGGGCTGCTCCACCTTCAGGTCAGGTGGGTTTGCCAACAGGTCTCTGGCCAGGTCCACAGCCAGCCGACAGGCCTCATTACTGTAACCATGAGCGTGGAGGGCCTCTGCACACGCAAACAGCACCTAAACACGAATAAACACATTTCAGTATAATAAGAAAAGAACAACAGTGACAAAAAAAGAGCAGCAGGATGCTCATGTGTCCGGTCTCAGAGCCATACATTGACTCTCCAAGTCTTTAACTCTGTTCTTACTCAGACACTCTATTTAAAAATGGACAGTTTAAGCACTTTCAGACTACACTACAAAAAATGTCCTCCGACAGACATCAATAGAGTTGGCGTAATCACAGCAAACGGATTCATTACATTTATATTTCCTCTACTGGTAATTACAAGTGGAACCACTATGTGCAAAACTGCGTTGAATGGTGGTAGACATACAGTGCCCAGCATAAGTGTGTACACCCCCTATTAAAAGTAACATATTACTCAATATGTAGATGAGCAAAAGAAAATTTCCAAAGTTGAGTTTCACAAAACGTTTTATTTACCATAAGATGGAACTAAGGGTGAAACAGTAACTAAAATTTAGCTTTGCTCCCAGAACTTTGATTGGGGTGTACTCATTTTTGCATCCTGATTTTAAATTGAAAAAAAAAAAACTTTTTAGTAATCAACTTAAAAAAACGTGTTTGTCATCACTGGCCTACATTTGGGGGAGTGTTTTGTTGTATAGTCTGACATAGAAAATGTTGCTCTGAAGGGGTGTACTCATTTACGCTGAGCACTGTATATAAAATAACAGGACTGACTGTTTTCTAAGAGCAGATTTAGAGTAAAGTCCTTGTGTATGTTGAGCTTCACAAATATTAATAAAAACTTATTGCAATTACCATGAAATGTGTGATGCAGGAAAAAAATTATGGTAAACTTTCCTTACAATGTGCCTATCCCACTTGTTCACATCATCATGTCAGAAGTTATACTTGATGCAGCCTGAATTTGACAATCTGACACCTACACTCCTCTTTCCTTACCTCCATGCGTCCCTCCTGCTCCAGCGGTTTGATCCCTGCAAAGATATCCGGCTCCTCCTCCTGGTGATTTTCAGCCATCTGTCTATCAGCTCCTTCCTCTGAGGCAGCGCCGAGGTAGTACGCCTGATAGTCGTCTTCACCCGCAGCTCCTCCACCTGCAACCTCTGCCCCTGCTGCAGCTGCTGCTGCTGCTGACCCGGCTCCTGGAGCAGCAGCTCCTGCAGCAGCTGCTCCTCCTGCAGCAGCTGCTGCCTCCCTTCGGCCCTGCGAGGGCTTGGCAGGTGTTTCAGTCGCAGCAGTTCTTGCTGTGGCGGCGGTGGTGGTGGTGGACACAGAGGTGGAGGGCTGGTTACTGCCAGCTGAGTCGACATCTTCGTCTCCGTTCTGGCCTGCATCCGCCTGCAGCTCTACCTGCAGCTCCACCTCCTTCTCTGTAGAGTCCAGAACCACAAGCATGGTGTCTTTTGTGGGGAGGCAGGGTGGAGCGGGCTCCGCAGCAGGAGGCGCAGCAGACGCATGGTTCACACGCTTTGGTTCGAACATCTTGCCTCCTCCTCCGCTGTACTTGCGAGAGTCTCGGAGCAGCGGGCTGGGGGAGGGCAGCATCTCAGGTGGTGGGGGCAGGAACTCGAAAGTGTTGCTGGCCTCAGCCCCGAGAGCCAGACTGCAGCCATCATCCAGGCTGAGCTCTGCAAGATCCGGCTCTAGAGAGCTGTCCTCGCTGCTGGTCCTTCTCTTAGCACTGCCATGTTTCCCCCCACTTAACCCACTTCCTCCAGTACCCCCGACAGACCCCCCCTTACCGCCTCCCTGAGTCAGCTTCAGCTTCCCCCCAGAGGACGTGCTGGGCCCTTTGTACATGCACTTTCCTCCTCCGTCCTCCAGGGACAGAGACACAGCACCCCCCAGTCGGACCAGCATGCCTCCCCCTCCGCTCACTGACAGACCCTTCCTCTTGGTCAGGATGGTCTCTTTTGGTCGTACGGCCACCTCTTGCTGGGAGGAGTGACCACCTCCTCTTCCTTTGTAATCAGCTCCTCCGTCTCCTCTGGCCCCGCCCCCTCCCTCAGAGTTTTCCCCGCCACCTCCTGCAGCAGCTCTGGCTCCTCTTTGCAGCTGCACCGCTCTGGACCAGCAGAAGGTGGCGCTCTTCTTATCAGCGCCGCAGTATGTGATGCCCTCCAGTGGGTAGGCCACCTCCCAGTTGAAGTAGCAGGACTCCACAGCGGGTTTGAATCCCTGGAACAGTTTATCTAGAGACTTCCTATGCTGCCCCCGCTTCACAATCTCGATGACCTTGAGGTGCCACTGCTTCAGCTGCCCCGCCAGCTCCAAACGCCTGAGACACACAAACACACAGGAGTGACGTTTACTCTAATGTCAACTCAAATATCTGTCAAAGATAAACATCAGCAGATTTTTTTATATCTGACCTGCAGGGGCTCATGGTGGGGTCCAGCACTGCCAGCCTCCACAGAACCACCATCTCATCGCACATGCTGGCACACGCGTGAGCCGCCACCTCTGATTGGCCGTTGCTACGTCCAGTGTGTCCACTGGCACTGCTGTGAGATGCTGACGTCCGAACACTGTACCACCAGCTGATGATCTAGTAATAAAGAGGAGTGTGACGCAAGGTTTATTGTGTGAATTAATGAGTTTAACATCAGGTCAAAGGTCAAATTCTTGCTCATTACACAACTTGACGTTAAGTCAAGTTGTGTTCGAGTTACCTCGGAAGTCAGATGTCTGAGCTGGAAATGACGTCACATCTGAGTTACCAGCATTTCGGTTACCAAGTCGGAAAAAAGCTAAATCAGAGGTGGAAACAAGATTGCTACATCTACAAGACTTATTTTAGCGCTGTCTTGTCCTTGCTTATATTTGGACAAGGCAAGCGCTAAAATAACTTTCGTAGATGTAGCCATTTTGTTTCTGACACTTATTTTGCTTTCTTCTGACTTACACCAGTAACCGGGTGTGACGTCATTCCCAGCACAGTCTTCCGAGGTAACCTGACTGCAGCATTAGTTAGGACATACTTGTTCATAGGTGAGGCACTGCTCGGTGAGGATCTCGAGCAGGGGAGCGGCGTTGCTGTCTCGTCTCTTGAACATCTCTCTGACGATGGACAGAAGGTTCCAGATTCCTTCAGGCTCTCGCCCCCTCAGAGGCCGAAGTAGACACGCCCACTCAGCTGCAGCTGGTGGCTCCGTGGACGAGAGGTACATCGAGTTTACGTCACTGTGGAGAGGAAGCAAAGACAGAAAAACACATAAGACATCTGAATGTGTTACAGAGCCAGATCGTGAGGATTGAAATGAAGACGTTCACGTTCGTAAACCTCAATCACTGACATTTCTTGACCTAAAAGAGTTACAGTATTCTTTGGAAGAATCAGATTTTCAGTCAAAGAACTAAGGCAATTTCATTTGTATGAAAGAGGATTAGGGTCCTAATGTAGAGAAAATAAAGTTATTACAGGAAGGAGATTGAAGTCAAAATTTTGAGATTAAAAATCCAAATTTTGAGGTTAAAGTCAGAATTCGAGATTAAAGTCAAAAGTTCGAGACTAAAAATATACAAATTTCAAGATTAAAGTTGAAATTTTAAGATTACAAAATGTCGAAATGTTGTGAACAATGATGAAATTTCGAGATTAAAGAAATTAAAGTTTGAGATTTAAATCAACATTTCAAGATTAAATCGATATGAATAATGTTGAAATTTCGACTTTAATCTCGAAGTTTTGACTTTAATTTCAAAATGAAAATTAAAAAAATCTCCCTCCTGTTATTATTTTTTGCTCTTCTTGTGGCACTAATCCTCTTCCTTACATCTGAGTATGTTTTACCAGTTTAAATACAGAAAAAACAATCTGCAGCTTTAAAAAACCTCAAAACGTAAATATCACTTTACTTTGTTGGCTTAATGTTCCCATTGAAACGCTTGAAGAAACACCAACAAACAAACATAAAAGTGAATTTTTCTCTGATTTCCAAACAGCTATACCTCTCCAAAAATCATGCTAGTCTTTAGTCTGTTGGAATCTGTCCTGATTCACTCACAACACTCCTTCAAGTGTTCACAAGAGCTGGTCTGACCAGCGCTGCTAACAACATCCAAGTTGCGGGGTGCCAGTAATCCAGCTTTGGCTGCTCTAAAAGAGAGCTCCAAGACTCTCTGCTGCTTCCAAAGTACCTCTCAGATCCTCCTGGGATGTGAGCAGAGTGAGTTACATCACCATACCTGTGCATGAGCTGCAAGTTGAGCTGTTCAGTACACCGTTTATCATCCTTAGCCCTCAGTCATCTCCTAAATCTTTAAATGAACCCTGTTTTAGTGTGTCCATGCACAACACTGTACAAACCAGTGTTTTAGGGTAAGAGTTCGTACCTAAAGACGACTGGGGAGGGCCCACAGAACTTGTGCAGAGTCTTTTTGATGTTGTCACTGAGGGTTGACTCATCCAGGTACCAGGTGCTCTGGTCAGAGGCTGAGGGGCCGGCTGTGGGGTCTACAAACAAACACACAAACACACACACACAGAAAACCTGAAACACTTTCTTTGATATTTGGGGCAGGAGGACATCAAAAAGAATATGTTCTTGTCTGTTCCTATCTACTGAGCTCTGACCACAGAGACCTGATATGGAGGTGGTCTTGGATCCATTTGTTCATCAGCATTGTGTAAACATGTGTGGAAAAGAGAGAGAGAGAGAGACAGAGACAGAGAGACCCTCCCTCTCTCTGTATTCTCAGCAAACATCCGATGCAGTAACAGAGCACACACCTCTAAAACTGACTGATTAAATTTACTCAGTGTTCTATTGAATTCTATCATGAGGAAATGAAGTTTGCGTACTAGAGTCTGGTTAGGTGTGCACAAAAATGGTTATGATGGGTCTGTGTTTGCTTTTCATTTGTCATTATTAAACAATCCTGTCATGAAAAGGGAGGGGGGCCAGGTGCTGCGGGTCAGAGGTTTGATCAACAAGTAATTAATCAAAGGTTATAATAATGCACACAGTAAGGAAGGGTGCAGAGGTGCTTTGCTGTGCAGCAAAGTCAGAGTTACAAGTTACAGCATCTGGAATGGCGGTGATTTTCGCAGTCTGCCAATTCCTACCAGATGCGTTTGTGAGGAGAATTTTGTAGCAGATTTCAGACAGCAAGAATCGTGAGAACTTAGAAGAATCCGTGGATTCACATGCAATCACGCAATAACGATTTGTCTCTATAAAGACAGTCACATAACCATATAAGCGATAGATTGTGTCCTTTCAGAGGAAGATAGACACTTCTAGACTTCTAGAATCAGCATCTCCTCATCCGTGGTATCAACGGGGTAAAATGATGTCTGAAAACCTTTCACCTGTTCGTCCCCGCCCAAATTTGTATGGTGTGCAATTCCATCTGCCTGAAACACGTATTGTTTTATTTTGAAAAGAAGCAGGATGTTTTATTTTGTGTCTGTGCCCGACTTCCTTTCCAGCATGAGGTTATCTGTGCCGCTGCACAGATTATAAATACAGCCACTGCAGTTCAGCGGCTGAGAACCCCACCGAACTGCAGCGTGAAGGAAAGAAGCTGGTGAAAATTGACACATTAACTTGAATGGAAATGATCAGCAGTGATCAGCAGTGATCGGCACCAACGGCCTTTTCGCCACTGGGGAACATGGGGGTCAGTCTTTTTATGCATTTGCACAGGTTGAGTCAGCGAGCCAAATCTTAAAACCTGGCCCTCTGTCTCCGCAAAAATAAAACCTCTCTCTCTTTCCTTCTGTTGAAAAAATGGTTCCTCTCTACACAACAATGATCATGTTTGTATGATCATTAGGTTGTATCATAAACAGGTTACACTGTTTATTCTGTTACAGTCGCTCTCTTTGTGATGGTAACAGTTTTATCAGCATGTCTGTACCTGGAGCTCCACACACGGTGTTGATGGCTGTAGACTGAGAGGACAACAGCTCGTCCAGCAGACGCTGAGCCGTGGGCAGAATCTGCAAACACAAATCACTCAATCAACAACATACACCAGAAATAAACATACTGATGGTTTTTTTTGTTTTTGATGAACAGGACTTGGTACCTGCTGAGGAAGCTCACTGATCAGGTATTGAGCAAACTTCTGCAGCTGATCCCTCTGCAGTCGAGACAGAGACTCAGAGACAGGAGCCCTCAGACACACCGCTGATGCCTAAAGACACACACACAGAGTTTACTAGTAAAGAGTCGGAACACATGTTTCAAGAACAATTAAATGAGCATATTTAGCATATTCAACAACAGATGAATGTTTCATTTGTGTTGTCAGGTCAGCAGCTCTTCTACGATGATTTTGCACAATTTTAATCTTGGTGTTAGCAGATCCTCTCCCTGCTTGCTGTATTGGAGTGTGCAGAGCAGAGGACATTAAGTTTTTTGACTTCATGGTGTCTTTGTCTTTCATAATCCCAAGTATTTTTTGAATTGTTGAAGAAAATTTTCATCATAAAAGGTCTGTCTTTGAGAGATTTTTTTGATGGCAGACTGTAAAACCTGCTTATCACTCTTTACGAGAAGATTACATCAAATTAAAGAAAAAAGAGTTCAAAGAAAACATTGCTGCTTTAACTTTGTCCTTAAAATCATTTTGTGTGTTTATCCGTTCACTTTACCAGCTACACTCTGACCTCGAGTTCATCTGCTGATAATGATGATCCTGTAATACTCTCTGTCACGTATGAATTCTTCTGTTTATAGTTTCAGCTGATGTGATGAAACATGACACACTTTAGGTGTAGAGACACACTCACGTTGTGGATCCTAAAGAGACACAGCGCCACCACATGGGCGCACCACTTAGCCCCCGCCCCGCAGGTGCAGCTGCAGGAAGTGATGCGGCAGCGATCAAACATGACGGCCACATTGTACGCTCCTTTAGACTGACCGGCCTGACTCGTAACCACTGTCGCGCTGAGATGGAAACCTGAGAAGGAGAGAGAGAGACAGAGAGAGGGAGAGAGAGAGAGAGACATTATGGACCAAGTCAAGGACCAATCAGAGCAGATACAAACTTAAAATTGAGCATTTACTCATGTTAGGTTTATACAGCTGTATTGTAGTCAATGGTGTTTCTATGTGTTTGGTGAACTGACCAATCTGCAGTGGGTCTTTGACAGCCCGGATTCTGTAGAGCTGCTCTCCACGCTGGAACTCATCCGGACTCCCATTTGCAAGACAGGAATACAACCTGGAGCACCATGACACACACAGACAGACACACACACAGAAAGACAGACAGACAGAGATAGGGGGTGAGAGGTAAAGATGTGAAACAGTTAGAGAGATACAATTCACACCTGGTACATTTTCATTTCAAGTATGTCCCAGCATGCACTGGGAGAGTTGCAGGTTACATCAGCACAGAGTCACAGTAGTCTGTCTGTCTTTACTTTCAAAGTTTGATTTTATCTCAGAGGAATTTTATCTCAGAGATGACGCCAGGATCAAAAACGCTTGTTCACTTTGTTGGATGATGGTGTGCTGCTGTGTGATGTCTCACTCTGTCGATAAAAAACCTGGGAGCTTTCACAAAAGCAGCCTAATTTTTGTTTTAGCTGATCACCATCAGTAAAACAGGAAACTTGGAGATTGGGGGCATATTTAAAAGAATTAAAAGTTCTCAATTCATCCCCATGATTTGAAGCTCCGCCACAATGACAGAAGCAACATGAAACATAGGCTGGTTTACCTGATGTCCTCCTCATTCTCAGGGAAGCTCCAATAGGCGATGCGGAGCTGCAGCTGCTCAGGCACTGGGGGGTAAACCTTCTCCACCACCTCAAATGGGATGTGAAACGCCACCTGCTTTGCCGACAGCTCCACCAAAGGGATGACCTGACCATCTGACAGAAGGAGGAGGAGGAAGAGGAAGAAGAGGCACAGTCAGGTTTGTGTTCAGTTTTAGTTTGAGCTGTATGAACCTCCTGAATAAAAACACAAGTGAGTGACTTCAGTGGACGTGTTTCTACAGACACCCTGAACTAGAGTTTGACCTCAGAGACAGAAGTGATCACACTCTGTTCACCTGGAACCACACCCAACTGATGTCATCCTATACTGACACCAACATCCCCCTGAGCTCTGATTTCTGACTTACTGTTCAACTTCCATGTTTAAATAAGCTTTCAGAAAAAAAGTGTGGTTTTCAGGGGCCCATCTGTTACATGAGTTTGATCCAAATCTAAATAATTTTACATTTCTCCTTTTAAACCTTGTCCATCTGTGATGAGATGACCTGAAGTTAAAACTAAGCTTGAATGAAGACTGAGAGCTGCAGAGACTGAGAGATGTTGGATAGTCAGATCCTAGAAAACTTCTGAATCACCAGTTTCAGGCTCAATTTCCGAGTCACTCAATTTATCCACCCGAAAAGTTGGAAAGTGAGGGGGCATGCAAATGGACGAGCGGGTTAGGGCACCCCATGTATGGGGACCACAGTCACCACAGCGGACCAGACCATGTGCTGCATGTCCTCCCACCTCTCTATCTCCCCACATTTCCCCCTTTCCTATCAATAGAAGGCCAAAATTCCCCAAAAAAATACTTGGAGAAAAAAGAAAAGTTGGAAAGTAAACCAGACTGCAGGTGCAGAGAGAAGGTTTTATTGAGCAGAAAAAGTCACCAAGGGGGCAAACTCTGAACTGTCTTCATAGTCAAGGAGAGAGAGTCAGCAGTGTGGAATTATTGTGACCTCTGTGAGAAAAACATGTGGCTTTAGCAGTTTGTGGGACATGACATCAGTGCTCATGGTTCAAGAACAACGATCACTTTCTTCTTTTTTGTTTTCCAACTGTTGCATTTCAGGACACCCACTCCTACATTAAAGGCTCAATCAAAAGTATTTCTATATTCAGGTGATCACAATTTAATTTCAACAGAATTACACATTTATTATTCCGATTTTCCAAGTCTGATCCACTAATGCCGCTTAATCCCAAACACTGTACCTTTTAAGACCTAATAACTGATTAAAGCTGATTGCTGAGATTGCTAAAGCACAAACACGACTGTTGAGCTCAACACATGATTACTTAATGAATAAATAACAGTGTTTTCACTCAAACAATCCGTCGGCAAAGAGTTTAACTCATCTGGTTTGCAGATGTCTCCCCAGCAGGACTTAATATAAAATGAACTTAGTGCTCATTTAAAAGAAGAAAAACCAGAGCAAAGGCCAAATCAAGAGCAGATGGACATAAATGAATTACAAAAGATCTTTAAGAAAACAATACCAAGAGAATGAAGAGCTTTCGAGGAGCATTTCTACTTTTTCGTTTTAAGGCTCTCGACTCAAACCAAAGATTCTTTTTTATTCTCTTCCTGGAATAAATGTATCAATAAAATATTCAACCACTGAGATTTCTAGAAATCAATCTTTGTTTGTTGGCAATAACCTCTGTGTTGTGGAGATGTAATTTGTCTATTGACGAATGAGGGTGATTTGTGAGTCAAATAAAGAGCGTCATTATCACAAGAGTCTCGAACAGAAAACACAGCTGAGTAAAAACCTGATGTTGTCTGATAAGGAGCTCATTACTGCGGCTGTGACCAAAAAAGGAGGAAACACAGAGTTTATATGAAGTGTGTTTGGAAACTCTGAGACATGAGAAACAGTCAGACCTCACAATTCACAATTCAATATTCTCTTTGTTGGTTCAAGATAGACAGAAATCAACTGACTGATGATTTCATGACAAAGACGTGAAAACAGATCATTTACAGCGACTGGGACAGAGTCTGGGACCAAGTCTGAGTCCATGGTCCTCCACCTGAAAGCAGTGGGTTGCCCAACATCAGTGGGGTCTTTGTTTAAGTAAAGAAATTCAAGTATCTTGATGTCTTCGTCATGAGTGAGAGTCACTGAGGGTTTAACGGGCAGATTGGTGCTGTGTCAGCAGTATTGTGGGTGTTGGACAGGACTGTTGTGGCAGAGAGGGAGCTGAACCAGAAGGCATAATAAGCTGTTGATGTACCGGTCTATCAAAGTCCTCACTAGGGATACACCGTCCGATCCGATATTTGGATCAGATATGGGCTCCAATATTGACAAATTAACTGGCTCAGATATCTGATGAATGACGCCGAGCCGGTCTTTTTTTTTTTCTTTTAATTAATAACATACACAGCAACACAGCGATTCTGTTCGCTCTATATTCTTTGTCTGTCTATCCTTTTGCACTAAGTGTTTACATGGAAGTCTTACGCTGTGTTTGAGTTACCTCGGAAGTCAGATGTTGGAAGTGAAAATGACGTCACAAGCAAGTTAAGTCAGAAAAAAGTAAAATCGGAGGTGGAAACAAGATGGCTACATCTACGAAAGTTATTTGAGCACTTGCCTTGTCAGAATATAACAAGGATAAGGCAAGTGCTAAAATAACTTTCATAGATGAAGCTGACTTGTTTCCGCCACCCATTATGCTTTTTTTCCAACTCAGTAACTGAAACGCTGTTAACTCGGGCGTGACGTCATTTTCAGCTCTGACATCTGACTTCCGAGGTAACTTGAACACAGCATTACTTCTTTTGCTGTGTGCTAATGTGCATTTTTTTATTTGTTAATAAATAATAAGTAAATTTATATCTGTGTTAATTTGTTATGTTTTTTGAAAAAGGCTAATGTCAAGCCTGATGCCTTCACTCACAGGACAAGGTATACAGTTCATTCATTCAACAGTAGTATTGGATCGGTACCATATATTGGCCGATACGCTCAGCCCAGGTATCAGTATTGGATTGGATCGGAAAAAAATGGATCGGTGCATCCTCATATACATGGGTGATAAGGAAGACTCAGATTCTGCAAGGGGACTTTAACTGAACTTTGAGGAGACAGAAGAGGAGATGTAGACTTCTATAACTGTATAATACATTTGGGATGCCATCATCATTCTGATATTCTGAGCTCTGCTGGTCAGGTCTGTTTTTAATGTGAGCTGAGGACAAAGTAAGGGTACAAGACTGACTGCAAACAAATTTTTGACAATTAAAGACAAACAGAATCAGCTCAGTCTCGCAGACAGCAGAATGAGTTAAAGTGGACTCTACAAGGGAGAGGAAGGACTCCTAATTACTCCTTGATAAGTCCCACTTTGACCTGCATTTTCTCTGAGGTCCAGAAAGAGGCAAATTGACTGATTTAATTGAAGCCTTCACTCTCTTTTACACTGATGATTCAAGGCAGGACTTTTTACACCCTGCATCACTACACTTTCTATGTAAGTGTCACAGAGGTGTTGTGGTAGACCAAGGTGTCCTAGAATTGATTTTTGTGAACTCCTCTTTCTCTCTCTACAGACAGGTGAGGGTGTTTTTCTGCTGTATTCATTTAGTGTCTGTAAAACATAAAACATGTCAGGAAGGCAAAGTAAACTTAATCTTCAGAGTTAATTTGAGTCTCCTTCAAAGCTTCCTGTTTTCTAATGAATGTATGAGAAACTCAACTGCCAAATCCACACATACATTCATTCAGTTTCTGCACCATCACAACATTCAAACAGACTAAACTGTGTGTGTGTGTGTGTGTGTGTGTGTGTTTACACATACAGTATCAAACTGAGGCAGCATGGCAGTAAAGGGTTAAATCTTATCACTCTGAGGACACACTCTGGGCTAAAGCCCACGAGAGGGGCATTCTGGGTAGTAACAGGGTCCATGCTGCCAGCCTGTGATTGGCTGCTGCATGTGAAGGACAGAAAACTGTCAACCAATCAGCTTTCAGCTCACAGGGAGGCCACTACAACAGCTGTTTCTTTGTATAAGGAAGATCTGAGGAGGAGGAGAGGGGAGGTCGAGAAGAAGAGAGAGGAGGAGCAAGAGGAGGAGGTGAGGAAGGGGTGAACGAGGAGAAGAAGGAAGCGGGAAGAGAAGGACGAGGAAGACAGATGAGGAGGAGGAGGAGAAGGAGGAGGGAGAAGGAAGAAGAGAAGGAGGGAGTGGGAGCAGTCTGTCTGTGTGTGTGTGTGTGTGTGTGTGTCTGTCTGTCTGTCTGTCTCAGCAGGAAGTGCTCCATTAGTCCACACACACATACTCACCTAGGGGGGCTGAGGGGGACATTTTGCTTTCTTCATACACACACACTGGATGTTTAAAGTTATTGCCACCATGGTTAACAGTGTGTTTCATTTATTTTAATTCTACCAAAATTAATTTAAAACATGTTAAATATCAACAAAAACTTAGTTAAACACCAACACTGTTCTATGTTTTCTAAGTCTTACATTAAAGACAGAAATCAGCTCTTTTTACTTTGTCCCTGCACTTAAAAAATAAGCTTCTAAAATCAACAATGGGCTTTTATTCCTTTTTAATAAAAACGTAACTGTAAAATAATGAAACTGATCACAAACTGTGAAAATACATAAAGATCTGTGATTGTTATTACAGTCATATATCTGTGTTTGAAGTTTTAGATGTGTTTGAACGTTAGTGATTCATTCATGTTAACACTCCTTCAGTACATCCTACATTCACCTGATGAATCACACATAACACACACCTGTCCTTTCACGCCCACTGATGAGCCCCTCCCCCACAGAGATCTCAGCTGCTCAGCAGATGGTCAGCAGGTACAAACACACCTGTCCTGTTTTTATTCTGCTGTAAATCTATTTAACAGGTAACACTGCTCTAGCTTAATTACCATTACGCTTCATTACCATGTTGTGTTATTATTTGTGTGATTATTTTCTTAGAATCTATTCAAGACTGAGCTGTTTTCTTTTTTCCACAGCTGAGAAGATGAAACACCAGGGTGAACACAACACGAACATCACCGGGTCATCGTTGACTCACACACAAGCAAAGACATCCCTGATATAAACACACAAGACTACAACACAAACACAAACAGACTACAATGGGATTATTGGAGAGGTTAATGAGTCCTTCAGCTTCTGTTAGAGGCTGAAAGATCCGATGAATTTACATCTGCTGTTTCCAAACAAACTGTGTGACTCAATTGGCACAGTTTACATAAAAGATATCAGTATTAAATTCATAACAGAGGCAGGGTCAACACACACACACGCACATATAAACAGTATACAGGGTCTAGTGATCGTGACACCAAATCAGATCTATTCACAAAATTCAGATCACATGTTTTCATGTTTTCTATAGGGACTTTATTTGGATTGTTTATACTTCATTTATTATTCATAATGAATATAATCCAAATGACTCTGTCACCTGGATTGGTATTCCTCTAGTTAAACCCCAAGCTCAGGTCTCCACGCTTTACCCCCCCAAATGATACAGAGGGTCTGACCAGTAAAGTTAGATTTTATTACTGAAGACTTCTTCTTTGTAACCGCATCCCTTCCCCCCAGTGTTTGTGGTCTAACCCCCTGCAAACACACACACAGACACACACACACACACTCTCTCTCTCTTTCTCACAGACACACACTCAGAGCCATTTGAGTAGAGGACGCTGAGAAGACTGCGCTATGTCAGAGTGTTTTCAGTCTAAGAGGTCAGAATCAGATCAATCCTAAGTGTTCATATTATCAACATGTTTCTGTCTATTTATAAGGAGGGCAGGAAGAGCAAGAAGAAGCAACTGGGCTGGAAGGAGAAGAACAACAGGAAGTTCCTCCAATGCTTGTGTTTATACCCAATAGTAGTTTAACCAGGTCGAACATGGTTTGAGTCCTCATGGAGGACTCAAACCATGTTCGACCTGGTTAAACTACTATCAGTCTGTGTTTCTAAAATGACCCGTTTGTGGAAAGAGTGCATGAATGCTGGTGTCTTCTAAATACTGTAGTTTCCAGCTCGGGACTGTCAGGGATCAGGGATCAGTACATCTGACCCTCCGAGCTGAATGTTTTCAGAAGCGAGACCTCCTTCCAACCGATCCCTCCCCATGCTCACCCCCTCACAGTATGACATCTGTTTGAAGTCACACTCACAGCTGAATAAGGCGCCCTGCATCAAGGTGAAGGGATCAGATACAGCAGCAAACTATGGGACAAACTCCCCTCACTTCTGCAATAACAGGGACTTTCTGTAACCATGGTAACAAAAAATAACCATGGTTACAGAAGGAGTTTACATAGACTAAATAACTACCAACAACACTAACCAATACAAAAAAACATCTAAAAATAAAACATCCACATCTTCCTCTTACAATTCTTTTGGATTCATTGCATACAGTCTGCTGTTCATAATCTCATGCTTTTGAGAGTCCTTGCAAATAAAAAGTCATTACAATCAAATAAATACATGAATCATCTTCAAGACTCGACAATGGTTACTTACATTCTGAGCATGTTTTCAAGTTTAGCCTTTTTAATCAGGTAAATGTTGTTTTTTATCTGGACTAAAGCACTTCAGATCTGTGTGGGTCATATCATAATGGAAACAAACAGTGTGACACACAATCATTATCTGTGCAGATTTGCTGTTGGAGCCTCCAACAACCACACACCCACTCCACACCCAGAGGTTATGGACAGGACTCAGTGTGGTGGACACTCCACCCTAACATGCAAACAGAGTGGAAGAGTGTTGAGAGAAAGAGTTGGGGGGGGGGGGGGGGGGGTTGAAAAAGACCCATACACATTACAACTGGTCTAAAAGAGGAATGTTTCCCAGAATGCTTTGCAAATACAGTCATCAAAACAGGACACAAATTTTTCAACACTTTTCAAAATCATGTGCTTTGCAACCATTCAATATCTGTAATATATATTTTAATATGGTAGTATCCAAGAGCACCAAAGTTTATTAAAAACAGATCTACAGTAATATTTCTCCCCTAAAGCTTAAGAGTAAGAAAGAGAAGGGAGGCAAGCAGTAAGTAAGTAGAGAGCCAGTAACAACAACAGAAATAAGGGGTCAAATTAAGAATTTAGAGGTTATTTTCTGATCATTTTCCAGTCTTTGTGCTTAGACAAAAGACTCATGGATACATCCACATGGTTATGTAAATGAATAGGCATGTGTAGGATTTTGTTTCAGGTTGGATTTTGCATGTTTGCTGCTAAAGTTGCTCTTCTCCACTGTGCTGTGTTTGTGTCTCTCTGCTCCACCCTCCATCACAGCTGCCAAACCATAAACTCTCCTCATGTCAGAGTACTTTATTTATTTATCCCCAGGGGCGAAATTTGGTAATTTACAAACTGACAAACACCAACATTTCGTCAAGCCTCTTTTATGTCTGATAATGACGAATGGATACCCATAAATTGACTAAATTTGTGAGAAAACAAGAAATTATAGTCATACATTACAATCACCACGAGTATAAACAATAACTTTGGGTATTAAACATCGATTTCTTTGTGAACCCATGTTCTATACAAGTGTGATAAATATTTGTCTTTCTTATAAGTGTAATTTGTTTCAATGGAAAATGTAGGGTGATGTCTATTGCTGGTATTTTCATTTCTTCTCTAAGTGAGCAATAACAGTCTATAACAGTTACTCACATACTGTCCGTTTGACTGGACAAATATAACATCAAACAGTGTCCTCTTTGTAAGGCGAACATTTCAACTCAACAGTTCTGTTAAGAGGAGCTAAAATCCCTTCAACCTCAAAACAAACTGTAGGCAGGGACAAGAAGGGGAGACTGGGATTAGCCGAAAATCTCTCTCAACTTCACATATAAAGTGTTTTTTCATCACCTGGCGGCACACCTGTAGTCATAATGCTATTAAACAGTATAAGCAGTGAATGTTAGTCACATATCTGTCTGTGGTAAAAGAGGGGAACACAGTGAGCAGTCAGTGTGAGGACTCAACACAAGACAAGACAACCCCCAACATTAAAAACCACACACTGTCCACAAGCTCTTCTTCAGGATTCATATCCTCACAGATAAAGTTTGAGCCTCACAGAGCTGGACTGGTATCAGCCACAGCGCTTTATTACAAGACCAAGTAATAACTGTCTCTATCTTACCACTATTTCTGAAGTGACTGGAAGTGTATTATGAAAGAAGTATTCAATGTACAGCAACAGGTTTCACTCCCCTTTACTCTCACCATACCTACATCTAAATTCCCACATTTATTCTGCTACAGTAAGATTTGTGTATTAAGTATCTAAAGGGAAACTAGGAGTAGTCACTTGATAGAGTAAATGAAGTTGTTGTTATCTCACCTTTAATCTTGACTGTAGGGGAGTTTGGTCCTGCGGACTGCTTCCTCCATCCCCTCCAGTTCTGACACAAACTCTCGGCCTCAGAGATGAAGGAGCAAAGGGAGTCTTCCTCGAACCGGTCCGAGTCTTCGAATGAGAACCTCTCCCCGTCCTCCCACTCGGCGAACATCAATTCCATCACATCCACCGTTTACCGGCCTCACAGTCCCGGGACCGGCCTGTCTGAACCCCGGGACACAGAGTCCGAGCACTTTCCAACAAACCCGAGAAACAAAAGTCCGACAACTCGAGGGGAAAGAGTCAGAAACTTTGGAGCACGATAGTCCGAGCAAAAGTAGTCGGGCAGTCCGAGAACAGAGAGGGGGGAGGGGCGACCACGGGAGACCAAAACACAGCTGAGAGGCTTACTGTTGGGCCTCTGGCACACAGCTACATACTACTCTCTAAACATACTAATACAGCGGTATACACGACTAAGTACAATATATGTGCTGTGTGAGACTACACACAGTCTTTGTGGCACCGGTTCTGTAACTGACAGATGATCTATCAATAAACTAAATAAAGTAACTGATCAGTATCATCGATCAGACGGTCCAGTCCATCCTGCCGGTTGACCTGTAGCTGCTTTTGTGTCAAAAGTGTTCAAACAGCGAAACCGGGGGATGGAGGAATTTGATGTGTAAATTAAGAATAAAACTAAATATTAAAGTAAAAGTTAAAACTAAACTTGTATTCAGTTTGTAATACTGCTGCTTGATTAAATCCCTAACTTCAGCTATATAACCTGTTAGCACTGCAATGTTAATCCAGAGTTTAACCTGCTATAACAACATATTTTAAACGTGTCAATGCCATAAATAAAAACGGTTTTGTTGAGTGTGTCTTTAGCTGTGAACTAAGTGAGCTGTTTTAATGTTTTTGTGCTTTAATGCTAACACAGAAAACAGCTAAATGACGTTAGCTGGAAGGCTAATTATGCTAATAAATACAAATGAAAACATCACAGACAACTGTCATCCGGTGCAAATTCTTCATCTCAGGTTAATTGCAGCTCACAATCTAGACAAGATGGTTAGATATGATTTATTTTGGCTTTTTTAAACTACATTAATGTTAGCAGAGGTGCTAGCACCACTGAGCTAACTGGCTAACTCCGGCTAGCCTGAGTCTCAGTTTGATAACATGCAGGAGTGATGAGGATTTACATCTGACTCTCAGCCAGGACAACAGACTAAATTATTGTTTACATATCCCGGTCCTTTTCAGTCGATCAGCTCAGTCCATCTGGAGATATTAATCCGCTGCAGGATCTCAGTTTTCTTTGTATGAGAGTGAAGCTGCTGTGTGTCGGTCAGAGATCGTCTATTCTTCAGTCAGAAACACTCACTGTGAAGACTCCTTCATTAATCTTGATCACTCTGACACCGGCTGCCATCCGTCTGATCACCTCCTCTGACTCCGAACCTCTACGGGGATCCCCTCGGTATTTCTCCGTCTCTCCGTCCGGGCTGAGTGTCAGTCTGCCGGGGGAAGATGGCTCTTCGTCAGCTCCTCCTCCATCAGCTGATCACAGCTTCCGGCTGACAGAGCCACACAGGATGCATCAACAAATAAAGTAAATGAAGTTTATTCTCGTTCAGATTGTCTGATGTTTTACAAGCTAACTAATAAAATAGGAGTCTTGCAAGGAAGAAACATGATAAGCATGCCTTTGAATATTTTTTTAAATCTTAAAATCAGGAATTTTATCTCAAAGTTTGAGTTGTTTAGAGGTTATTGACATTATTGACAGAATTTAGAGTAAAAAAAACAATCTGTATCAGGATGGTGTTTAAAAAATATTCAGGGGTAAGGAAGAAATTTTAACTGCTTTTTTGCAGTTTGTAAGGGAATATATAAGTGAAAAAAATAAGATTTACAAACAGAAATTGCTGAAAGTCAGTATGAAGACCAATACAACAATCAAAATAGATTCAGTTTCTGATGAGATCTGACAGATAGAAAGGATAATGTGGAAATGTACATTAAATTGAGTTATAGTGAACCATCATAGGTTCAAATGGAGGCAGTTTGTAGCTTTGATCACACAGGAGTCAGAGAGGGACTTTGAACAATGTCATGATTGGAGACATTTATTAGATGGATTTATTTGTCATAGCACAATAGTGCTGTGTAATGGCGTCCTGGTGCTAAATGTTGGTGTAAATGACACAATGAAAATGATATTCTTGCACAATGAAAAATTAAAGTAAATGTTTGTTTAAATGTAGGAATGTGATCATTTTAAAATAATCTGCTAAAAATACACATTTTTTCCACTTAAATAAAAAAGATGAACCATGAAATGTTGCATAAGTGATGCAGAACATTCAGACACAAATACATACTGTACACTACAGGTATACACATGTGCAGTATCACAAATATCAATACAAATACATTCATCACAACAAAATCTTAAATTATAATGTCATATATGACACAGGTCCTGGTTTCCAGGATCAGATGATGATCAGGATTCACTTGAGGACCTGATTACATCAGCTGATAATAGACACACACATTTATTTAATGTACACATATTAAGATGCTGTGGCTTCACAACAGGATGCATTTTATCTAGTGATCACAAACCAAGTTTCTGTTTTTTTTCTAACTTGGTTAAATCTTGGTTTCTGCAGACCCTGTAGCCTTCAGGCTGTAACGATTATTGACCCAGTATTTAATACAAGCTTCCAGTGTTGCTTATTAATGCTCTGATACTGTTTACTTAGTGTTAGTGACAGTACACATGCTGTGTTAGATCTGAAGACGGTTCAATGTTAGAAGACAGAAATACAGTTAATATATTCAATATTGGAAATGAGTGCATGGAAATGAGTTACATTTGAGCTGGTTCACAGTGAAACACTTGGAATGTTAGAGAAAGCAAATGAAATGTCTACAGTCAGTACTGTAGAAAAACCAGCTCTGCCGTCTCAATCGCTGTGTCAGGATCTCAGTGTTTCACTTATCTTCACTTTATCTTCAGTTGTTTGCTTGTAGTTCTTGCTGCGGTGTGATAGATGACAAGTTTGGTGAATTACTACATCAGGGTGTTGCATGTTTCCCATGGGGGCAGAGTTTGCCAGTGGATCCAGAGTCAGGGACAGACCACGGGTCTCAGGTGTCATTTTTGTGTTAGTCTGATCCAGTCTGCTAGTGCTCACTGATGAATGTTTTGATGCTCAACAGGGTTTGAACAGGCTTTTGTCGGTGATTGTCTGCAGAACAGGTCCTATATGTTGGATGCATGAAGCTCTGTTATTGACAGACGTTCTCCATACACAGGCCATTTTCTCTGTTGTCACACTGGAGAGAAGAGGGGGAGGATGTATCACTGTTTTAGACAGAAAATTATGTTGATAAGGACAATTCAGTAAACCTCTAAGACTTCTTATTTGATGGCTTGTCAGCACCTGTAAGAAGACGTGTGAATACTCATTTGCTATTTTGAGTTAACTGTTGACATAGGCACTGTACCACTCCATACAGCCTAAAATACTGTTTCACAATGTTACACAATTGAACAGGAATGGATAAGTAGATGTATAGTCATTGGTTATATATGATTAGACTTGGTATCATGTTCATTTTGTCTAACAATGGCATCTATGTCTTTAAAATGTGTTATTTTTACTTCAAATATATCCCATTTTCAATCCAGATTTTCATTATGAAAAGTATTTTTCAGTTCAGATCAAAGGAAGGCTATAAAAAAAAACCTGTTTCATGACATCGGAGGAAATGGCAGCCATGTATGGAGTAAAAAGTAGATCCCAAACAGCCCAGTCCTACCATAGAGCCAGACCTGTCATCAAAACTAATGTCTTTTTATCAGATAAACATTGATCAGCAGAGCACTTTCTTCTTCTTGTTCTCTCAAACTGGTTTTAGAATATGGAAATTATCTTTAGAGCCTCTGTATTGGCAGATCAGGTGCAAATATTTTCCTAAGAGAGTAAAGCAATGATGCATTTAGTAGACAGGTTAAGACATGTAACAAACAGGCACTTGTTAGAGTTTATACACAGAATCTGCAGAAAGCCATGAGTGTTAGAAACATTTTTCATTATACCACCTGCATGTTCCCCAGAAACATCATGATTGTCACCCTCTGTGTTTGTGGTTACCTATGAGGAAAGTGTACTTTTTTATGCTTTATGAAGCTGTGTTACTACTATTAGGAGCTCAGAGGCCACATGGACCATCCTAGAAGCAATGACCAGCAGTCTTCAAACACATGCACTGTTAGAGCTCTGACTCCACACAGTAATACTAGTTATCACCTCAGCGTTAATCCAAGTGTTTATCACTGAAAGGTTTACAGTCCTCAGTCTTGCTCTTAGTTCCTCCTTCTCAGTGTTTGATTTTTTTCTGTTGATCTTGGTCTTCAGGACTTGTAGGGTTTGTTGACCACTTTGTCGATCCATCTCAAGAACCTGCTGACACGTGTATACACTCCAGGAAAAGACGGGTTTCCACAGCCGTGACCCCATGAGATCACTCCAGTCAGCACCCATCTGCCCCCTTCCCCCTGGCAAACCAAAGGACCCCCACTGTCGCCCTGACAACTGTCCACACGGTGACGATCTGAAAGGCTCCCTGCACACAGCATGCGCCCAGTGAAACGATCACCGTATCTCTTCTTACATCTCCAGGCTGGGAGCAGAGGAACCCAGGCCTGCAGCAGAGTCCTGGAGTACTCCAAATCTGAAACACAAAACAGACAATTATCTAACATGTTAATGTGCTACCAGGTCAAGTGAGGAGGTTTTTGTTCATATGTGAAGGCATGAAAATATGATTTTTACATGTGATAGAATGGAGATGTCATAGTTTTGTGATTGTATGAAGGTGTGACAGCCTGAAGCCATGAATAAATATGGATTTAAAGCTGATTTTACAAATCAAAAATGCAAGTTGACTTTCCTGCAAACAGTTTGAAAAACTCTCCCCAGATCCACTGACATTAACCCTTTCGTGGAAATGGATTCCTATCAAACCAACATGTGGGACAAATTAACATTGAACTCATTGTTACAGTTTGATGAGAACAGGATCTCTGGAGTATTTTTCTATATACATCTCTGTTCTCATTCAGCTCTTCTGCTCAGAGTTTTACAATTCAGTTAGTTACTGATTAATCAGTTAGAACAGTGAATCAGGTATATTAACGGAACTTTGCTAAGAGCACCATATGTGTTAGAATTTAAATGGTGACTTTTATTGTTTTAAAACTGGTGTATTTTATCGAATGCAAGCACACAAATAACAACATAATACTAACGTAATATATCAGCTGTTAGCCAATGTGTCCTCTCACTGTTTGTTAGGGGTGGGAGAAAAAATCGATTCACATAAGTATTGTGATTTTTTGCTTTACAATTTTCAAATAGAATTTTTTGTTCAAAAACTTTTTTTATTTATTTTTGTTTGTTGTTTTTTTTCCTAATTTACAAATAAATCTTAAAAACTGAATTACATGTGATGTGTATTTATGGGGGAAATATGATTCCTGGAGTAGTACTGAATAGTCAGTAGACAATCATAATTATTCAGCTGTTTCACTGGTGTCACAAATGCAGGCTTAAGATTGAGAAAATCGACACTATCTTAGAATCACAATTTAAATCGAATCGGCATCCAAAAAATCTAAGAAGAATCGAATTGGGAGATAAGCATATCGTCCCAGCCCTACTATCTGTATTACCTATGACAGTAAAGAAGAGGTGTTCTTAGTACCTATGATCAAGATGTGATGGCTATGTATGATGGATGTCTGAAAGTCTTCTGTGATGGTATAAAGGTGTGGCAAATACCTGTGGAGGAGGTGTGAGAGCTCCCTGTGATGCCCCAGCCAGTGATGACGCAGGAAGTAGGTCTCTTCTCCCACCTGTGTCCTGCCTCAGGCAGACATACTGCACCTGTGTGAGGGTTGAACGCCACACAGTTTCCCTCGGTGCCCTTGAGCCTCAGCAGGGCAATGTCATACTCCCAGCCCTGACTGTGATACTTCCTATGGATGACGATGCGTTCAGGGGACAAGGTGCGTTCAAAGTCATCTTGCTCTTCAGTGTGGTAGTCCCCAAGACGCAAAATGTAGCGGCTTGGATCTCTGCCAAACCTGGATCAGAATAGGGAAAGAAGAAATCAAGTGGTGAGCTGAGACTCTCATGGTTTCATCATGTGTGATTTACGTTGGACATACAGTTTCACAGTTTTACAGCTCAGGGGGATTTAAACATTATAGGCAACATGGAATACAACAAATAATGAACTCAATATACAATACACAACCAAAGGAATAACCATAAAGTACACAACACTAAGTAAATATAATCTTACACACAATTATTAAAGTGCTCATGCTGATGGCATCTCCACCAGAGGGTACTGTATCTCACCTCTTGAAGCAGTGTGCTGCAGTCAGCACCCAGCAGGGGGAGATGAGTGACGCTCCACACAGAGGGTGACTTCCTTTAGACTGAGACCTGAGCCACACTGACACCTGCCATGGCCACTCACCTCTGAAACACACATGCAGACAGATAAAGAAACACACACACACACACACACACACACACACACACACACACACACACACACACACACACACACACACACACACAAATAAGATTGGGACAGAAGAAACAAACATTCACTTGCAAGCAAACATGCATACACACAAACATACAGAAAAATACACATAGACACACATTAGGAGCGCTAAAATATATATGTACTGTACTTATTGGACACATTCATACAGCAGTCAGTTCAGATGGAGTAATCTGAGTCAATGTGAAGGATTCCATGAGTGCTGACCTGGAGGACAACACCATTGACCCTTTCCACTCTTGTTTGCCACAGACAGTCCACAAACAGATAATTTCCACTACAGCAGACAGAGTTTGTTCTGACTGATCAACTGGTTCCTCTGAATCCTGCATTGACCACTGGTTCACTGCTTACTTAATTAGACCAGATTTGATTCGATAGATCAGATAAAACTTTATAGATCTTTATCAGAAGGTTTCCTTAGGAAATAAACAAATTAATCACAGTGTGCTGATATTCAGAAAGAGTCTTTCTGGTGTGATAACTCTAAACAGACTACATACTAGGGCTGTCACATACTGGTAAAAATAAGCATACAGTAATACTGTGAGTTCCCAGTAGTCCTTTAAGCTTTTAGTCAAAGTCATTAAAAAAGGAGAGACAAAGACTTTATACTCTCTAGCAGTTCTTTAAACTGTTTTCAGGGGTAGCTAATACTTCAAAATAAAAGCATGGTTTTATTATGCAACATCTCAATAATAGAATAAACCATGACAAACAATAGTCTTGTGACACATTGTCTTCTTAAAAGTTTTAGTCTCAGTGCTAATGATGTGAATACATCATAAAATCAATATCATTTTAAGTAGATTATCACATATGAGGTCATTGCATGTATTACTAAAGTTTATAAGAGTAATATGTTGCTCCATCCTTGTCTTGCCTTCCTTCACGTTGACTGATTGTGTTGTTTCCAAGTTTTCCAAAAATATCACATCTGTTCTGAGTGTTTGGCTGTAGGACTGTAATTAGACTATTGTGTTTGTTTAGTAGATTACACACAGAGCTGATGTGTGCAAATCTTCAAATAGTATACTTTCGTTTGTTTTTGTGTGTACTGACCTCAGTGTTTTGTCTCCACCTATGATTCTGCGTCTGCGTCGCTGGTTGTTCATTCTCAAGCCGCATGTGTTTGTAGCCATGGCAATGTCCCCAACAGGCTCCAGGCTGTAGTCACAGATGACGCCAGCGTCTTCACTGTGACGACAGTCATGGGCATCCTCACCGATGAATGCACACTGGCTCAGAGATGTCTCTGTACCCGAGCAGCGAACATTATCCATGTGAACTGGACCAGTTCCCTCTCCAAAGTATGCCATGGAGCGAGCTTTAGCCACGCCCCTGAAAGAACACAAAGTCATACACATGTGTGATTACAATGTCAAAGTTATAATGGTGAATTTTTCCCTGCATTCTGTAAATTAGATTAGCAGGTGTGCAGAAACAGTCACTGCTTTTAAATCACATCTTGAACTCATTTTTATTGATTTGCTTTCATGTATTTTCTTCTTCTTTAAAACCTTTTACTCTCCTTATTCATTTTATAAGAGTCCCCTTGGTCTCAGGTTTTTGTGATTGGGTTCCTGTGTTGGCTGGGTACCACGGGTTATTATAAAGTCTTTGTTTTAACATCTTCGTTTCAATGACATCTCAACTCTTGTGACACCAATCAAAGCTTTTATACTTTCCACCAATTTTATTCTATTGTATTTCTTTATTGCCAGTAATGAGACATTAAGACATGTAGTCTGAGTTTTAGTTGTGTCAAGGCTATTTCCCCCAAGTGTCCTCTTGTTGTTGTTCTGTTGTTTTTATCTTCTCTGTTTTTCTGTATGTTAAAGCACTTTGTAACTCTTGTTTTTAAAAGTACTATATAAATAAAGTTATTATTATTATTATTATTATTACTTATCTGCAAACACACACAAGAATTTTATTATTCTTGTGTTAATATTATAATGTTATTCATTCAAAAGCTAAAGTACTTCACAAAACATCCTATTTATCTACAAAATATGAATATCCACCATGCAGTCCCCTTTTTTAAAACAACAGACCAACAGTCAGAGAGGATTACCCTGTGAGGATAATCTCAGCAGTTTTAATTACAGTTTGTATTTTGATGTACACTCTAGCAGCCAGTGTCTGCAACAACAAAACATTGCATCAAGTTATATTTGTTCATTCATATGTTATTATTGTAATGTTTGCTTTGTGAATCTTTGGTCTGTATTTCTGAGGTTAGATCATGAGAAAGTGTGGTTGAACTAACGTGAAGCCCAGTTGTTTGCAGACCACAGCAGCGTTCACATCGTTCCAGCCATCGTCACAGACGCAGCCCCACCGCCCATTCATGAAGACCTCCACACGACCCTCCTTCCTGCTCTCTCCTGCAGCCAGACGCAGCAAGGGCTCTGAGACATGAAATAAGGTGTTACTGATGTTAAAAATAAGCATTCATCATCTTAAGCTTTTACCTCTGTTTTGTTTTTGTTTTTTTTCACTGATGTACGGATTTATTTTCTCTTTATTTTAAATCTAATTGTTTAAAGAGCTCTTTGTCTGCCCTACTCAGACACCATGTTCAAACTAACCACCAGGGGGCGACAGTTGTGGCTTATCATCAGCATCTCTCAAGCAGCGGACCCCAACATCCTCACTGTGTGAACAGTCATGTTGACCCCACCCTGAGTGACTGCAAGACACCAGGGAGGACTCTGACCCCTGACACTGAACCTCATCCAGCAGGATCAGACCCCGGCCCTCCTCATAGTCCCCATCAGAGGAGACCGCCGCTGGACCACTGCAGACACACATGGAGGCAGTCATGATGTAAAACAATAAATGATGCTGATCTGCACATATACACATTTAGACCGCTGTAGGTATTGTTTACTCACCTGAAGCCCAGCTGTCTGCACACCACCTGAGCATTCATTTCAGTCCAGCTGTCGTCACACACGGAGCCCCACTCCCCCTGATGATACACCTCCACCCTCCCCTCCATGTGACTGCCCCCTCCTACCAGACGCACTGCTCCATCTGCACACACATGTCACCATGCTTGGTCAAAATGAACAAAGAATGATTCAAGTGTTTCTCATTGTTAAAGAGTGGGTGTTTGTCTCACCTGTGTGTGGGTTACAGGACACGCCTGCATCCTCCAGGTGTTGACATGTGTGCTGCTCCCACTCATTTCGAGGACACTCATCGAGTGAGAGCTCATTTCCTGAACACTTGACTCCATCCAGCCAGATGGGACCAGAACCAGAACCAAAGTGGGCCCAAGACCAAGCTTTGGCCACGCCCCTGTGTGTCAGGAACACTTAATTAAATTTATATAAGGTCTAAAATTACATATTTACTGCCACATGTTGCTGCTCATACTGTTTTCTCCTTAGACTGTATATACTATGGACAACTTGGTTCCGCCTTTCGCCAGTATACGGATTTAAAGCTTAAAAACTCTCGGTATTTCCGGGATTTTTCTTCATTTCCTGAAACCAACATTGCGCAGTAGCCTGGTGCTCAAATGCCGAGAGTCGCTATGATGACGCTCGAACGGCGTATCCTCTGGGTGAGCTACGCAATCTCCGTACGCCCATAGGCTGTATCAAGTGTCAATCGCAGAAAACATGAACCCCCAAATAATGTTTAAAAACAGAGCTTCACAGAAAAAAGAGGACTTGAGCACAAACCAGTCTTACTGTAACTACATGTCAACATCACAAGCAGGGGGGAGAAAAATGTATATTCTGTGTAATAAATTTCTAAAGTTTGTCCACAGCTCCATAAGGATTGCTGGAGGAGGCGGGATTTATGACCTATACTGCAGCCCGTCACCAGAGGGTGCTGTTCTTGGAGTGGCTTCACCCAGCACTGAAAAGTTTTGGATCAGGAAAAACATTTCAGAGGATCGTCCATAAAGAGCTGTTTGTTACCTGAGTCCCAGCTGTCTGCACACCACCTCAGCATCAGAATCATCCCAGTGATCATCACAGACCGTCCCCCACCTGCCATCATGATACACCTCCACACGACCCTCAAACTCCTCCACTCCTCCAACCAGCCTCAAGGGGATCTCAATACCTGAGAGACAACAAGTGACACCACACCTGAGAAAAGAAACACCTGAGTAAAAAGATGTAAAGCTACGAAGGGTAAAACTTGACCTAAGAAGCAACAGGTGACACTACACCTGAGAGGCAACAGGTCAAAGTAGCATTTATTGGATAAACATATACCTGAGAAACAAACCCATGGAGAACAAAGACTTTAGAGACAGCCTCCATAGGGCATTGATTTCTAATTTACAAAAAGGAAAATGGAGGCAAATTTACATCCGAGCAGGAAAAATGCAGGTTAAACAATCCTCAGAGGATACAGGTCAAATTTCACCTGAGAACCTTAAGATCACACAGCGAATCAGAAACTACAGGTTTAATTAATTCCAAGATCATACAGTTAAATTACATTCCATAAACTTAAGGTAGAACTTTACACATCAAAAACCAGATCAAACTCTACTTCAGAATTTACAGGTAAAACTACACCTCAGAAACTTTGAGTTTCTGAAACAAATTAGAAACAACAGGTGGAGCTGGACCTGTGGACTGGAGGGTAATATTAAGCTACGAACAACATGTTTATTTTTCTAATCTGACCCACCTTCGGGTTCGGCACAAATTACTCCTGCTTCGTTCCCATGGTTGCAGTCATTGGTGAAAAATTTCCTACTCTGGCACTCCAGTAGGGAATTCTCATTCCCACGGCAACCCAGTCGCTCATAGTGAAAGATGGAAGCTGGTCCAAAGTATGAATGCTGCAGAGCTGTACCAATCTCACTGCATGGATGACAGGTTAACAGAAATACAAAGACTAAGAGATGGATATTTAACAAGGACAAAAAAGTAATTGCTGAAAAAGACCTCCATTATTTTTTACAGTCACTTAATGATGTCAACCAGAGACTCACCCCAGTCCAAGCTGTCTGCAGATGACACTGGCATCACGGTTGGTCCAGTGTGTGTCACAAACTGACCCCCACTGGCCATTTAGGTAGACTTCGAGACGCCCACTGTTGTCTGATGGCCCCCCTAACAATCTGGCTTCACCTGCAGAAAAAGATAGAAGAAAGACCTCAGAAAATTAATCTACATACATTCTCACTCAAGATGTTTTTATGGCACTGAAGCAGTTTTTCACAAGGTCAGGCTAAATACTGGATTTTACTGGAAAAACTTCATAAAAAATAGTGAATAGTGATTATATAATCTTCCCACTGTCTCTAAAACTGACTGTGGACCTTCTTGGATAAAAGATGTACGATGTGTTTGTTGAAATATGCAATCAGACCATCAGAATTTAAATCTGAATGGCCGACTTCCTGTTGGGTTTGGAGATAATGCAACAGGATGTGAAGGACTTGGCCTGATACATACACATCATGTATGTAAGTTGAAGGTTTGGAAACTGGAAATTAAGGGGAGGGAGGAGGACTATTATATGACATTTCTCACCAGGGTTGAAGCATGTACAAAAAATGGTAAGTTTTGAGGCATGTTAAGGCTTCCAACTGCAATCATTAAGGCAGGCAGGAAAGAAATAAAGACCAATAATCCTTAGGGGGTAAGTCGCAACCCATTTCTTTAGGGTCTTGCTCACTCTGAAGAATTTCTCACTTTCATATGTGCTCACTATACACTATTGTGAACTTGTACAACAAAATGCAAGCTTGTGATGTCCGAAGGCTTGTCTCTGTATCACCTGTGAGACATCTATATGACCTATTTGATTTACACAGCCGTGTCAAGAGAAAACTTTGGAAAAACTGCTCAATTTTATTTAATAGGAAGTATCCCCAGATTATAAAGTCTCAGATTAAGTGATTTTTTAAAAGCTACAAAAATAAACCTCTTCATAATGTTGTTTCTAAATTGAAAAATCCACATTAATATCTTGAGAAGGCTATACTTCTGAGACAATGACAGGATAATGTATGGCAATAGGGTCGTTCTGTGAAATCGAACCCTGACAGGTCCTCTTCCTTTGTTTTATAGACTGTCAACTGTGATCTGTAGGTTTGCAAGATGTATGGAAGGCACTGTCAGACCTACAGTACATCATCATTTTCTTGAGTCCTTACCCCCCTCACCTCAAAAACTAGGTTTCACCCTCCCTCCTCCCTTTACCACTAGCTTCCCCCTCCCCTTTCTGATACCCTGGTTTCTACCTCCCCTCTGGTTCTCACCCCGCAGGCAGTCACAGTATTCCCAGCTGATGGCTCCAGAGCTCTGCCTGAAAAAGCACCACGGCCTGGTCTCTTTATCTGGGTTTCTGCAGAAGCTGTGGTCCCCCAGACCTCGGCCCGGGTACTGCTCAATGTAGTCTGGGAAGTCGGTCCACTTCAGGCATGGGGAGCCTGAGTCCGTGTGGGACACTGAGCCGTTATAGAAACCCAAGTCGAAGAAGTCTTCTGAACAGGAGAGGCCTGCAAACACAAACCATTACAGAGTCGGTTTAACTGTGTTTATTAAATCACAGCATTAAAGAAAATTAATGTGAGACGCTTTTTCGTTCTGTTTCAGGATCAGTGTTAAACATATTATTTTGTGTTGCTTTAGTTTGAATTTATCAGTTTTTGTTTGTTTGTTTTCTAAATCTGAAGGTTTACATTCACATTTGTCAGACAGATGTGGTTTACTTTTGTAATGGAAAAATACAAATATGAGCATATTGTGATATTCTTGTACTGCCATGTACCTTGTACTCAATAGGCTTCCAGTGGAAAATTCTCCCATAATTGCCCTTTTGTGGCTTTAATATTTCAATCTGCAAACACAGCTGCAGACAGGAATGAACAGGAGGGAACTCACCTCTGTGGCGTCAGAGAACAGCCTGTTCTTCCTCAAGGAGGAAGATATCTTTTATTCTAGACAGGCAAGTATAATATTGAATCCTCATTCTGCAAGAGATGTGCAGACTCTGAATGTCAGATCACTCTGCCAGCTGACTGCTCAGCAAATCTTAAAATCCATTAGGCCAAAGCATCATTATTGAATCTTTCATTTTCAGATTTCCACCATACTCTGTTCATCCCACTTTCTCTTTTTCCTTGGTCTATATAGTCAAAGTAGAAGACTGCTCAATGGTGAGTTTGGTTTTCCTCAATGTTTCTTTCTTCTTTTCTTGGTTTTACAGTCTAGACCTGCTTTTATATAAAGCGTCCTCTGAGAACTTGGTTATGATTTGTTATAAGTTTGTCTTGAATCGACATTCTTCAGCTGAAATGTAGTCGAGACACCAAACCAGAAACACTCAGTGTGATCTATAAAACTGCTTCCTGTAGAGACGCTGGCTGCTTTAGAGGCACGCACTCACACAAACTCACACACACACTCCATTACTCATCATTGATATGTGTGGATTCTTGCCGACATAAAAAACAGTCTGAGGTCAGTGAAGCTTTTAAGGCATGAAGCTTATAAATCCGTTAATCTGTTCTGTGTGTGTGTGTGTGTGTGTGTGTGTGTGTGTGTGTGTGTGTGTGTGTGTGTGTGTGTGTGTGTGTGTGTGTGTGTGTGTGTGTGTGTGTGTGTGTGTGTAAATGATGGTGAGCAGTAAAACAGTGTGGTTTTCTGGATGCAGACGTGCTGAGACTGGAACAGAATACAGACTCTGTAACTGTAAGCAGGTCAGAATGAAGGATTTCAATCATTATGTGGAAAACAGAAACACTCCGACCTGAACACATGGTGAGTAAACATGCCAAGTCAGCGTTCAGAGCCAGGCCAAACAGTTTAAGGTCCAAGCCAGGGCTCGATACAGACAATTTAATTTCCTATACATCAAGAAGCGGCTTTTTTTTTGTCCTGGCTCTGGATTTACATTTTATGAAACATTTATGTTCTGATATTTAGTATCTTTGGATCTGAAGATCCAAAATGTAAAAAACAGAACCAGTTAAAGACATTGAGAACAGGGAACTCAGACCCAGTCCTGCACTGGAGTTTTTTTGGCTTTCAAGCTGCTTTGTTGTTTTTGGATGATTTCAAACTCAAAGTTATCTTGGACCAAAAAATAATGTCCAATGATGAAAAATGAAGCAAAAGCAGAAATGCAAAAAATGTTGTAATACCAAACTCAACAGCAAACAGTCTGCTTGAAAGCACAGTTTGGTCCATGTAGCTCATTTCTTAAATAGTTAACACTGTGCAGGGGGATACATTTTCATTACACATCTAGATAAAAGATAAGTTAGGGGCTACGGATAAATTTACATAAATAAGGGGCATGGCTGAGTTGACGGACAGGTGAGCGTCTTGTAGCTGTTTCTACCTTAGCTCCACCTGTCTGGGTCGACCAAAAGATAAACTGAGACAACATTTACAGTATGACAACTGCGGTCTTTACCTGTATTCTCTGTCACATAAGTCTATATTTTATACAGCCTTTGGTGTCACACTCACCAGGATTTAGAGCCCTCTCCCCTTGCTTGTCAACAGGCCAGACAGAAAATTACTCAGGGCAGCAGGCCAGTAAGATGACCTTAAACCCATCAGAAATGTGCAAAGTTATCAATTACTGTAGGAAAACCTAAAGTGTTGCATGGTCATCAACCCTGTGCTGAAGTTTCTCAGTGAAAGCCATTCAGTAAAGAAACAAAGAGGAATTATGTATAAAGGAGTGAAAAAAGACAGTAAGACAAGGTAAGGGCAGAACATAATAACGAGTGAATTCAATGGTGAATTTAACATTTAGCCAGTCCAGCCTATAGGAGAGAGGCACTTGAATAACAACTTCTGTTAACAATACGCTGTGATGTTTGTTCTTTGACCTGTAACACACTCAGTTATCTTAGCCAGCAGAGCAGCTTAGTGAGTCTAGCACTGCTGACTGTGACCGGGCCAAGTGTGAGCTGTGAGGGCCCCCCTGTGAATTTTTTTTTTTGTCTAGAGCGCCAACAGACTATAGAGTCGCCCCTGACTCGCCTTTCCAGGTCTGCTGACAAACACGAAACCAGATGTTCTGATCCTTTAGTATGTCTGGACTGTCGGCAGATTTAAAACAGGACCAGGACTTTTAGAGTAACGTGAGAAACCAGCTGTAGTCCAGACCTTGGACTTAAAACCTCAAAAGATATCTAACATTTTCCCATGGTCCTTAAGTTGTGACCCACTTTTATAAAATTCTTATAAAATTCAAACCAAGCAAATTTATTTCTTATGAAAAAAAAAAAAACTTTTAAAATTCAAATCTTTGACATAAATACACCTATTTTATTGAGTAAAGTGCATATCAGAGCACATGAACTGAGGGTGACAACTACTAAAGTTGCATATACAGAAAATATCAAATATCAAATATCAAATTGCACACAATGGAGACCAGCAAAATGAAAAATTTGACTTATTTGGATCTCTGCATTCAGAGCATATTTAGAAGAACCTGAGGAGGACCATGCAACGAGGCATGGACATAAGTGAATAAATATTAAGTCGCACAAAATAAAGACCATAAAATACATGTAACTTTACTGCATTCAGCAGGACACATTAAGAAACTGAAGAGGACCATGGCATAATGCGTGCCTTTTAAAATAAGCTATTTTTCAAAATAAAAGACATGTCAAACATCAGACGCACCTTAAATATTTACTTTTTTGACCAGCTGTTCGCAACCCATCCAGAACATGTCCATGACCCACTTTTGGGTCGGGACCCACCAGTTGAAAATCTCTGGTCTAAGAGATGACATCTATAATGAAGTTGGAATCAAAGCCACTGACCATCTTCACTAGAGCATAGGGAGATTATATTAGTTTAGTTTAATTTACATTATTTTAATTTAAATAATAAATGTGGAGCATCATCAAAACAAATGAATTCAAAGCTCATATACTGTAACTTGAATTAATCCCATGTGGTTTAGCTATAAAACTGGTCTTCACTTACCAGAAGGTGCAGTCAGAAATTTTATTGAATTTCCCTTCGGGGATCAATAAAACTATTCTTAGTTTTATTCTTAAACTCTGTTCTCACAGATTTAACCATTTAATGTCAAAAGAATTACAGCTATGGTTGGCATTGACGGCTCTGATCTGCTGTCTCCCTGTTGGCCAAGCAGCATGATGCAGCTTTACACTGAGCTCAATGCTGCCCCCACAATGAGGGTTCACAGACCATAAAGAAAGGTAGAGCCTAAGCTCTGCCAGCAGCATCAGTGGTGGTGTGTGAGCAGCATTTATGTAGCAGAGTGAAAAGAGGTCAAGTTTAAATGGACCTCCTTTGTCGTGAAAAGGGCTGTGATTGGTTTGTGAGTGATTAGAAATGTTTATTCAATCAGCAGTCTCTCAGCTGATTATAGCCGGAACATGTGACCTCTGTGTCCTGCAGGAACCCGGTTCAGTTATTTCAACCACACAAACACTCATGCATGTAAACAAAGATTTAAAGGTAGACTTTACCATCCCTCTGTGCAGCTTTCAAATGCTCTCCCTCTCTGACCTGCTGAAGAAGAGAAACACGGATCAGACACAGAATTTAAACTCTGAATATCAGGATGCAGAGAAGTCACATGACAGACTGAGCGTGACTATTTCACATCAAACATGAAACAAAAAAAATGACACTTTAAAATTAGTCTTGATGTCACAAACTTTGAGTTCATCCAATTACTGAAGATTGATTTTGATTCAGCTGTGGTGTGTTCATTTAAAGGAAGTATTCATAGATATGAGCTAACATACTCCTGGCGTGTGTGCCAAATACCGCCAAGTGTTGTCTCCTCTGCTATAGGCTAACACCATTAACACCATCAAAAAAAGAGGGGGACACTCAGCCGGGATGGGGGATGTCAAGCTTTCAAATGAGACGTCATTCTGAGACATGGCCTATTTTATCTATCAGAGCTAAGACCGGATCCTTCCAGATCACCAGACTGGGTCAGACTGCTTCCTTCTGCACTGAGCCCCACATTAATGAAGGGGTACCGGATAAATGTAGGTGTGGTCCAATCTTAGAGGCACTTTCAATAAGAACTATGAGTGACTGAGGAGAGCGTTGGATAGATGTTTTCACTGATCAACTCTCAAATGTGGTTTCTTTTGTGAATCGTATCTATTGTCATTTATTTCTGTCTTTTAAGTCCATAGATGAGGTAAGGAGCCTCTGAAACACCTGCTGCAGCTGACACACTGTTTCACTCTGTTATCTAGAGTAATGGGACATAAATAAAATCACGTGCAGACTTTGACCTGCTGATAATACGATGCACACAGACACAGAATGAATGGAGAGACTGTTTCCTGAACATTAGATTTAACTCGAAACGAGCCGTGTCTGAGGTTTAAAGTTCAGAGACTCTGTGGGATCAGAGCAGCACTCAGTCTGTTCTCTCAATCATGCTTCTTTTACACACCAAACAAACAGACTGTAGGCCTTCACACTGAGCTGTATTTATATCACTGCAGTGAGGTGTGTATTCTGTGTCATGTTCATATTTCAGTCTGTTTGTGCCACTCTGTCTTACTGATCTTTGTCTTCTTTTTAGAAACCAAACTCCAGAGGAGATGATCTGAGTGTAACACAGACGTGATTAATAACTGTAATATATTATGAAATGTTCAGATCAGATATTTGGGCTCGAACATTTTAATCTGTTGCATAATGTTCAGCTAAGGTATTTAAGCTCTTTACCCCTATTTAATTTATTGTTAAGAAGTTCTTATTTTTTAGTCCTTCACAAATTTGCTCCAGGTAACACAGCCTGCCAGTCCACTTTTTTATGCACTTTGTGTTCAAATGCATCATCCTGGAAGCTACACAAGCTACTTATGTTTTATGAAGCTTAGCAGACTGATATGAACACATTTCTCAGCATCACTGCCCTCTTTTTTTCTTGACGTTAAAATGTTTGCATGGAGATTAAAGGGTCTCCGTTTTCTGCTCAGTTACTGATTACAGCTTATCTCATTAATCGGGGGCTTTCTAGCAGCTTTTGGTGCTGTTCAGGATGATGTGTTTTTTTTTTTTACAGATGCATGATAAAACTGGTAATGTTTAAGGAGCTTTGTTTTGCTCCTCCTTGCATCAACTGTGCCTCTTAAGCATTGCAAATGGCAATTTTGTTATCTGTTCTTGATACTTAAAATAACTCTATACATTCCTCCCATGTTAAAGCGTGTTGGCATGCATAGGCTGTCATTGTGTGGGCATATTCAATGTGTCATGATATCAGCAGTTTGCTGAAACTGTCATACCTGTAACCTTTTAAGCTATTATCTGCTAATACCAGCGTTGTGCTGATAATACCCTGCTTCTTTGGTTGTTATAATCAGTGCTTTAACTGTGGAAATATTCACTTTGATGCTTTACACAACTTAAGTTACTGAAGATAAAAACTAATCTATCCATCCTCGTTATTGTGAATAAGATTGAGCACAAGTCCAAATATAAACCTAATTTCAAGATAGTTTAAGTTAAAACTCAGTGGAATTAGTATCATATCTTAAGTAGAGAAACATATCAGAAAACGCTTGCTTGCTGTATATGAGGTCAGTTTTACTGAATAAAACCAGTAAAGAAGCTCCTGTGAGGAAGCTGGCGCCCCCTGTGGACAAAGCAGTCTTTATCTTTTCCTGCACATGCCTAAGTAGTAACAGCTGACTTCTTACAGTCAAATATATTGTTAATTGGGAATATTTCATGTGGAAATTATAAAAAAAAGGTTGTTTCAGTCTACCCCCTTGCACCAATTTCAGGCATTAGAATTACAAAAGGAAAGTAAGGAAAAACTCCTTATAGGAGCTTTAAGTCCTTATCTTTGGTTCATAATAACAAATCTCTTTAAACAGGCAACCATGAGTACAGGGACTGTCTACAATGTGTAATCCTGGCAAAAATACTGTAGTCGTAGTCAATAACTTCACCCTGGATAAGTTCAGGGTCAAAACCACTTCATTCATCTTGAAACTGCCAGGAAAAATATGCTTTTTTCTGTTTAGGGGAAATCTTACACTCTCTCCACTCTTGCTACAATAGCTTGAGAGTAAAAAGGTTTACTTGATGCTTTAAATACATTTCAAGTCAAATTTTTTTTTAACTTGTACTCGATAGATTAATATATGAGTTGTTATATCGTCATAATAACTACTTTTACTTGTACAACTTTTTGTGTTTTAAATCGCAGACAGAATAGACCGTATGGTGTCAGGTCTGTTTTCCTTTATTAGGCTGGTTAATCATTTCATCTTATTTTCAATAAGTCAAGCTGAAGAAAAAGAAATCCCTCTCCGGCTCGCTGCAGATCTCAGTCCGGTCCTGTGTGACTTGAGAGCGTGACAGAGTCCGGACCAGACCAGCTCAGACCGTTAACACCTTTATTTAGTCCTGAGACACTCAGTCCACTTACCTCTGCAGTGACACACAGCAGGACCACACGCACCAGACAGAACCCGGACCAGATCCTCCGGTCCATGACCGAACCATCTCCTCCTCCTCCGTTCACTCCTGAGACTCTGTCCTCCTCCTTTCTTCTGTCCTCATTCAGTCTGTCCTCCTGCAGGGACCGTCTCCTTTCAGCGGTACAAACTATCAGTGAGACCGGGACAGGCTGTGACTGAGGTCCGCTCTCAAGTCCGGACTACAGACTGTCTGAGCTAAAAATGACGCTGCAAGAAGAGAGACACCGGCAACTCTCTCTCTCTCTCTCTCTCTCTCTCTCTCTCTCTCTCTCTCTCTCGCTCTCTCTTTAAATCCAAGGTGTGAAACTTTCCTTATCAGTGAAAGCTACACATTTTTCCTGCTGTCACTCCTACTGTCTCTTTAAATCAAGTCAAAATGAAATGGCAGTAGAGCTACATTCCTATTATATATAGACTAGGTTAATAATGTAACATATGTATGACATGTTTTGCAAATAGACTAAAAATCAGTGACGTGTTTGGTGAGGCATGATAAAGTCCTGCAGCACTTGAAGTTCTCACAAAAAACAGTGGAGCAGACAGTAAGAAATCCTGCTATAGCCTACTTGATCACACCAGAATCAGGACTCTGCACAAGACCAGGTCCCTGAGATAAAGAGGAGTAGCTATTGTTGGAGCAAAATACATGGTTTTGCTTTATGTTAATATAAACTTGGACAGATTGATTCCATATAGATACAGATAATATATTTTTTTATATTTAGATAAATATTGTAGATCAGGAGGCAGAGCGGTCGTCCAATAATTGGAAGGTTGGCAGTTCAATTCCCCCCTATCCTGAGTCTGCTCGTTGTGCTCTTGGGCAAGATACTAAACCCACCTTGCTCCCAGTGTGTGTGTTCTCGACTGTTGTATGATTGTGAGTGTTCTGTGGTGGTGGTGGTGGTTGGAGAGGCCATAGGCACAAACTGGCAGCCACGTCTTCGTCAGACTGCCCCAGGGCAACTGTGACTACAAAGGTAGTTTACCACCACCAGGGTGTGACTGTGTGAGCGAATGAATGATGTATCCAATGGAAAGCGCTTTGAGGGTCTCTGATAAAATCTGATGCATTATTATATGAGATATTCAGATTAATAAATGAACAAAAACAGTTTATGAAGACCAAGAAATAAAAAAAAAGTAAAATTGGTGGCTTGTTAAAGTGGATCAGAATCCAGAGAGAGTGAGCAGGACACCAACCCATAAAGGCCTCTTGTCTTACCTCTGTTTACCTGCTATCTTTGTCTCTTTTTCTTTTTTTTTCTCCAGAAGAAAAAATTCCAGAGCCCTTTACATGGATTGATTTCTTTTGGCATGTAGTATCAGGTTGGCAACACTCAGCTGTCAGGAAGTAAAACATCATAACTATGGGATATTGACCAAGCAGAGTCAAGTATTGAACACAGTCAGGTCATGAGAACAACAAAGTTCAGGACTGGGTTTAGTCATCTCTGTACTTCTCTTTAGAACTGCAAAGCGATTAAGTCAAAAATGATGGCGCCATAAACATGACAATGATGGTGACTGAGATGATGAAGGTATTGGAGGTCATGATGGTACAACAGAAGTGATGAAGGTAACAGAACTGAGGTTATGGAAGTGATTGAAGATGTGGCTGATATGATGTGCAGGCAGGTGTCAGAGGTGACTGAAGTGATGAAGGTGATGGGGATGAAGAGCTGGCAAGGGAATGTAGGAAGTGGGGATAATGGATAATGTGAAGATAGTGGTGATGGAGTGATAAAGATAAAGAAACATAGTTAAGGAAGGGGATTTGTGGTGTGATGAAATAAAGGAGATACTGAAGATCATAAAAGTGATTAAGGTGATGGAGATGATGAAGAAAACTACTAAGGGTAATGCAGGTGATAGAGATAATAAAGGTGATGGGGTGATACAAACAACAAAAATATTGGGGGTAGTGAAGATACTAAAAATAGAGAAGGTGTCCTGGTAAAAGGTAATAGAGATAATGGAGGTGATGAAGGTAGTGAAGGTGATGGAGTGATACAGATTATAAAAAAGGTGAAGGTAATGAAGGTTGTGAAGATGATGAAAGTTAGGGGTTAGAGGTGATAGAGATGGTGGAGGTAATGATGGTGATGAAAATTATAAAGGTTATGGGTAGATCCAATAGAAATAATGTAGATGATGAAGGTGATGGCAGTATGAAGGCAGTTGGAGGTAATGATGGTGATAAGGGTAATAAGGGTGTTGTGGAGAAAGAGGGCGATGGAGATAGGGATAACCCTGACCCTAACCAAGGTAATGAGGGTTACTGAGGTGATGTTGGTAATGAGGCAGATGAGGTGTTTGAGATAATGTAGACCATGATGAGATGGAGTAGATAAAGCTGGCTGGGACTACAGATTGATTACAGTTACAGAGGTAATGTTGATGGAGGTATTATAAATGATCGAGGTGTTAGATACGACAGATTTGTAGATGAAGTTACTGTTACTCTGAGCCTTCAGAGGCTTGGTGTGAGAAAAAGAATCTGAGTCTAATGATGAAACAGTCTGATTGGCTGGTGTTTACAGCTCTGTGTGTTTGTCTTGGCGTTCTCTCACACACACTCTGATTATTATTAATGCAGATAGTGATTGTATCATCACAGCTGAGTGTCTCCCAGGGAGAGGAGACAGCACTTAGATGATATCCCGCAGATTGAGGACAAAAATTTAGGAGAAGATAAACAATGCAAAGGTCTGGTTGGGTGAAAAGCAAAAACCATGTCCTTAACTGGAGATGCTTTTCAGAGACAGCGGTGGTGTTACGTGTTTTAAATCCATTTTTGATTCCCAAACACCCCCACTACACTCATACACCCATGGATTAATATTCAAATACAGTACTTTGGTAAAGATGAAGCGAGGTGTCTTATGAAACCCCTTACATGGTGAGTGTGACCCTGATTTGAAACTGAGGGGTCGCTCTGAAAGGGCTTAACAACCAACCAAGAGAATTAAGCGCTCCACACAGTCAATTAGATGTGTGTATGACAGTGAATTGTAGAACAGCATTATGAAGCTGTGTCGTAACTATGAGGGAATAAGTGGATGATGTGTGTTTCAGCACGGTGATGGTGTGGATATCAGTCCCTGTGTGTATTTCCTGCTGTGTGTTGTGTGTTCCAGATGTTTGTCAGGAAGTGATAAGCAGGGAGGGGAAATGTTTGTGTGTGATGACGGCAGATAAACAGGGACGCTGCAGAAATGGAAAAAAAAACTCTGACAATGATAGCTGTTAACATGAAACACAGTACTTCCTGTCTATCAGACAAAACATGAAACACACACAATCACACAATTAGACATAAAACACACTCTCACAGTCTTTATCCATGTATGTCCAAGACAATCTGAAACCGGACAGTGGAATGATCTGAAGACAAGATTATCACAGGATTTAACATTAAAGGAGAAGTTTAGCATTAATGGTGTGATGTTAATTGTACAATCAAAGCTTTTTTATGAACTTGGATCTAAGAAAATGAAGAAAGGTGAAATCAAAGGATATTTCTTGTGTTTGGGCAACAAAAAAATGTAAATAAAAGATGGAAGAGACAGAAGAATTAGGCTCTTCTATATTCAGTAATTGTAGAGCAATTCTCAGAGTCCACAGCAGGGTGACAGAGAAGTGTATCATTGGAAATGTAGGATTAGGTGTTTTGGGAATTTAATACTTTAATCATTTAGATCTTTTCTTTCAGTCTCATGATGATGGTCCAAAATGCTGCAGCTCCAGTTCTGAGAGGGAAAAGCGAGAACAGCTGTCCTGTATTAGCTTCCCTACGGTGAGTCCCCATAAAATTTAGAGCAGAATTTAAAGTCCCTCTTCTGACCTACTAAGCTTTATATAGTCAGATACCAAAGAGCGGCCAGTATATGCAGGCCTGCTTATGGTATCTTATGTCCCTTTAGTAATATGGGAGGTGGATGCAGGCCCTTCAGTCATCAAGCCCCTTATCTTTAACACATCCACCAGTCAGGGTCCAAGAGGCACTCCTTTTACTTGTTGGTAGTAGGGACAGCCTCAGGGTTGAACCAGCTCCTAGTTGTTCTGCTAAAAGCTGGGACTAACTAGCACACTAAGTTCTTGTTTTTCACTCCGAACTTTAAATCCACATATCCCTTCAAAAGTTACCAACCATAGATCTTCCTGAGAGTTTTTGAGCACTTTGGCCAACTACTTATGGTGGGTTACAGTCAGGTTTATGTGAAAACTATAAGAGTACAATATAGACCTGCTCTTTTAGTAAAGTGTCTCTACATAACATTGTTTATGAACTGTTGCTGTAAGTATGTATTGATTGTTGATTTAAATTAACTATAAAGCTCCTGTGAGAAGTTTTTGATGGGTTACAAAACAGACTCAAATGAACAGTGATATGTCTCTGTCGTGTTCAAAAGCAAAAGAGACCACTGACCAGATTGACAGTGTTTGTATTGTAGTTTTTAATGCCTTTAGTGGCTTTGAGGGGGTAGGTATGCAGAAGAAATTATCTTTACTTTTTTTCACAGCAAAACTTAATGAGATATAAATGTCACTGTAAAAAAACTACTCATTGTTAATCGACACCACTCTCAGAAGAATGAGATGAAATCAGATTGACATTTGGGTTACAACTTTGTCCGATTAATGGCGCTAAAATCAACGCAGGCAGATAGTTCCTCACAGGAGCTTTACGTGAACAACCTGAACACTCTCACATTAATGTGAATTCAACTTAAAACTTAAACACAAACTGATTGTTAACTCATCAGATTAAAACCGTTTAAATTTGCTCACTTTTTACATGCAGCACTCTGAGCCGCTTAATCCTAATCTGATAACCTGGTGTCATTTCTGCTTGCCTCCATTCAAACAATAAGATCTGTAGGTGATGATGGGAAACTGAACCAGTAGCCTGAAACCCAAGAAGAGGAATGAAGAATAATTTAGTTAAATCCTTTAATAGCATCATCTCACTGTTGAGAGCACTCAGTTTAATTAGATCAAAAATACAGAGTCATTTACATTAGAGAGACACAGCCAGGTTATATATAGTCCATCAGACAGAGACAGAGTGACTTTATATTCAAACAGTGTAACACACTGAGAGTCCCCCACGTCTTCAAACAGTTACACAGTGAGAAGAGAAAACAGAGGCTGCAGTCTCACACCAGAAACATGAAGACACTGAAGAGGTGTGGTTTGCCGATGTTTAACAGATGAAGTCTATGTATCCTGTTAGACATAAAACTTCCTGCTTCATCTTCATCTCCACCATCACTCTGTTGAACCCGCTCATGTCTGTGGATCTTCACTATCGAACAGTCTTTTCATGTGAACCTCAGATCTCTGTGGTCAGGTTTGGATACCTCCTGAGCAGAGTGTTGGCTTGTTTCGGATGTAGTCGTCCTCCGTGCAGCGGTTGAGATTTATTCTTCATCTCCAACTGTGGAGGCAGAAGAGAAGTTACCATGGTTACCAGAGATGTTTACAAGAATAGTCTCTGATGTTTTTCATTTCTATATCGGGAAAACAGAACAGTTTTGATCTTCAGGATCAGAATTAAAGCCCCTGAAGCAGGACTTATGGTCAACAAAGTAACTTTAGGGGTCTCAACAATAGGAGGTTCATTTCGTACCACGGTAGATCACCATTGTAATTTATTCGGGATACCAGATCTGCTTCAGAGCTTGAATCAACACCACCTGCTGACAAATCAGATCTCTTAATAGTAAGACTCATTGAGTTGCTCATGAGCAAGGGGGAGGAAGGAAGAACCAACCAACGTTTTGTCTTCTCTTTCTGATTTTCATATGAAACAGTGTGCATTTATAAAAGATTTTCATTGTACTTCACTGATAATATCCTAAAACAGAGACTGAAGCTCTGTACTTGATGTACCACAATATAAAACTAAACACATTTATGCCTGACTTCCATGCCACTCTATTTGAGATTGCAAATTCTGCATCTGAGATAGTACCTAAAACCTCTAGAACTAGCTACACCAAGGGAAAACACAGAGATGGGCAAATTAATCATAGAAAATTGTCATTTTAAGACTTAGTTTGTACATTGATACTGAACATTTCTTCTTGAATTCATCAGCTACACGTGTTAATTTGAGTCTGGAGTTCTTTATATTTGTCTGAGTTTGGAGTGTATGCTCTCACACTCGTAGACACTCTGGGTCATCTTATTTCGTCACAAACCAGTCTCTAACCATGTACCTTTGCCTTCTCCATACAGGCGTAGAAAGTTTTTGTCTCCTCAGAGCAGAAACCATCAGCAAACTTATTCAACTTCCAGCACGCCATCAGGAATGTCATCTCAGAGACGCAGGTCGCCTCTGAGGACACAAACCAACAGACCATACTTGTGTTAACCAACAGATTGATTAATAACAGGATTAAGAGATCACATTTGCACTCTGCAACAGATTGATTTCTTTTTCAAGAGAAAAGAGAATTTAAAAAAAAACTAACAAGAACAGAACATTACAGACAACTGAAGGATAAATTTTTGCCTAACTTTAGAAATCCTTTTTTTTAAAAAAAATAGATCCAGACTTTTCATTTCATATCCCCAGTAAACATGAGCATAAACACGTTTACACAGATAATGTTTATGTGTTTCTGGCCATAGGAAGTTGTGCTTTTTTGTGTCCACAGAGGATGAACACAGGAAATGAGCGGCTCTTGTTTATAACTGAGCAGCTCTGCCTGGCTTTCTATTGGCTGTCCACAAGACATCATCATCAATTCATTTCCCTGTCTTGACATAAACATGACAAGAAAAATAACCTTCACAAGAAAAAAAGGGACAAGAAAAAATGTAAATCACAGCTAAAAAACAAACTGAAAGAAGCATACATATAATGTGGAAGAAAAGGTCAAAACCAGAAAAAAGGGGGAAAATGATAAGAAACAGAAAAATGACAGCAAAAAAATTGCAAGATAAACAAGGAAAAAACACCAGTGTAAAAGAAAAAACAAACATGCCAAGAAAAGATGTACTTAGAAAAATAAAATAAAAGAAACAAAACAAGGACAAAGCAATCACAACAAGAAAAAACACAAGCATGACAGAAATGGAAACAATGAACAAAAAAATAAAGAAAGGAAAACAGACAGACAGAAAGCATCTTAACACTTCTGATTATGACATCTTTTTTCACTCAGACTAGCGAGAATATAATCCAGAAACTTTTTATCATACAGATAAACACAGATTTCTACATATCTGATTTTCTGCTACAGCAATGACATCAGTGAGGAATTACTGTATTGAGGTTTCACTGGAGGGAAATATGGTAAATCTGAACCAAGAGCTGCTGTTTATTATTGTTCTGAACTTATGGAGCATTTCACTGTTTGCAGTTTTAGACATCATTAGTTTCTTTATAATCTCAGACAACTAAACAACTTTTGACCAGGAAAAATAGAAGATCTAGGCTGATCAATAAGCTACAATTTTCACCATATTCCTACTGTATATTCAGTATATTGACATGTGCCATTAAATGCATTTTACAAAATGATAATCAGTCAATCAAATTATTAGTAAGCTTTGACCTATCCATGACCATTTTATTTATGTGTCAACCCCTCTACTTCTGTATTTGGTTGCTCTTAATTAGGGGCAACAGCCCAAAAGAAATCACCAAAATGTATGAAATTTATTCACATAACTACGAGTATGATCAGAGAATGTTGTTACTGTGGCGAAAACTCCATTAATCTTAGTACTTATCGTATTTAAAGTATTTAAGAATAAAATAATGTCAAGTGAGCAGGTTGTTATAGTTAATTTTACTTTAAACCACAGTGTCAACAAGGAAAAGGAAATCAGTACGACTTTCTGTCATTTCATTTGATGTGGTATTAGGATGTCACACGAATCTATTTGACAGCAATGGTGTAGTGTAAAGAAATAACAGACCGTTGCTATGGGGAACCAACCAATCAGAAACAAGTATTTTACCTGTGACGTTCAGAGGCAGCAGGTTAATATCAGCTTTAGGAGTCAGCAGAGGTCATTACTTACTGCTTGTGCTCTGTAGACTTGCAGTTTGCATTAAACTCAAACAACTTACTGAGACAGCTTAAAAAATATATTTGACTTCATTAGTTAGCATTATTTCACTCATTCATCACTCACGCTGTCACACTGTAACGTGATCTTTCGTACCTCCTTTTCTTGGTTTCCGGTTCGCTACAGTGTCCAACAGAACTAGAGGCCGGTTCGGTTTGATGACCGGCCTCCCATTTTGTTTGTTGAGGATTCTGCTGACCTTCTCATGGATCGAGACTCCTGCCATGCTGCTCTTTCACAAACACCTCTCCAGAAACACCTCGTTCTGAAAAGCTCCGAAAAGATCTCTGTAAAACTCCCAAACCCTAAATCTCCACACTGATCCCCTATATCTCTTCTGTATTTATTCGATTAGTCGAGCAACGGAGAAAAAAAGAGCTCCACTGTGACACTCCGTCACTGTACTCAACAGGACCGCGCCATATTTACCGGAAAACGAGATCACTGTCGTAAAATAGATGTTCGTTTAAGTAATGGTGCGTTCAGTGACAATCCGACAGAATAGACATCAACAGTTTCTCAACGATATTCTTTTCCTTAGATCTCTAATCAGACCTGCACTTACTCTAAATGAAGGATATTTGACTGTTAAGGGTTATACTGGTTAAAGGTGGAGTTTCAACTCAATAGTTTCTCTGTAAGGACAAATAAGCACTTGGGAGGGAAGTTCCAGTCAAGAGTTTTTATTTAGTGTATAATCAGGTTCTCTGGAGAGGATGACAAAGAAATAACAAAAGTGAATTAAATTAAATACAGGCATGATCAATATCATGATGCCAATCAATAAATTAACAAACATGATTCAAATATATGCAAAATATATGTAAATCAAAGATGAGTTATATAATAGCTTAAATAAAGGACACTCAAAGGTTAAACACACAGTGAAAAATACTGGTAGGTTTTCTCCCAGGCCTTGTCCACAAGTAGCCAGGTATTAGCTAAAATGAATATTTTTTTTAATACGTTTTGGCCTGTTATTCACACAAAACCGCAGGATTACATCATTAAAAACGGTGCTTTTGGAAAACTTCGGACAAAGTGAAGATTTTGGAAAACTCTGGTTTTGCATTGCGTAGTATATAGACTGTATATACTATGGACAACTTGATTCCGCCCTTTGCCAGTGTACGGCTTTGAAGCCGAAAAGCTCTCGGTATTTCCGCAATTTTTCCTGAAACCAACATTGCGCAGTAGCGTTGTACGCAAATTTTGTCCACAGCTCCGTAGGGATTGCTGGAGGAGGCGGGACTTATGACCTTTACTGCAGTCCGTCACCAGAGTGTGCTGTTCTTGGAGTGGCTTCACCCAGTGAGGAGGAAGATGGCGTCCATTCTATATACAGTCTATGGTGTTGACATAGATAACCAGAGTTTTAAATTCCACAACCTCATTGTCCACGACAACTAATAGATAAACATGTATACAATACGTTTTTGTTTATGTCAGGCAGTGGCACAGATAAATACAGAGTTCTGATTGGATAGATTTAGATTTTTTTTTTTTTTGGGTGAACTGAAACAGAACAAAAATGAAATAAAGTTCAGTGTAATAATAACATTTTCAACACCCTTTCTGTTATCTTAAAAGAAAATGCTGTGTCATGTGTACCCTGGGGCAATGGAGTACAGTGTATTAGGAAAGAGACATTGTATTATGTTGTGGTATATTACCAACAAAATGGCTCACAGACAAAAAAGTTACCTCTCTTTTCCTTTATTAGTTGATAATCATGTGTTTAAAGAAACCAGAGATTTATTGTTCAGTTAACAAATTTGGCTGCATGCAGAAAAGACACTTAATTTGAGGCTACAGTTGACTAGCAGAAGAGGCTTATGCTTTGCTGCTCAGCTCATGTGAGCTAAAACTTTACTTAAACGGTCTGTCCAAGCTTTACATCCACAAAAATGACCTGTTCTGATAGCAGCTAGTCTACAAATTAGCAAACACAGATGTACTGGAAAGAGCTACACAGTTGCACAGAAACTACACATTGTGGACTTTGTTGTAAGCAGTGAAAGCAAAGATAAGTTTGTTTGTCTTGCTTTCTTGACCTTTCAGGAAAATTCAGGCAAGTTGTAACATCAGCCCGTTCCTGCTGCAGTGTCAGCAGGAATTAAAGTCTGAATCACTTCAGATGAGATCAGGTTTAACAACACACCCACACGCTCACCTGTGCTCCTGTTCAGTCCTGTGGATTCTAAAAAACACCTAAGGCAGAAAAACATACAATCTGTAGAGAGCTATACCACATAAAGTGTGTGTAAAACGGAGAACATGGCACTTTCTATGACCAGGGGAAGTTGTTTAAGAAGGCCGCAGGTCCAGTAATGAGAAAACATGTGACTGCAGTTTAAACCATTATTTAGGATGTTTCTAGATTTACTGAATACCCTGAGTATATTTTTAAAGTCTATGCTGCAGTCTATAAATTTATGCTATAAGCCTAGTTCACAGACCTCTTTCACATGTGCACCTCAAAACTTTATTTAAATGACAACAGTAATCCAGTGGGTGGATGGCGAGTCATGATATTGAAAGCGACCTGCAAGTACAGTGTGATGTTGACAACATGATGACAAAGAAACAAAGACTGTGATATCTTTACTTACAACCTGGCAAGAAAAAAATCAGGCTGTTAGTGTACGTAGAGCTTTTTTTTTTTCAGCATATGTGTTTGTGATCAGACTGTAGTTGTAAATTTACACTTGGTTCAACTGTTACTCTAACATTTACAGTGATTTAACTATCAGGTGATAAATAGCTCTCTTGTCTGCCTATGACATTTGAACATAACTGAGTCACTCTACAGTATATGTGGTGATCACTTCCATAAATAGGCTGTTGTTTAAGGTTAGACAATTGAACATGGTGATCACACAAAAAACACTTACACCAATTTTTTTTTCAAAAAAGGATGTTTTATCCGTGACAACAGGTTTAAACTCTCTTTCCATTTAATTCCCTCATCAGCTTTGTGAGCATACAAAACAAACTCTCAAAGAATTTTTAAAGACACATTATTATTAACTCATGCACATAGTCTCAGTCCAGTCTAGTCAAAGCATTTTGGTGTTTTAATTTGTCGGTGTAAAAAACCTTTTTCTGTTGCTCTGTGGCCACACAACAACACAGTCATCAACATGAGATATGTCTGTGTACAGACAGAAAGAGAATAGAATCGATTTTATCAGACAATAAATCAGCAAAATTAAAGATTTATCACATTTTGGGCCTATAACAGAGGGACTAGAGGCTGCTCCAGGCAAACCTTTACTGTTATAATTATTGTTCTTCTTATTTTTCAATATAAAAAAACAAAGTCAGAAGTTTCTTTCCTTTAAAGTAGAGTAGGTGTCTGGCTCCTGAATCCTCAATCATTCCAAAGGAGAGGGGCCAGGTAACTAAAAGCTATCTCCCAGGCTAATTTTCAAGACCTCAGGTACTAAGCAGGCCTGCACTGTGAGAGTGTTGTGTTTTCCAGCTTTGTAGTTCAAACTCCATTCCTTATTTTATAGGGAGCCAATGAAGTGCTAATTTAGGAGAGATATAATTCTTCTTCATGTCCTTGCAAGTACATGAGCTGCTGCATTTTGGACCATCTTAAGAGTAACGGCAGTACTACAAATTTAAATTAAGACATTTTTGTTTTTAACTTTATTTTGAGACAGGATGTTCCTGATTTAGGGGATGCTGCAATTTTAAAAATACAGAGTACATTTACATGTTGTTCTAAAAAGATTTATGGCCATAGTAGAGCTGAAACTGGACTTCTAAAGTACATGCAAACTCATTTATTCTGAAATATGGTCTGACTGAAATCACACTTAATCCGTCTCTCATAGTCAGACTAACAGACCGAGACACTGCAGTTAGGGATCTATTTTCTCAGACATTTAAACAGCTCAGTTGGACTGAAACTGTCCCAAGCGTCATGCACATGCTCAAGTGTTTTCAAGCCGGGCCCAGAGACTGAAGTTGACTAGCATGGATGTGTAGGAAGCATGGCAGTAAACAAAACCTCGACGGATAAAGAAAAGACGTAAAAAAGACAAAACTTTCCCATCATACCTAAAACAGTGCAGAGCTATAGAAGTGGCATTTTCATTGTTCAATGTACATCCTCTTAGCCTTTTAGATGAGCTGATAGTGACATATGAAATGGAAATGGAAAAGATTTAAGAGGCCAAGCTTATTCTGACATGTTACCACCCACCATAGCAGAGTTGGACATGTTTCTGTCAATAATTTTAATTTTTGATCAACACATGTAAAATGGCACAAGGACAGTAGTACAGCTAAATAACCCAATCCAGTTATAAATGAACAGCTTAACTGTGTATGTAAACATAAATGAAAGTTGTGATGATAATGTATAATCACAAACAATACTTTGTAATGCTGTCAATAGAGAGCTAAAGAGTTTAGGTCCAGTATCAACTGGCTCTTCGCTCTTTTTTATGACCACTTTAATTAAGAAAATATCTAAAACATTAACATTAAAATTACTTAAACAATGAACTGAAATTACACATGAGGCTATGTTATGCTGAGAGAAGTGGCAGAGTGACACGAGGCAACATTCCTTCTCTGTGAGCCTGAAGCTGTAAGATGTTTCTGTGTCTCTGCACGTTCTTCACCTGCAGGAAATGTTCCTGAACTCACCTTCTGTCTTTGCAGAGACAAATATGAGCCTGTATCTGTGCCAAGATCAGTTTATCCACGGAGCTCGACTTCTTCTGACACACACTGAAGTAGCACTCTTCATTCATCAAGTCAATCTGCCTCTGGTGAAAATGGAAAAGATTTAAGAGGCCAAGCTTATTCTGACATTTTTCCCCAAACGGAGAGAGGTTAGAAACTTGAGATGAACTTTTAACCTTTGACACCTCTGACAAACACACACACACAAACACACACACACTGAGCACACACACTTGAGCATTCCTCAAAAGACAAATAGACACTGTGTAGTATTACTACAATAAAGTCGTACAAACAATACACTGTAAGAGTTGAAACACTAAAAATTCAGACGGTTTTCTGGTAGAAAAGTTAACTTTAGATTTTAAATATCCAGTTAAACATGTTTAAAAAGAAAGCTATATTTACAAGCATGTCCTGAATAAACTTTTCCAAATATCAGACATCATCTTGGATAATCTGAGAGCATAAATTACAAATTTGCTTCCCCACCCATTGACTGTTTATCATTCCTCAGGTGTGATCTGATCCTCTTAAGTCAAGTTCAAACAAGCAATCTGTCAACACAGTCATGACATGGTTTGATATTTATTTGATTTTCTGCATGTGACTAAAGAAATGATGATGAGCTGTTCTTTATCTCAGACTGTGGTGAATAAAATCTAACACAAGCACCTCAGGGCTTGTTGTGGTTTTACAAACCGAGATAAGGAAAGTAGTTAATAAATCCTTTATC